AAATACAAATTACAACATTTATACAACAAATCTTATAACAATCAGTTAATCAAGAGTCCCTTGTCCTCAGTTCCACTGACCGTTTTAAAAAGTAACCTAGACTTTGTACCTGTTGAAAAAAATTTGTTATTAGTGCCCTTCTGGTAGCCCTAAACACATTTCTACTAACAGTGCATTGTATCATTGGAAAATGAACTTACATTGAAATAGATGGAACGGAATTTTCTTCGTTCTATTTGAGTTTTGAGATAAAGTAGACCGTTGACCTCAAGTGTCACCAAGCTATTGTACAAAACAATTTATCAACAAATGAGTAATATATAATTTACATAGAAATTAAGTGATACAAGTTTAATCTTAACCTAGCATATGATCAAAAGGGAAGCAAAAACAAATTAGTCATTCCTACAAAAAACTCCGTTTCGACCGGTTAACTGTACCGTTCCATACCGACTTTGTACAGTATACTAGAAGTAACAAGATAACTTTTCATACTTTGTTATAATTTTATATCCGTCATTTTCTAAACAAGCAAACATTATTTTAATTGACATATTAATAATGTTAATAATAAAGGTCGTGTCATTTTGATCACATGACTTCTTTTCTCATATTGACGTCAATGATTTCACCACGTGCGGTTTTCCTTTAAGCCATTCATCAAACTAAATAGAATATAAACATTTTCATTGGCTATTATACCACATCTTATTAATATTTATTACCACATTGTTTCCCTCTTTTGAACTTAAAACGACCAATTAACAAGCTTTGACCAATGGTCAAGTAACAAATGCAGGATATGATTAAGCTTTCTGTACATTTTGATCCCATATTTCAATAAGAATATGAAAATAGAAAGGTGCAAATAAACTCATCAAAGATACCAGGATTACAAGTTCGTACGACAGACACGCGTTTTGTCTACATAAGACTCATCAGAGTCGCTCGAATAAAAAAAAGTAAAAAAGGACAAATAACGTTCGAAGTTGTAGAGGTTGAGGTCCCAAAATTCCGAAAAGTTTTGCCAAATACAGCAAATGAGACAGCAACCCACCAAAAGGTCAAGGATGTAAACAACTACAATTCATAGTACAAACTTCAACAATTAGTTTGTATTGCCCAGATTAAAACTTGTCATTCCCCTTTCTATAAAAACGACTGACCATGCATTGTATAAAAAAAAACGAATTTACAAACAAATTGTTAATAGTTGTAGTTGTATACGTGGCTTCAATACTTTTGTATTTCGGGGAATTTTTACATTAAATTTTTAGAATTGTTGCAATTATTAAAAATAAGACATAAGCAAAAAAATTATTAAACTATTTCAGTGTTGTATAAAATAGATCCTAGAAATTAATGATGTGTCATTTGAAGACATGTTTAACACCGCCACATTATATATGTGCCTGCACCAAATCAGGCGCCTGTAAATCAGTAGTTGTCTTTGATCGCAGTATATATATTTGTTTTTCGTTTATTATTTTGTACATAAATCAGGCCGTCAGTCTTTTCGTTTGAATGGTTGTACATTTACAAGTCGTTTTGGGGCCTTTTATAGCTTGCTATACGGTACGGGGTTTGATCATTGTTGAAGGCCGTACGGTGACCAATAGTTGTTAACATCTACGTCATTTGGTCTCTAGTGGAGAGTTGTTTCGTTTTCAGTCATACCACATCTTCTTATCTTTATATTATATAATATGTGACGTTTTAAAAAGACGCGAAAGATACTGTGACCAAGGAGACTTTCAGAGCTCATAAGTCTAAGAGAAACTGACAATGTTTAAAGTGACCTTACTAGACTTAATTTAATTATGTTGTCCAGTTTACTTCCAGGTAAGTTTTATGCGTATATAACGAAATGCGAATCGATATATGTAGCTAGAAAGATTCGAATACATGCATACTTAAATGTTACGGAGCTATCATTTAGTTTTTAAGGGGGGATAAACTAATAAAAAAAGGCAGGACCGAATAGAGTGAAAAATAAAAAGGCAGAACAGAAATTACAATTAAAAAAAAAATGCAGGACACAATTTTTCATCCTTGCCCCCCCCCCCCCCCCCCCCTCCCCCATAAAAATGAAATGGTAGCTCCCTTAGGATTAAACCGGTAAAGGAATACACAATTTTAAGGATCAATTTTACAACTTAATAATTAAAAACATATTCCTCAAATGCAGAGATTTGATTGTTTATTTTATTTTTCTTTTCAATTCTTGTTCTGAGTGGTAACCATCTTTCATTATTTTTCGATCATGGGAGATTGAATTTCTATATTAAAAGTTTCAGTCCTTATAGGTTCTTTATATTCCATGTTATTTTAGGTTCATTAGTACCAACTATTCATAAAGTACATCTTAGTTCTATAAACTACTCAAATGCTAATACATGTGGTAAATCAATCATTCTGATCAAGGTCACTGGAAGGTCAACTTTGATTTCACCTTGATCTTTTCAAATTTTATGTAACACCTGACTCTAATTTTAATGAACATGTTGTATGTGCTATAAACAATGTAAGTGATAATTTATAGTCTCGACAAACACAAGGAATTGTTTTTATCCTACATGCACATGGTCGTACTTGTGACAGGAATATTTTGATACGAGATGTCTTAACATATCAAATTGTAGAGTTAGTTATAACTGTATGTATTTTTTTAAGGAAATGCCTGAACCAAGTTAGGAATATGACAGTTGTTTTCCATTCGTTTGATGTGTTTGAGCTTTTGATTTTGTCATTTGATAAGGGACTTCCGTATTTTTGTTATTTAACCTTTTATATCAGCCAAAAATATATATCACTAATTTGGAAAAAGTAGATGAAATATACATCAATCAGACAGGTCCCAAGGACAAAGTAAAAATTTATAAGAGTAACAAAGTCTTGAACAACCTTCAGTTATATTTATGTGTATCTATACAATATGGCAAGCGCTATCCTTTCTTTTTTTTTTTTATCTCAATCATTAATCAAACAGATAATAAAAAATATACAATATGTATACATTTTAAAATGTGCCCTATGCGACACATGGCGCTAACGGGAGTTGCATGTTTTAAGTTGTAATACATTTTCAAAACAAAGAAAATATGACGGAATTTTATACTGCAACTAGTTGTGTTTATTTCCTAAATAAAGTAACACAGCTATATTTTGTGCAATGTCAATTTCATCATGGATCACTTTTTCCACAATCAAGGGTTCATTTAGGGATGAACTTAAAAAGGTATCTATGTATGAATTTAAGTTGCAGTATAAAAACAATATTAGGTCAAAGTCAGAAAAATATAAACTTTTTTGTATTCGACACAAAACTGGAGAAGGCCCTTCCCCAGTTTCTCAGCCTCATACAAAAAGTTTACATTTGACATTGACCTAATATTGTATATGTCTCTGTCTCCTGATTTGGCACACACAGTGTTGTGTCACTGGTAAATATGAAAATAAAGATATGTTGTTTGAACACAAATGATACAACTATATATCTACCAGCCCCGTGTCGACGATACCACATCGGTATATCAAATGGCGAAAATTCATTGATAATGTAATTTCATGCAAGAAATGGTTAATAAACTAAAACGAATTGTTCAATTGAGCTTCAAATAAACGCTTTTAACAAAAAAAGAAGCCTCAAGATACAAAAAAAAAGAAAAGAATCAAAAGTGAGAAGTCGCAACTGGCAAAATCATGATAAAAAACGAAAACTATTAAAACGTTACATAAAAAAAAGACTGATCAAATCGAACCCAACCAAAACAGGGGTGATCTCAGTCGCACCAGAAGATTAAGTATATCCTTATAAATTCACTGTAAAAATAAGGAGATGCAGTATGATTGACAATGAAACAACTATCCACCAGAGACCACATGCCATAGATGCGAGCACTCTCTTCATTTAGAAATAACATAAGGAGAAACCGTTTTATCGGAATATCTATACTAAATCAATTATTATGACAAATTCATGTCAATCCGTCCTGTAGATCAATCAAGAGGCTGAGGTCACTCGAAAGTATTTATGAAGCCTAATGTCTGTACAATGTAGTTTTGGTGTTTTAGGTTGTATTAACATTGTGTCTGCCCAACTCCTCTTTGTAAACATGCTTTCTAAGGTAATTATAAATAGATATAAGAAGATTTGGTATGAGTGCCAATGAGACAACTCTCCATCCAAGTCAAAATTTATAAAAGTAAACCGTTATAGGTCAAAGTACGGTCTTCAACACGGAGCCTTGGCTCACACCGAACAGCAAGCTATAAAGGGCCCCAAAAATTACTAGTGTAAAACCATTCAAACGGGAAAACCAACGGTCTAATCTATATAAAAAACGAGAAACGAGAAACACTTACGAACCACATCAACAAACGACAACCACTGAACATCAGATTCCTGACTTAGGACAGGTGCAAACAATTGCAGCGGGTTTAAACGTTTTAATGGTACCAAACCTTCATCCTTATCTGAAACAATAGTGTAACATCACAACATAGAAAGGTCTATATCAGAGAAATATAAGTGTAGGATACCTATTTAAGTACCTCTAGATAACCTTACTCAAATTTAACACATTTCCCACTAATCCTGTCAATAAGAGTCTAGTAATTAATTATGGTGTTATAATATGTTATCAAAGTGATTATGGAATGTATAATAATACTTGTTTAATTTCAAAAACTTATCATGTCGAAGGATTTTATCCCGCACCATCTCGACTGCATAAAGTTCCTACTGTTTTTAAAATATCCGTCTGTCTATACCTAGACATTTGAGATTTGAAGAACTTTGGATATACACAATCATATTATACACTTCACTTAGCTTTTAATATTCTTATGTGTATGACATTTTAAAACGACATCATTAGAGTGGGCATATGTAACCGTTCTTTATTTATATCATTATTTTGTCCTGTTTATTGTATACTTCCACCTTTAAGATACAACAAATTTTATCACGTGATTTATCAGAATAATTGTTTTTGCAGCGCCACCTCCACCAACGAACGTCATCGTAGAATCAACAACCATCGATAATGTATCATCTATCGTCGTTAAGTGGGATCCACCATTTAACCCACCAGAAAATATGCAATATAAGGTAAGAGAAGGGTAGTCATTTTATTTTTACTCTATGAACATTTGTATAAACAAGTTAAGACAAGGATGGTACTAAAGTAGTGTAAATCTGAATTTTGAAAATGCATAACACAATTTACATTTAAGAACAGGATAGTCTAAACATAACTAAAACCAAAATAAAATAAAACCAAACAAACAAAACAAACAAAACAAAACAAAAGTGAATTAAAGGAAAAATGGAAAGAACACCAATGAGATAGATATGGTGTTGTAGAAAGGAGTCTATAAGTCCACATATAAACTTGAACAATATACATGTGTCAATACAACATATAAACTTGAACAATATACATGTGTCAATACAACATATAAACTTGAACAATATACATGTGTCAATACAACATATAAACTTGAACAATATACATGTGTCAATACAACATGTCAGGTTCTTAATTGAGGTCAAACATAATTGTGAATAAATTTCTTAAAAACTATCGACCGAACTCCCTAAAGACCGAAAAATCGGATATAACGAAATATACCCAATAACTAGGTTTCTGCCTGGGAACTTGCAAACGGTATTTTACTGTTTTTATTTTTTATCAGATCTCCATCTCATAATTCATAGTATAACATGCTCAAATGTAAAAAGCAAACTAATTAACATCTTTGACAATATAATTATACAGTAAAAAGTGTAGTGACGTCAGTTGGTTCGAGGGCATTGGCTTACTCTGTTCCGCATTCAACACGCGTCGCATTGAAATGTAATTAAATCATATTATTTTGCAAGTCCAGTGTACTGTACCTTATAAATCAAATCACAGTAAAAGAAAAATTATTCAATGTACATTTACAGGAGGAAACGAGTCAAACAGAGATTTTGAGGTTAAAATAATCATTTAATTTTCTGGGAGAAAAGGGGGGGGGGGGGGATTTTGATAATGAATATCCTGGCCTGAGCATAAGACAGGATGGAAATGAATATTCTGCAACACAAATGCAAAGTTGTGTACAAAAGTGAAAAATAGGTTTCGAGTGGCGAAGCCTCATAAAAAAATAAGCGTGCGTAGCAACAGTTGAAAATGAATAATAAATCCGCAAAAAAAAACACCCTCCTACCACCCTACCCCCCTCATACAAGTATCATACATAATACATCATGAAAAACCAGACAAACAGACTTAATCAAACAGCTTTCAATTCTCCGTTAAAAGGTGTACTTTGTACCAGTGGATCAGAATGGTATGCAAACAGCAGGAGAGGTGGTATTCAGGATCTGTGATTCAACACAGACAATAGCATCTATCACAGACTTAACCCCTAGGTCAAGATACAGGATCAGAGTAGGAGCAGTAGCAGGCGCTGTAGCAGAGGGCGCTAGCATGCCACTCAATGTGAAAACTCCAGATATAAGTAAGATATTGTTAGTTGATATGCAAGAATAACGATTGCCAATGAGACAACTATCGACCAGAATCCAAAATGACTTGAATGTCAGCAATTATAGGTCACTGTACGGACTTCAACAAAGATCAAAACCAAAACCATTTGAACTTTTAAATGCTCCGACAAAAATGAAACTCCCGCCGTCATAACAGTTTGTATACCTTTGTGTGAGAAAGTTGATTCAGGAAAAATCGAATCCTTCAAATCAGATTTTACTGGAAAATCGTAAAAGACAAGCGGAGCTGACCGGATTTTGGTAATTGCTCTTTTGACGCGCACCTGTTCAGTAATTTATGCATACAATGTGATAAAAGAATAACAACAGTAAGGTTTTCGTAAAGGACATGAATGACAATTGTTTGTTTAACCTTAGGTACATATAAGATCTACATTTACATATATACATGTAATTACTTAAGTCTTTTGCATGCATATATGTAAGAGTCGAGCATGTCACAGTCGTAATTATTATTACATATCGGTCATTAAAAGGTTAACTACTAGTGCATGTACATTAGTTATAATAAATGTCTGTTCTCCTGTATGTTATGTATCTGGTCATGTGGTCTCTAGTGGAGAGTTGTTTCATTGGCAATCATACCACATCTTCGTATTTTATACGAAACTTAACAAATAAAACTAAATTGAACACTTAGAAAGCAACCTCTGAACCAGCATCATAGAATGACGACCTACTAATTATCTCTTATTGTAATACATAACCAAATTTATAAACCGTCGGTTCATATTAATTTCAGCAAGCATTAAACTTTACCTAATTTGAAAGCTTCTTTAGAGTATAATAACATGAACGGTAACAATTTTACCGCATCAGATGCACATTTCGACAATAAATGTCTCATCAGTGATGCTCGACGTAAAATAAAACCTATTACAAGCGCTGAAGAGCTGGGTAAACCACAAATGTCCACAAAATAGAGAACCAAACACAGACAAGAAATCAGAGCTATACGGTTTTGCCAAATACAGCGAAACTAATCTATTCCTTGGGTAAAAAACATTAGTATTTTGAAAAATTCGGAAAAGTTTGGTGAACAGTAAATTTATGCTTATGACCATATCAATGATAATTGATATCAACACAGAAGTTCTGACTACTGGGCTGGTTAAGCTGCATTTGATTTAAATATAATAATTCATTTCAGTACCGTCAAGAGTACGTAACGTGATGGTCAAATCTTCAACTGCAAATACAATTACTTTGATGTGGAATCCTCCACCTGTTATGGGAGATCTCATGTCCTACGAGATTTACTACGAGGAGAACCCTATCAATAAAATACATATAACAGTCAAGCCTCCAAAGAACATGTACGTTATTAAAGATTTGACAGAGGGTACCAGTTACAAAATTCAAGTGTCTGCCAAGTCAGACAATGGTGAAGGAGAAAAAAGTATCCCCATAGAAGGATCAACTCAGCGATTTAGTAAGTATTATCAGAATATTACATGGCATTTTTCATATCAGATGTATTATCAGCCCAAGGTTCAATATCAGCCCAAGAGCCGAGGGCTGATAATATATCCGATATGAAAAACGACATGTTATGATCTTTTTATCATATGCTTCAACAAAGGAGAAAAATAACAGTTTAATATATTGATCCTTTTAAGTGATTCTCAAGTAGAAGTTCAAAAAGTGAAAAGTTTACGGACGATGGACGCCTGGAATGTAATACATCCGATATGAAATCTTTCTATCATATGCCTCAACAGAGGAGAAAAACAACTATTGATATATTTTTATATTGAAGATAAAAAATCATGATAAAGAGTATGATATGAAAAATGACATGTAATGATCTTTTTATCATATTCTTCAGCAGAAGAAATACAGACAAGAACTATTTTGAAAACTTTGAAAAAAATGCATTTATTGTATTATTATTTTTTTGGGCACTTTTCATAATGTTTTTTCCTGTTAACTTATACTTGTTTTTTAGCCAAATTTGTTATATTTTCCACGGAAAACCTACCATTGAGGTGTATTTTCCGGAATTTGCCGAGTGATGTCGAAATGCCATGCGATAACGTTACGGAAAGGCATGCGATAATAACTGGAAGCAGTTGATAATCTTTTCAAATCAGTCCGCTAAGCACCATTTCGAAAAATATGGAATTAACGCAATTTAATGTTATTATCAAACTGTAAAATTATAAGTTATTTACTCTAAGTATATGATAATGGATTGTATCACAGCTATCGAACGTATCTGCTGGTAATAATCATTATATATATAATCATCTCTTTGTAGCATACCCATAACTTTTTATAATGTTATATTAAGTTAATGGTTGTCTTGCATTTTGGTTGACGAATCTATACGAAAGACGATGCAATGCGTATCTTAATTTCATTGCCTCAATTAATTAAAATAATCTTGAAATGAAAATTTTAGATATCGACATTAGTTGTATGGATTGTTTTTAAGTAATAAAAATAAATTCCTAGTCCAGATATTGAATCAAATTTTGATAGTCACAAATATGTTCATTGAATTATAATATACTTATTTGTTGTACAGTTCCAGGCGCACCACAAGCTTTCAAGGGAGATGCCATTAACAAGACAGCTGTTGTTGTAAGATGGGCCCCACCTCCTCCTAAACCTGGAGATGGTATAATCCGTGGTTATCTCATTAACTACACTGACGTCCGGTACACGGATGTAGCCGAGCACAGAGTTGGAGCGGACGTGTTCGAAACTGTTATTACTAATTTAACCCCAGCCCAGGTCTACTACTTCCGGGCCTTTGCATTTACACACAAATCAGTCGGAAGAGGAGGACCAGTTATCGCCCTTGAAACTCTTGCAGATGGTATGTATAACTCTGGTTTTAATCTATTTTTGCGTCAACTAAAATATTCAAAACCTATATAAAAAGAAGGATATGTGGTATGATTGTCAATAAGACAACTATACACCAGAGACAAAATGACATAAAAGAGACAACTATAGGTCACATTGAGTCCATCAACAATGAGCAAAACACAAAAAGTTATTTGTTCAACTAGTTATTGCCCCGAGTAAAGAAAAGTGTAGGAGAGTTCAAATGACGAAGATTACGGCAATTATAGATCACTATACGTATAATTAGTCACTCTACCTGCATGAAATAGAGTCTCGGGACCCGATTTTTTTTTTAAATTCTAAAAGCAAACAATAAATTTATTTTCTCATGTTTTGTCTTAAATTTCTATTGTTCAGTTTTCTTTCTAAAGCACTGTGTGTCTTTGTTCTTCATTTCGACCATAAAAATGAATAAGCAGGGGACGCAACCCGAGAAAACACAGCTTTGGTACATGTATTGCATAGCAAAATCTATAAACCTGTAAAGATACATGTATTATTCTATTAATACAATTTACCTTATATCTCACTTATTATGGTTAACCAGAAAATAAGTTATGACATTTACATTCGTGTAATACTTATATGATTTGCATAATTAGGAATCCTCTATTATGATGATGGTTAAAAGCCAATCTGAAAGAACATTTTGGCAGTTTATTTTGTAATAAACTTTGTTCACCAAATCCTCTTTCTAACCAGTGGCGACTCGGATTGACCTTACATTAAAAAAACCAAAAAGACGAATAAGCATTATTTTAAATAGACAGTTGATATAACAACATACCCATTAACAAATTAGCAGGATTAAACATCAATGAAATTATATGTTGTGTAAATTCAATGAGACAGCAACCCGACGGCACAAATAATCAAAACAGTTGTCCAAACCATATCAATTAAATCTAAATCAAATATACAAAATAAGTTTGTAAATGAATTAAACAGAAACCTTAACGATCTTCCTTATAATTATGTAAACGTGTCTAAATAACAAAAGTTAACAATAAACCCAGAGAAATTGTAAATCTTCGAATAAAATATTTTTCGTTTTGTATTATTACAATCGAAGCAAAAACTTGTACTTTATATACAATAATACAATTCGAAAAAAAATATACGGACAATACTAATAACAGATAACAAATCCCTAATTGATTATTAACAATCTTCAAAATAAAAATATCATCAAAAGGGTAAACATAAAAAAATGAAAACAACACTTTATATATTTCATGCGTCCGAAGCGCTTTTCTGGATTTACCTTCATCAGGAACGCTCAAAGACGAATATTTGAAAACCAAGGATGCATAAGAACCGAAACACTAGAAGAGCTATATATTCAATAGGACCTAAAAAATAGCCAAATTCATCTAATATTAACTTTTCCTGAGGAAGTTGAAACCTTAGTTTCTTTATAATTTCAAGTGTTGGATAAAGATATTCATTTGTTATAATTTCAAGTGCTGGATAAAGATATTCATTTGTTATAATTTCAGTGCCATCACCACCTCGTCAACTACAGATCATGACCATTAGAGAAGAACCACCAAAGATTGCATTGACATGGTTACCTCCCCTTCACACATACGGAAATCTTAAAAACTATACATTAGTATGGGGTGTCCAAAACGGCGCAAATCGGACAGAATATATCAGTAAAACAAGACTGGAATGGAGTTCTGATTTCCTTGGTGAGTATAAAGATGATTACTAATACATGATATAAAAACAAACACAAATAAGTTAGAAAGTAATATAACGAAGTACAAAGTGTGTAATTCAAATTATAAATTACCAAAAGACAGAAAAAGACAGGCCAAAAAGAAAAAAAATCGTAAGATATACAATAGATTGAAAAGATAAAGACAACGCCACGGCAAAACCAAAGACGTCGAAAAGACAAACAAGTTAACAAAACACTACATAAAAAACTAAATACTGGGCAACACTAACCCCACATGAAAAAAACTAAAGACTGGGCAACACTAACCCCACATGAAAAAAACTAAAGACTGGGCAACACTAACCCCACATGAAAAAAAACTAAAGACTGGGCAACACTAACCCCACATGAAAAAAACTAAAGACTGGGCAACACTAACCCCACATGAAAAACTAAAGACTGGGCAACACTAACCCCACATAAAAAAAAACTAAAGACTGGGCAACACTAGCCCCACATAAAAACTAAAGACTGGGAAACACTAGCCCCATATAAAAAAACTAAAGACTGGGCAACACTTACCCAACATAAAAAACTAAAGACTGGGCAACACTAGCTCCACTTAAAAAACTAAAGACTGGGCAACACTAACCCCACATAAAAAACTAAAGACTGGGCAACACTAGCCCCACATAAAAAACTAAAGAATGGGCAACACTAACCCCACATAAAAAACTAAAGATTGGGCAACCCTAACCCCACATAAAAAACTAAAGAATGGGCAACACTAACCCCACATAAAAAACTAAAGACTGGGCAACACTTAACCCCACATAAAACCCTAACGACTGGGCAACACTAACCCCACATAAAAAACTAAAGAATGGGCAACACTAACCACTAACCCCACATAAAAAAACTAAAGAATGGGCAACACTAACCCCACATAAAAAACTAAAGACTGGGCAACACTAACCCCACATAAAACCCTAACGACTGGGCAACACTAACCCCACATAAAAAACTAAAGAATGGGCAACACTAACCCCACATAAAAAAACTAAAGACTGGGCAACACGAACAACACATAAAAATAGAAGTATCTTACACATATAGATATAGGATCGATATACCAGACACAATTTCTATAACCACATTAGGAAGAAACTTAGTAACCAGTTACGAAAAGGAATACGTCCACATGTTTTATTGTGTTGATTAATATGTCTGAACAGAATGATATGCATATAATGACATATTTATGTTTATTAAAAATATCTGTTTACCAGTCGTGTTTTGATAATGAATACCTTGTAAGAGTCGTGTATTTTCTTAATGAATATCTTGTAAGGGATTTTATTTATAACTTATGATATATAAATTAATGAAGGAAAGAATGTATGGACGATTTTGAATCAAAGCATTACTAGTGGGCTAAAAGTTTAAATGAATATTACTGCGTATAAAAAAAGTTTTTTCAGAGCAAATTAAAACTACTTTGAAAAACTAATCAAAGATATCAAGCTTATAATTTGGTTCGCCAGACGTTCGTTTCGTTTACATAAGACGCATCAGTGGCCCTCGAATCAGAACAATTAAAAAGTCAAATCAAATTCGTAGTTGAGTAACAATAAACACAGAAAATTACGAAAAATTGTGTAAAATACGATTAGGCAATCTTTTCCTAGTTTGAAAAACCTTTAGTGTTTGGAATAGTTCAACATTGCATAAACAGTTACAGGAAATGAACACATAAATGAAAAAAGTAAAATAACAAAAATACCGAACTCCAAGGAAAATTCAAAACGGAAAATCCTTTATCAAATGATAAAATCCAAATCTCGAACACATCAAACGAATGGAAAACAACTGTCACATTCCTGACTTGGTATATAGAAAATGGTAGATGGTTTTATAGCTAGCTAAACCTCTCACTTGAATAACAGTCGCATAGAATTCCATTATATTCCATATCCACTCATTTCAGATGATGACACAACCCACGTGTTCAGACTCTCTGCTGTTAATAAAGTAGGCTTAGGAGAAGCTGCTGTTACAACGTACATGACTCCTAAAAAAGGTAGGCAGTATTAATTAAGACACAGTTGTATTGCTATCTCCTTATAACTGGTTGTCTCTACCAGATAAGTTAAGTACCTCTCACGAAAGGTGTTGTATGTGACTCCTTGAGAACTTATTATCATTATATCTTTTACTTTGTTTGTTTATCTCTCTTAATTGGTCCATGTTCCAGTTTAATTCTTTATCTTTAATATCGCTAGTATGCCCCACCTACGATAGTAGAGGAGCATTATGTTTTTTTCGGTATGTGCGTCCGTTCGTTCGTCCGTCCGTCCGTTCGTCCGTCTGTCCCGCTTCAGGTTAAAGTTTTTGGTCAAGGTAGTTTTTGATGAAGTTGAAGTCCAATCATCTTGAAACTTAGTACACATGTTTCCTATGATATGATCTTTCTAATTTTCATGCCAAATTAGAGTTTTGACCCCAATTTCACGGTCCACTGAACATGGAAAATGATAATGCGAGTGGGGCATCCGTGTACTATGGACACACTCTTGTTTTTATTGTAATCTAAAACTGCATTATTTGGTATAATTTTGTGTTCACTTGTTAGCAAGAAGGTCGACTAGCCTTGCATTTCTTCAACGAAGTCAATATTTATGACATGGTTGTAATATTGTACTTGTTTATAGTTATAACATGAAATCTGAAAATGTAATTTACATTTATATTGATTACTTATTTTCAGTACCGATCATTCCACCGAATGTAAAAGTGGCTCGTTTACAACTGCAATCAAATGGTTCAACAATATTAAATGTCACGTGGTCTAGTCCGCCAGTTTCCGTAGATGGATTCCGTATTCTCTTTAGAAAATTCCAGCTTGTGTACAGTGGACGATGGGAACTTGTGGAAATATTCGATCCAGAAGCACGTAATGTAGAAATCCCATTGGTTGAACCAGATTATCCATATATAGTAGTTGTCCGAGGAATACCAAAAGGACAAATTATGAACATGTATAATACACATCAAACCCATAATATGAACCCTGGTATGCATGGTATGGGTCCGCCGCCTCTTTAGTTGAAGAAAGTTCCGAATGTTTTAATAAAAGTATTATTGTTACGAACATTGGAAATTGTTTGCAGCATTGGAGAAAGGTTGATGTGTTTGATAATTATTACGCATTGTGGATTAATACTATTGACCTGTGTGTCAATAAAGTATTCAAAAGTATCCATTAAAAAACCTTTTAAACTTAAGTTTAACTGTTTCGACGTTGAAACATTAGTATTAGGAGTATAATTGTAACTTCTTGTTAATTTTTAAATGTAATTGGTTTATTGTTTCTCGAGGGTCTGGGTGGGGTTTCTCGAATACTGCATAATGGGTTTAAACAAAATAAAGAATAGAAATAATGTGCTATAAAATAGAATATAAAAATGAAAACCTCCTTCTCCTTCAAGACCCTCCTACAGTATATCAACAAGAAATTTATTTTGATGTTACAGCTTTTCACCTTATTTATATAATTTAGTTTGGAGGGTTGGTTGTTTTTTCAGTTCTCATATTTGAAGAAAGCATTTTTTTACACACTCAAAGAGATGCTTTGATATGTATTAGAGGGGGTTCGAAAATAAATTTTATCCAAGGAACTGTTTGTTTAATTGAGAAATCATTAAGTAATACATGCTGACGTTTAAACAAAGCATCAGGGAAAACGAACTTTGTTGTAATTGAATATGAACATAAGATAATTAATTTCTTATTCTGACAGGGTCCCCTCCTGTTTTATTAGACATTTGTATTCAAGAGATGAAGTTTGACCTACGTTCATTCATTACAAGTACATCCACCATTTTTACATAAAAAACCTGTCAAAAACACGTAGGATGTTCTTATTTTTGATTAAATTTTGTTATACACTTATGTAAAGTATTTATTTGATCTGTGCTTGGCCAAATGTTGGTATAGACTGTATTAATTGGTACACATTGTATATAATCGTCATTATTCAATTCGGTCAAGGTAATAAAAATAATTGATAAAAACGCTGTCAAAATAAATGCGTTTAAAAGATGATCTCTCAAACCTCAACATTTTACATTTACACAGGTCTTTAATGTTAGTAAGTGATCACAAATGAAGAATTGTATCATAATCGATTGCCAATAACATTAAGTCCTTTAAATTATTATATGAATCAGTTATACATTTTTTTCTAAGAGCAGAATGCCTGTTGCGGTAAGGTTTTTTTTATTTTGATATATGGTACACCAAATATGTAGTGTTTGGAACATTGACTTCCCTCATTTTTTTATAAACTGTACAAATAAAGATATTTTTTTTCATTTCAATCATTGTCGTATCGCACTTAATTATTTGACAAGATATGAATATAGGACCAGGTTTGTTCGGAGGTAAAACTGGTTTGAATTCTACCACACTTTATACATATCACACTAAAGAACTCATCACATATAAAGACTAAGGCTATCTAGACTATGTGTTGTTGGTTAATAATTTTCCTTGCTCATACGTCTTGTTTTTGCGGAGTCGATTTGTTGGACTAGTGAGTTATATTGTCCAATATTTATTGTGATTGCTGATATTTGTTTTATGTGTCATTGTTTATGTCATATTTATTGTGTGCCTTTTTATTTGATGATGACGGTAGATCTTTCATAGTTTCTGTTTGAATAAGTCTATCTGATAAAGATTCGGACCGTTTTAGAACTTTACCTTTTGTATGAATACATCACTTATGTTGAGCACTGTATGATGCCCTCTAGAATTCTAGGTTATTTTGATATTTGTTTCTGTCCCAAAAACGTATATCCAATAGCTTTTCTAATTCTCAGTTATAGTCTTCCGAAATACTCGTGTTTGTAGACAGTTATATACTATTTATTTTCCAAACTTCAGATTTTAGTAATAATGCATTGCTTAAATTATTTATACATATATATCTGTTTGTCTGTTTTGTCCACTAAGCTGGACATTCATTGCGTTTGATACAGACTAAGCAGGAAATACTTATCCTGTCGCCACACCCAGTCTCTTGATTTGTGATGCATGTGTATATCACTCAACGTTTTTCTCTAAGTTTTGCATATGTAAATGGATTCAAGGCTTTTGCATCGGTAAACCATTGTTGCTATTATCAAATTTTTACCCCCAAAGTTTTTGTATTCTTTTCGGGTTGTAATTTTGTCAAGCGACACGCGATGACAGTCCTCCACTACTATGCCTAAGGGGATGATTAACAACCTTTGACTTCCTTTGTGGGTCTCGCACGGTTGATGTTACGATTGATGTCGCATATAGAGCAAGTATGCTGGCAATCTGGAAAGTTTGAGTCCTTTGCTAAAACTAAATTAGCATATTGTACAGTCGTATTTTATAGTTATACTATCCGTTTACAATAATATTCAGTTTGTTCACCACAAGATGGGTATAATACAATTTGCTGATAGTGTATATTTCAATATGTAACTTCATATTTAGAAAATTTAATTAGCAATTACTGAAAATCAATAAAGCAGTTTTTAATTGATTATTGATGGTATTAAAAAAGGAGAGAAGAAACCAAAGTTTTGAGTTTAAAAAAAACAACACGTACGTTTATAAATCGTGTTAACACAATATTACTCATCACTAATCACATATAAAGGGAAAACTCATTAAAAACCTTTTAAACATTAAACCAATATCAAATTATATTTGATATAAAAATATATTACTTTCTTTGAGGATTGCACAATAGTATCACTTATAGTGTTAAATCATACATCATACATATAACTACTATTGAAACATGAACTATATTTATTAAATTTATACGTTATCAACACAACATATTTGATTGTATATTTTCATTTCCATATATATATATAGGTCGTAGTTCATAACACATGCGTAATTCATGAGTTATCACGGATGTCCCATACGTCATCTTGCGAAACCGCAAAATTTGTCTTGACATCCAACCTCACGATATTTTTCAGATATTGGAATAATTTCATGTCACTGTGTTCTGAGTTGGTTTACTGTATATAAAAATAAGGAGGTGTGGTATGATTGCCAATGAGACAACTATCCACCCAAGTTCAAATGAAGTGGACGTAAGCAATTATAGGCAACCGTACGGCCTTCAACAATGAGAAAAATCCATACTGTATAGTCGGCTATAAAATGCCCCGACATGAAAAATATGAAACAATTCAATTGAGAAAACTAACTTATAACAGAACATGGATGTTTCGGTATTAACATTTTCCAGAGTACCTGAGTTCATCTTGGTTTTGGTCTGGTTCGTGTTGTTTTATATTTAGTTTTTATGTGGTGTTTAGTGGACTTTTTCGTCGTTTTTCAGTTGCATTTGCCATGGCGGTGTCAGGTTTTCTTCGACTCATGAGGTTAGAATGTTCCCGTGGTATCTTCGGCTTCTTTTTTTACCAAAAGTAGACAGCTCATTTTTGTAACAGCGATCCTTAGCCTGTTACCGGTACGACTTTAGGAGTTTTATATAAAGTAATATTTTGGAAGCAAATGTTTATAAATCAAAAAACATATATTACTTCGTTAAAATATACTATTCACGATTTGCCGTTGTGGGTTTATTTTTTTTGTCTTCAACAAGTTTTTTTTTGATGTCACCTGTAGTGTCCATGTCCACAATTTTGATAATCTATGCTTACTGTTTAATTATTGATATACATGGTAAAAAGAAATTGTTTATTTCTTTCAAATGGTAACGTTCATTTTAACAATAATAACTGGCATCTGTGTGCTCAATAACAAAATAGCCTGGTCTAACTTGAATGAAATTCTACATGGGATTATTTTCAAGACTAAACCGACGTACTGATTGGTGTCTGCTCAACATCCAGCATTCACAAGTTATATGTTCCAATTTTCGTAACTACAATCCCGTCCCCTTTTCTCCGAAAGTGACCTACCGAATTAGACTTATCACCGGGTGTGTACTAACATGAGCAACACGACGGGTGCCATATTTGGAGCAGGATCTGCTTACCCTTCCAGAGCACCTGAGATCATCCCCAGTTTTTGATTGGGTTTGTGTTGCTCGGTCTTTAGTTTTTCTATGTTGTGTTTTGTGTGTACTGTTGTTTGTCTGTTTCTTATTTAGCCATGGCGTTGTCAGTTTATTTTCGACTTATGAGTTTGAATGTCCTTTTGATATCTTTCACCTCTCTTTACAGTCATATTCAGGACTATACCATAGATAACATAGTGATATAAAAATACCATGCTGTGTACTAGACCAACAAAATCAGTCGGTTTTGATAACAGAATTAAATCATACCGTTACGTTTCTATGTTGTATTGTTTCATATTGGTTCAAAACACGGTTTCGGTTTAGATCATTGTTGATAGCAATACCGTGAACTTTTTCTTCGGCTTATAGTTGTCTCATTGGCAAGCATATCAATTTTTTTTATATATATAGCCCACACAGTATCAGTTATGTGGACATACCACCCTATAAACATTATCCTCTTAAGACACATGATGTGGTATGATTGTAAATGAGAAATCTATAAACCAAAAATAAATACAACTAAAGGTGTCCTCAGCGTCCTCATTGGTGAATAGATTTAAACCAATTATAAAGTTTTGTTTTCTCTCGAAAATGACAGGGTATATCCTACAAAGAGGGGCGTAAAGGGGGGTATCTGCACGGAAGAACGCGAAATAAAATTGCCATTTCACGATGAACGAACAATTAAAAATTTCTTGCACGTTGATCTTTTTACCGATTTCACGAAACACGGTGAATAACGAACCTTTTTCACGGCTGCACGTGAAATAAATTGGAAAAACACGTTGCACGAAAATAAACCTTTACCATCCTCTACGACCATCCACACCCCGGACTACAAGACAAACGATGTTGTACTAAATTTTGGCAACAGTAGTTTACCGACGCTTAAATCTCTTTATACTATTCAGAAAAATCAAGGTAATAATAAAAAACTGAGAAATTCGCATGAAGTCCAAAAAACGTGTCGAGAGGATAAGCGTCTTCTGATAAGCATTTATCACACAGAGTGTATGCTATTGCTTATAAATGGAAAGTTGAAATCGTCACGTTTGTCATATATTCTAGTTTGAAGTCGTCAATTTAGGTCAGTATCAAGGAATAGAGCGAGATATAAAGTATATCTTGTAGATTCGATAGAAGCCCTAATCCCAAGTTTACTGTGATATATGAGATGCAAACACTCACTGCAATATAAGATGTTGAGTGACAGAGCATCATGAATACATCTGAAAGTGAAATTAAAAACATTTTGGTATGAGTTGTGCATGAAAATTGCTTCATTTGAGGTCAAAATAAGTCGGCCAGTCTGTTGAAGTATCAATCCGCCAAACTCATCAAATATGCTTTACTAAACCATATCTTATTTCAATATAATCTTTTCAAGTTTTGTACACGACAAGGACAAAACAAGTGTCAACATTGTCATATATAAGTTTATGCAAATTACTTATTCAATTATATGTGTGTATATATATATATAAACTGACAAGTGTAACATGAAATTTTTGACAACGTGCGTAGTACAATAAATTTAGTCTGGTTGAATTTTTTTCTCCGATGAAACCTGACTTTTGATATTTATTTATAGCAGTCATTATATGAATCATATTAGGACATTGAACTGATTCATGATAGGAAATTATTGCATGATGTTGCACGAAGAGCTACTAGTAAATAAAAAGTGGCACTAGTTATATAAAAAGTAGTTCTGTCTAGGTAAATGTCAGTAATAAGGAAATATAAACCAATTGAACTCGGTGTCATCACACGCGCGTCTGGCGTATAAAGTTTTAATCCTGGTATCTATGATGAGGTTATTTGGATACAAATTTCCAGTTAATTTATTTTGTAATTGTAATAAACAGTTTTCAAGTTGTATATTCTTCGAGCAAAGTTTGCCTTTGAAGGGTTTGATTTCATGTTTTCAGAAATGAAGCAGAATTCAAAAACACAATTAAATGAAAAGGTCCATTCGTTTATTACTGCTTTCGATAAAATATAAAGATCATACACTATGCTTAAAGAATTCAAACCCCCAACTGATTCATATCTTTATCAATAAGTTTATTTATTCATTTCCAAACGTCACTAAATAATGAAAATAATACTTTGTATTGCTGCTACGCAATAACAACAATGAAGGTTTTGAACTCCTGTTTTTCCAAAATTCAAAAGCTAAACTAATGAAAAAGTTCTTTCCTTTATTTCTAGATCTCGATATCAAGATCATACACCGTGCTTTAAGACTACCAACTGATTCATACCTCTTTAGATTAGGCCTCGAGTGTCAAAGAAAGAACGTTCTAAATAGCTGAAATCAACCAATGATATGATGTCATTGCATTGTCTCCATTTTGAGTGCCTTTGATTCTCCACGATTTTTTCTCTTGGTTGACATCTTTCTGATGAATTCGTGAATTTAGTTCATCGGTTGACTGCTGTCATCTTTCAAACGATGATTCACTGTAAGTTGAAGATCACCAATAAAATACGCCTTTTCTTTGCGTTTGGTTTTGTCAAATGCGTAGACATTTAACGCCACGAATTTAATGTATGATAATGTTCCTCAACTTTAGATTCTTATAAATGATACAGAAACGCCCGAAGGTGGGTGTTTATTCATAAGAGTAGGTTTTGGAGTATTCATTTACAAGAACAAACACTATGTTAGGTTTTGAACATAAACAAATGAATTATCAAAGGAGAACATTTTTTTATATCTTTATTATAAATTTAATTCTTGAGGGTACGGTATATATAGTATCCATACGGTTATAATATGTATTAAGACACACAATAAATGGAGGAAAGTACGGTATAACGTTCTACATAATGACCATGCTATGGTACAGAGAGTTTTAAATTCATACTATTATACATATTATATAAACGAAAGGCAACATTAGTTTACCGTTGTTCAAATTTCATAAATCCATTAAAAACATACAAATTAAGGTGAACATAATTTGAGGGAACTTCGAAAGAAGCACGAACAGGTGTGTTAACAAGGTAGGCGTATACTAATGTGTATGGATCAATCGACATGCGCAGTTGGAGCATTGAAATCGGTACCGTTTTATTTTTTTAATGCCTCACCTACGATAGTAGTAGGGGCATATTTTTTTCTGGTCTGTGCGTCCGTTTGTTTGTCAATCCGTTCGTCCGTCCGTCAGTCCCGCTTCAGGTTAAAGTTTTTGGTCAAGGTAGTTTTTGGTGAAGTTGAAGTCCATTCACCTTGAATTTTAGAACGCATGTTCCCTATGATATTATCTTTCTATTTATCAAAACACAGTTTTATTGCTATCTCCTTATAACTGGTTGTCTCTACCAGATAAGTTAAGTACCTCTCACGAAAGGTGTTGTATGTGACTCCGGATGCTTTCCTTGATAACTTATTATCATTATATCTTTTACTTTGTTTGTTTATCCCTCTTAATTGGTTCATGTTCCTGTTTAATTCTTTGTCTTTTATATCGTTATTATGCCCCACCTACGATGGTACAGGAGCATTATGTTTTTCGGTATGTGCGTCCGTTCGTTTGTCCGTCCGTCCGTTCGACCGTCTGTCCCGCTTCAGGTTTAAGTTTTTGGTCAAGATAGTTTTTGATGAAGTTGAAGTCCAATCAACTTGAAACTTAGTTCACATGTTCCCTATGATATGATCTTTCTTATTTTTATGCCAAATTAGAGTATTGACCCCAATTTCACGGTCCACTGAACATAGAAAATGATAGTGCGAGTGGGGCATCCGTGTACTATGGACACATTCTTGTTTTTTCACTGGGATACACGAGATACAAGCATTCACTTAAACGTGGTTTATTGAGTAACCAAATATCATCAATACTTGTATATCTGATAGTAAAATTAAAGAACTTTATAAGTCGCAACCATCTATAATGGAAACCATGTTATGATTGATTGATTGTTATTTGCTTTATGTCCAGTGGCAAATATTTCATGCATATTCAGGATGAGAACTAATAAATACAACAGGTCGGACCTGCTGTAAGGGCATAACAAGATAAAGGGCGGGTAAGATGAACTAGAAAACAATGATATGTTGGATATGGGCAGACATTAAACCATACAACAGGCAACTCACAGACCCCTGAAAAAAGTTATTGCGATCCTGTTTAACGTGCAGAGAGCGTGGCACTATTTCAGCACGAGGCATCGGATTTAACTTCTCAATTCCGACAAGAATTGGCTGCGAATTTTATACATCCCGCGCTGCAAAACGGATGCCTCACTATGGTAAGGGTTTGACTGCCTGTCGGTAGAAGACCAAAAAGGACATATTTCTATATTCCAGTCACAATTACCTTGATTTAATCATTGTATGAAATGTTAAATGTTGATACAAAATAGAGTTGGGTTTTTTTCAAAGTTTAATACATTTCACTTGAATTACGACTAACCACATCATCATTTAATGCTAAGTTAGAAAACCTGCATGATTTATTATTATAGGTCTGGTCTTTGTTTCAGGTAATATATCAAATTACTGTCAAGCATTTTCTCTAAGGTGAAATGATAATAAATAATAACAATCATTTCAGTAATACTTTTAATATGGTAACTTGTGTTCATACAACAAGTTGTAGAAACGGGACTAAAATAACTATCATAAAATGCATCTCTTATTATTGAATTCATCTGTAGATGCTATAAATGATACACTAGAATTTCCTTACGATCAAATTTTTAAAAGATTTTCTACTAATATCCCTTTCTGACGTGTCTTTTAGGCGGACATATTTTATGCGAGTATGGTACTTGGTATAAATACTGAAATCCATCTGAAAGAACAAAAATTGTTATTGTGTCACAGATGTACAATACTTTGTCAATAAATCAAGTTAAACTACAAATATATTCGTAAAGGTATGGAAATCCAGATTTCAAGAAATACTTACCGGTTCGAATTCCCGAACTATGGGAGTTAAAAAAAACACTTCTTGTAATTCTACAACTAAAAATGTTACTTTAGTTTTAGGTTAGCAAGATGCAAGACCAGTTCCTCACTAAGGGTCACTCTGATAGTCCTCAATATAATCAACACTTTATAGAATGCAAGCGTCCAAAGCGCTTCTTTGGATTTACCTTCATCTGGAAAGCCGAAAGATTAAACGATTTATAAAAACCAAAACAATATAATGAAACATTTAAATAAGTGTTCCTACTCTTTAACAACAATTATGTAATGATTGGCATACACTACATATTTGTGCAAACAAGGAACACTTTTCAGCTTCAAAACTGTTTGAATTGAAACCTTTAAAATACACGTGTACTACTTTGTAGAGGGAAGATTGATCGTTATTGGACATGCTTGTCTAAAATAATCTATATTCTACATTAACTCTACGCATTAACATCAGGTGTGCTAACAGTGCAAACAATCAAATGTTTATGGCCAATCGTACGAAATAACGTCAGTATACATAAACACCGATTAATGAAATTTCATTTTAACACAATTATCGAGGACGATGCCAGATGGTTTGCTAGAGGGACAAACTGAAGACTGTTTATAACATCGAATTTATTTTTCAAATTACTTAAGATAACCCTCGGTTTTTTGTGTGTTTCTTGTTGCTCAATTTTAAGTTGTCTTTGTAGTGATTTGTATACTGTTGTTTGTCTTTGTAGTGATTTGTATACTGTTGTTTGATCTGTTTTTGGTTTTTTTGCCATAGCGTGGTCAGTTTGTCGTCAACGTATGAGTTTAAATATCCCTTTGTTAACTTCCGCCTCTCTTTTGTATCAGCACGATGATTTATACCACTGATTTTTGTGGCAACACTTTTTTTTAATGTTTGTTCATGCGATTTCCATTGTCATAAAACCAGGCTCAACCCACCATTTTTTCTTAAAATGTCCAGTACCAAGTCAGGAATATGGCAGTTGCTATCTAATAGTTCGTTTCTATGTATGTTGGCGTTTGTTTGTGTTGCACTTCAGTGTTTCTGTTGTTCCGTTGTTTTCCTCTTAAAGTCGATGTGTGTCCCTCGGTTTTTAGATTGTAACCCGAATTTGTTTTCTCTCAATCGATTTATGACTTTTGGAAAGCGGTATACTATTGTTGCCTTTATTCATACCAGCAAAAGTTTCACGTCTTTTGTTCGTTTACAAATTATTTCTCTGATGACAAAAACGACCATAAATTATTGGACTTCTCCCTTTTTTGAATTTGCCTTGGAGTTCGGTATTTTTGTTATACTTTTTTTATTAATATAGGTAAAATAGGAAGATAAAAATACTTACACCACTGACTACCATAAGCCACTGGACACATTGTAAGAAGCGTGGTTTCTTCATAAAACAAACCGTCTCCCTAGAACGGATATAGTATCAAAATATGTTTTTGGAAAGATATGTATTAAATTCGTCGATATGGATACCATATGTAATTAATTCTGTGAGTATCAGTTTTAACAATCACACATAGAATTGTAAATAATCAAAGTCATGTCAATCTAAACGATTATCAATTACCATACACACCAATTTAGATAACATAAAGTACTAAGTAATCGTCTTTTTACTGATTTCTCCCCCCGATATCAAAATAAAAAAAAAATTGGCTGCTTTCAGTCACAATCTCATAATATAGAATGTTATCAAAAACTATTATTGACTCATTGCAGACAAGTGTCTATATCCATGATATCTTTAGGTAGCAATAAACAGTTATGCGTATGGTTTCGCATTTTGGCCACGGTGGATTTTTCAAATATGAAAGTTATTGTGCAATAAAATTCATTTTTAGACAGATGATAACTAATTAGGCCTTCAAAGTGGGTTCATAAGAACATCAATATCATTATTTACATGTTTTATGGGCTATTTTTTGTTTGGCTGTCATTTTTGTCATAGCCAGACCCACCATAGGTCCAGAAATTATTGTGATGTTTACAAACACTTTTTTGTCACACGAACTTTTTGACGCAATTTTACAAAAAAATGAGACGAAAGACATATGCTTTTTATTTGATCTCTGGATAGATATATGTAAACAGTCTCAGAAAAGGTAACACTCCAAGGGATTGAAATTCTAATTTTGGCCAAATTTTTGTGGAAATATTTGACATATTTACCCCTTTTTGAACTATTTTATAGCAAACATATGCGAGTTGTTGCCATGGATACACCAAAAAGAAATTAACTTTAACCATTTCAACTACTGGATATCAAATCTATGGAAGATACTGATTACATACATATGCACATATATGACACAAACATTAAGCTTAATTAGTAAGAAATCAAAGAAAAGGGGATGGTGCAATTTATGAGGATAAATTTTATTTTTTTTTCCAAAACTGTATATTGCTACCTTAAACCATGTTTAATAGTGTTACCGGATTAGAGTAGAAACTGAATACATTGCCGTAGAACCTGTTTGATTGTCGTTGGTTAATCATGTGCATCTCGTATTTCTGTTCAGTTCTTTGTACCATGTTGATTAAATTGTTTCTTCTGATCATGATGCTTTTGGTCATTATAATATACCAAAATATTTTTGGTACCTCCTTTATTATGTACTGAATAAACCTGATTGCTATTTGTCCGCCATTACGGAATATCAAAGTCGTCACCAATATGGAGAAGGTCTATACAAAGAAGGTACAAAGTGGACAATATAAACAATATATTGGCCAAAGAGAAAAACGACGAAAAGACACACAATACCAACAAATGACATAGAAAACTAGTGATTACGCAACACGAACCACACCAAAAAAACGGGATGAAAAAAGGGAGGCGAAGGATATTAAAGAACATTTAAGTGAAATCAGGTGATCCGGAAGTATAAGCAATTCCTGGTCTATATGTTGCACTCGTCGTCTGAATCATGCAAGTAAAAGTATGATATCAGTCTCATTCGGTGATGTCAAAACCGAGGAAAAGAGAAATATCTCATTTTATCTGTGACAAGGACATGATATAACTGATAACCATATCAAAGCAGGATCCGTACACTTTTAAAAGGAAACAGAGCTTTGTCTTTTTGTTGGTTTTTCTTTTCTGGTCAAGGTTTTTGTGTGCTTCATGTGACAGATCATATTTGGTTGTCTTTTTGAGTCATTTCACTTCTTATGTATATGATATTGCCATTTTTGATTACCATATATACGATGAATGTATTAAAAAGGAAATATCCAATATAAATTACCAACCTTATTTATCGATACTTTAGTGTTAGCTAGAGGAAAGACCAGATCCCCTCCTAAGGTTCTCTCTGACAGCTGTACAATGTAATGAAAAATAAACAAAAGTTTTTATACTCATAAGATATGTTATAAAGTAATTAGATTAATCCACACGTTGGAGGTATCATTAAAAGCAACATACTAATACTTAATTTTATAAAAAAAGAAATTAGACGAACGTGCAATGCATTAGTAATGGCGATGGAACAAAACTTGTTGGTTCACTAGAAAGTGAAAATCTCTTGTTAAAAAAAACCATACTGTTCTTTAATTTCATATTTGATTTGGAATTCCAACTGTTTTGATTCGAGCGCTAACGATAAAACCTTATATATATAGATGAATACATGATTTAAGTAAGGCATGAATAATAACCATTTTGGTGAATTTGGTGGACGACCCCTTTGATAATACGCAGGTTTCATGTTGCTGAGTTGCTTGAGTAATATGTGTATAGTTGTTTGTTTTATTCTTCCTGTTTGTCTGTCTTGACACATATTTTTTTTATAGTTGTCTCATTGTCGATATCACCACGTCTTATTTTTATTTTAAGTACTCACCGAAACTATAAACGATCCCACTACCAAAGACCCAAGTGGATAAGGATAAATATTCTGTAAAATAACAAAAACTCCTTTTAGAAAAACAAAATACAAATGCTTTTTTTTATGAATGAACTACACTCTTTCTTTCAAATACTATTTATAACGAGTACATGTAGCACGTAGAAAAAGATCATTCGAATTTTGTATATATAAGCTAATTATTTGCAAAAACAATTTCGTATTTTATGACAACGTTTTCCATTCCTATGGTTTGTTAATTACTATTTTTATCGAGGTGAAATAGTAATTAGGAAAACATAGGATCGAGAGGAAAAAATTGATTAAAAACGAAATTGCGTAGAAAACAGGTAGTTGATATAAAAAAAAATTCTGTATAAATATAAATGAATACTTTGTCTATATTATTATATATGGTGTGACGTATAGATATATAGATAGTAAATGATTATTCATAATGGAAATGTTTTCGATTGAATTTTCCCGACAAATGAGATTGTGTAATCATACGGAGAACCCCTATCTTGCCTTCCTCGGAATTTAGGGTTTATGTAACAGGTGATTATCAATAAATTCGTTTAAGATTGTATAGTATATATTTTATTTTCTGATTTATTTCCACTGAAAGGACCATGACTACGTAACAAAAAGAAAAACTAATCAAAGTATTGAATATCGAAAAATGTTATCACCTCGTGACCGAACAAAACTTATAATCAACTCATGAACTATGACCATTCATGAATTGATATGTTTATTGGTCACTCGTTGAATATTTTGATATATTTGAAGTTCTTGGACAAGCTATTCTATAACAAATTAAGGAGTGTAAATGGACAGCTATCTTTATGTTTTAGTAGTGAAGTTCACCGTCAAGTTAAATTTGGAAAAAACATATCGAAAGCGTAAGAATTAAAGGTATACACTTTGGTGGAATTGATCTTAAAAGATAACATCTGAGTGAAAACTTTAGAGCTAATTTCATACTAACCAAAACAAATGTGATAAACCTTTTATAGTAAATGTAGTTATATAATGTCATTTAGCAAAATAACAATATAAAAATAAGGAAATGTCACAGGTATGATTGCCAATGAGACAGCTATCCACCAAGGTTCAAAAGTAACTCTGTTTTGTTATGGAACTAGATATTTCAAAAATTTAGCTGGCAGTTAAATTTCTGACCAACCTTGAAACATTTGATTCTTGTAATATCTGTTTTATATGATTTTGCAATTTCGCATTTGTGCAATCGAACAACTAAAGATGTACTTATATTATTCAGGCAACAAATGAAGTAATATCTTACCTTTTGTGGTTTCCTGATAGACCCTTCCAAGCCAATATTCATTACCTATGTTTAAGAAGTAGAAAATTACATTAGATAGATATAAGAAGATGTGGTATGAGTGCCAATGAGACAACTCTCCATCCAAGTCAAAATTTATAAAAGTAAACCATTATAGGTCACAGTACGGTCTTCAACACGGAGCCTTGGCTCACACCGAACAGTAAGCTATAAAGGGCCCCAAAAAATTACTAGTGTAAAACCATTCAAACGGGAAAACCAACGGTCTAATCTATATAAAAAACGAGAAACGAGAAACACTTATGAACCACATCAACAAACGACAACTACTGAACATCAGATTCCTGACTTAGGACAGGTGCAAACAAATGCAGCGGGTTTATATATAGATGCATATTTCATCTATGTGTCCCAAAGTTATTCCTTAAAAGTATTTTAAACTACTTGTTTTTGTTCTCACATGAAACATCCAAAGACAAAACAAAGCATCTTAACAAGTTTTTTTATTCCACTCGATTTAGATTGATGATTTGATAACCCATAGTTCAGTGAGTGCTTGCATCTCATGTACCCCTGCGAACTTGAAATTAAGGATGCTTCTGAAACTACAAGGTCTGCTACATATGCTTCATCTCTTGGTCTTTTCCTCGATACAGACGACTGCATACTAGAATTTTTGACAAAAGTGGCCATCTCAGTTTTCTCGTTGTCAACTTCCCACTTCTCAGCGGTAATATACCCTATGCCCGATATATTGCATATCATTTTAACATATCTCAATTAGTATATTATGCTGTTCATGTTCACATTATGAAGACTTTATATAAAAACAGGGGTATGCTCCTGATCAAAAACTGCGTTATAATGAAAAAACTACAGAAATCGACACTAATTAAGTTTTACAGTCATCATAACGAATTGGTGGACTAATGCGATGTGTCTATGTCTCAACTCACAAGCGACATTTTGATTTTTAAATACAAGAATTGCTATCTGATGTAAATGTACAGTTTGTGTCCTATAACTCTATTGTGACATTTTGCCTGAGTTAATATTCGCATTGCGGACAAAACTGATCTTGTCTTTTCTTGATTTTACCTCAATTTGTTTTTATTACCTTGATTTTTATGTTTTGAATTGATAAATGAGATGAGATTTGCCTCCGATTTATGATAAAATATGTGTCATTTATGAATGAATGTCGTAAATAAATCTGTGTTTTGTTTGAAATGAGTTCTTATATTGATATATACTAGTCTGATCATTTAAGTGCAGAAATTTCATTTGAGCTATTTCATGAAAATGTCATATTTGACAATGAATGGCTTGGCTTGGCTTTTAAATTTCGGGGTTTCAGCATTCCAGTTTATTCGATTGCGTTTCAGACGCTCAAAACATACAGTGTTGTTCTAATTTTATATCCGTTGTAAAGATTAGACTTACATTGAACTTTGACTTTGTGACCAGCTTGTTACTGATATCCATGCTGTAGAATTTTTCTTTCAGTTTCTGAACCCAACCCCAGTTGGTGTTGTCATAAACAATTGAACTGTAATTAATTAAGGTATACATTTTATACAAATTATTGTTTTTGTTATTCAGTGGATGCCTACTATACGAGTAAAACCATTAAATCAAGTATTTTACTGTATAACCACCTGATGACGTCAATCAACTTGTTTTATCAGGGGTTACACGAAGGATTTAATAGTTGAGCAGAAACTCTTGACCCTTACGGATCTGAATTCAACCCAGTTTTTGTCGGGGTTTGTGTTGTTTAGTATTGAATGTTCTGTGTAGCGTGTGTTGATTGTTGTTTGTGATTTTGTTTCAATGCATGTTTTTGATTTTCGTTTTGCATCTTCTTCCCTTTTAAATTTGATTACATTTCAGCTAAATAAAATGGTTATAAAATATTATAATAAACAATGAAACAAACGAGAGGTCAAACACTTAAGAAATTCTTCTCAAACTTGTTTAAATAAAGTTGTTTCTTAAAAACATGCAAAAAATAATATTCAAGAGAAATATTAATTATGATAATAAACAATGGAAAAAATAAGAATTCAAACATTTGATAAATTCTTCTCAAACTTGTTTAAATGAGGTTGTTTCTTAAATACATACAAAAAAATAATATTCAAGAGAAGCGTTTTAATTTTGAGTTCTCAATGCTCTTAAACTTTGTACTTCATTTGGACATTTAACTATTTTGATTCGTGCGTCACTGTCTTTTGTAGACGGAACGCGCGTCTGGCAAACAAAATTAGAGCCTGGTATCTTTGATGATTTCAATAATAATAGTTAGTAAGCAGTTTATTTTGCCGAACAGTCCAAGGATGGTCCGATGTGTACTTGGTTGGGACTGTTGTGTCGAACTCGGTTTAGTTTAAACATATCTTATTTGCTTAAATATGCAAAAGGGATGAGACACAAGTTAATCAAACTTATGAAGTCTTCTCCCATGAACAATTTATAACAATAGAATTTTTTACAAAGCATGCATGCAAACAATACATTGTATATATTGGATATGTAAAAGATGATGTGTGATGATGGTTGTACACAATATACATGTATATGCACTTTAGTGTGCTGTATTACACAATTAGAAACCTCTTTGACTCTTTAATAAACTCATATACATTCTTACAATTCTTTCATTTTCATCACTAGTTAATGGCGAATCACCGGAGGTTAAGATGTTCAAATTTAGTAGAGAGTTCTCTGGTAACCAGTTCAGATTATTAGATAGTTTGATTCTTATATTCGTATAATTAGGACATTCAAAAAAGAAGTGAAATGAATCTTCACGCTTAGCACCACAGCTACAAGACGGATCTGAAATTATATTAACTCTGTTAAGATCATAATTCAAAAACGAGGCTGAGCATCTAAGTTGAGTCAAAATGATGTTGAGTTTACGATTGCCAAATTTATAATGTTTGGGTACTTGGGCTTTTGAATTCAGTTTAAGATTTTTGAATTCAGTTTTGAATTTACCTAAAGAGTCAATGTTGCGGGTCAGCACATTAAGGTTATTCCACAGTCGTATAGTTGAAGGTATGAAGGATTCTTGGGTCAATGAAAGTCTACAAAAAGGGTATATTATATCATTCCCATTACGTAAGGGGTAAACAGCTGTACTTTGGATTGTTGGTGGAATTAAATTGCAAAGATAGGCTGGTGCATTATTATGTTGAATATTATAAAACTTCGAACTCGGTTGTGATGTAACTCGGAAATTTCGAGGTATTTTGTCAGTCTCGGTAAAATTCCGGGTTGATCATTGTATTTCTTTCTATTATAAGTCGAACATGATTGACTTAAAATCTCGGTTAACTCGAGTACATTTCAACATGTTTAATATAAATACATTTAATATTGTGCTTACATAGCTTAATTGGGCTACATTAGCTCGATTGAGGTTTCAAAAATGTTTTAAAGAGTTAAAAGGATGTTAAGCATTTATCGATCTGACAACAATGTCGTCTTAATCACTTATTGAATTTTTTTTTTTTAGTTGAGACTTAAAGTCGCTTAATGGTCGTTTAAACTTTGAGAAAGAGGAAGATCCAGGCGAACATTCTAAAAAGCAAATCGAATTTTATTATGTTTCAACATGAAACAGATTTTGTATTCTTCTGAGACTATTAAAGTCAATGAATATTGGTTTCAAATATGACTTTTGTCGTTTTTTTAATCATTTAATCCACATATCATCATTTATAAATGTTATATTTTAGCTGCTTACTGGTGTCTTACTTGAAACTTATCAAGGAAATTACCTTTGTCTAGGATAACTGTATCTGTATCGACTGGTACTGTTCATTAACTAAAAAAAAGTATCAGAAGATGTCTTTGGTTTTCTGTCTTGTATTTTGTTATCGTTGTTTGTCTTTTCGTCGATTTTTTTTTTGCCATGGTTTTGTCTGTTTTTATTGGATTATTTCTGTTGCTAACTTGGCATATTTTTTTCTCTTTTTAAAGATCCTCATTTGTACATAATGTAATTTTAAAAATGTCCTTTAACATAAGAGTTTGTCATTAATAAAGCTTTGTATTAAATGAAGATCTGCGAAAGTATGCTTTATTAGTTGGCTGATACGTTTTATTTAGATACTAGAATAGTCGTCTGATCGGAATTTTGTCGATTGTGTCCATTTCACGCTTTTGTCAAATTGAACTGAGTGTGTATTCGCATGGCGGGTGATTCGTGTATAGCAGGAGACTCTTACCCTGTCGACGCATTTAATATCGCTCTTTTGGGAGTTCATGCGATTCCCTCAGGATTTTTTCATCTTGATGTGTATCTTCTTAATCAATTTATGAAATTTGAACATTGGTAAATAAAGGCAACAGTAGTATACGGCTGTTCAAAAGTCATAAATAGATCAAGCGAAAACAAATCCGGGTTACAAACTTAAACCGAGGGAAACAAATCAACTATAAGAGGAAAACAACGGAACAACAGAAACACTGAACTGCAACAAAAACAAACGCCAGCATACATATATATAAACGGACTATTTGATAACAACTGCCATATTCCTGACTTGATGCAGGACATATTAAGAAAAAATTGTGGTTTGAACCTGGTTATATGATTGGCCAAACCTCACACTTATATGGCAATGTTAAAAATACCGCTAAAATGACAACACTACGTGACAGGAATACAGTGCAACCCCGTCCTTTAACCCGGTGACCTACCGAATAAGAGTAAACACCAGGTTTGTATTTACATGAGCAGCACGATCGGCGTCACGTGTGGAGCAGGATCTGCCCACCCTTCCGGAGCACCTGCGATCTCTCCGGGTTTTGGTGGGATGTGTGTTGCTCAGACTTTAGTTTTCTATCTTGTGTTTTGTATACTGTTGTTTGTCTTTTGATCGTTTTTTTCGTTTTTGGCATTGTCAGTTTGTTTTTGACTTATGAGTTTGAATATTACTTTGGTATCGTTCGCCTCTCTTTTAGAGCTTTTGTCTGTTGATCGTTTTTGTTTTTTGTTTTTTGGTATTGTCTGTTTGTTTTTTGACTTATGAGTTTGAATATCACTTTGGTGTCTTTCGCCCTTGTTTTAGAGCTTAGTTTATTATATAGACATGACTGTGTGTTTACCTCTGGATGTTTAGTGTAGTTTGTTGTGTCATTGAAATGTACCCCATCTCGTTTATATGACGGATTTCCTTAAAGATAAAAGCGCTGCTGCATACATTGACAAGGAAGCTACTGAGCCAAGTGTCCGTGTTGGTGATATTGTTATCGTCATTTAAAAAACTAAAAGTTCAATTCGATTTGGAAACGTATTATAGTATATGTACAAATAGTAGAGAAAGGATTTTACTTTGAGTGTACGCGTGTGTTGTTTTGTTTTTATCTTTGTTGGTTTTTTAATGGGATGAATTCTAGCTAAATAAAACAATGATTATAAAGTCAATCTTCAACACATGTATTTTTCATTAACACACTTACCGTTTCGTAACCCATGTATCTCAAAGCATTTGCTGTTTTATTGTCTATCAGATCGTGGAAATATATAATAAGAGGTTTATTCTTCAGTACTTCTGCTTTGATATCCGACCTCATGTACCACATTTTATTTCTTAATGGAAAATATAAACATTTCTCTTTCGATATTTTCTAAAAAGAGAAGTTAAAAAGAGAATGCATCTCCGTTTTTAAGTAATTCACGATGTTTGAATCTTTCGAGAAGATGACGGGTACCTTGTTGCATATTTAGAATGATCAACAATAATTGAATGAGAGCGAAAAGAAAAGAACATTAAAATTGGTATATAGCAAAGAAGTAATAGAGTATTGTTGTTCCATCTGATTCTGATTATGACGAGTTAAGACATGAAATACGTGTAATAAACAGTTAATATGTATGGCCTATTCAAACGGTTTTGGTTCAGTTCTTTAGTTTTTACTATGTTTTGTTTTGTGAAATGTTGCTTGTTGTTTTGGTCGTTAAGTGTTTTTTTTTGCCATGACGTTGCCTTTTTGTCTTCTACTTCTTCTAGTTAGAATACCCTTTGGAATCTTTTAATTCACTTTTAATAATCAAAGAGTGCTTCACTTGTTCAAAATTCTTCTTTGGTTAGCTTTTAAGTGCCAGTCTTTGTTAGAATCAGGCAATTCAGAAAAAATTCAAAAAATGGCCGAAAAAAAAACTAACCATCCTATTTTGGAGTTACCCTTATCCAGGGTATGAAATGGTAGGTCTTTCGTTTCTGTTTGTCTGGTAATTTGAGAGATCTCTAGATAACTTTTGGTTATCATGATAGCAAATTATGGAGTTAGCTCCTCTTAATTGTTAATTTCAATGCATGTCAACCAAATTACATCTTGAATTACCAGAACTGGAAAAGGAAATGAATGTTATATTCGTGCACCTTTATACAATTTGAACATAAATTAATGTCAACTTGAGATGGTTTTTGGTTGTCATGTTTTCACCACTGCCTGATTCTTATGCAGATTGGCACTTAATATATAACAAATGATAACATGCCAACTGTAAAGAAAAATAACATGGTAATTAAAACAGTCACCATGGTATAATTCCATGCGAAGCATGATCAGGTGCATCAACAGGAGGCCCACTAGTATTCTGCAATTCCGACATGATAAAAACGAGACGGAAGATAGAAAAGGGACATCAAAATTTAAAAATCGAAGAGAAACCGACAAATCCATGGCTACAAAAAAAATGAAAAACGACATAAGAAAAACAACAGTCTTCAAAACACTACCCAGAAAACTAAAGACCGAACAACACGAACCCAACCAAACACCAGGGATGATAACAGATTCTCTGGAAGGGTAGGCATATCCTGCTCTACATGTGACACCCTACGAGTGCTAACATACCATTCTGAAGAAAGCCGGAAACAAAACAAAACCGGTATCAATACCCGGATGGAACATTGTAGATCTGTGTGATGCATGACACGATAGTTAAAATATCCACTACTAAATTAGAAAAACTAAAGAGATAGACATAATGGTCATTACGCTCGTTTCAGCATACTTAATACACAACTGGTTGAATTTAAGTGACACTCAAAGAAGATTCAGTTTATTGGCATCGTGCACCTTCTTCTTTATTGTATGAACCTATTGTTTGGTATTCGATTCAAGTGATTTTGGGGTTTCCCATATCAAAACATGGACTCCTTCATATTATTACAAATGAAGAAATGAGGAGTATGCCTTTGTGAGTTCTATTCGCAGTTTATCAGATACTTATGCATCATCGGCTTTCAAATATTTGGCTTTGAGCATTCCTGATGAAAGTATATCTAGAAATTGAAATTTATAATGTGATATTTTCGTATTGTTTTCTTTCATATTTTATAAACTTTCTCTCTTACTTGTTTTACGTCTTGGTTACATATTTTGTTGAACAATCTTTTGACTTTTTCAGAAGGTTTCGGTTTAGTTATACTTTTAGGATTAGTCTGCTCTACAGTGTCAAAGTATATCTTATTTCTCTGTGCTTTAACGTTGTCTGGATCTGCAATAATAGATATAACGAGGATGTATTATTATGTTCGGAAAATGTATGAAAGTTTTATCGAAAGTTATGTGAAGAAAGGGAGATAACCATGGGCAATCAAAAATCCTACAGACGTTCCCACAAGACAACATATTTGCCAAGAGAAAAAAACTAGACTAGTTGAGGTCGATTTAGAAAGTCATACGTTTGCAAGGGGGACCAGCATACCGACAACCAGTTCTTTTTTAATCATGGTTTAATCAGTTCTTTTAAAGTCTTGTTTAAATCATTGTTTTGTTCGGAACTTATTGAGTTATGGATTAGTCAGTTCATTTCAGTCATGATTTATGCTGTATGGTTGCCTACACGCAATGTTCCTCTTTTTTAACGATGGTTTTGGTAAATTCTGCAAAACTCGTGAAATCGGTTAATATGTCTTTTTTTCAAATATATCCATTGTAAAATTAGGTGATCAAACTTTTGAAGTAATTAAATTACGCTTTTTTATCATGTCATGCTTGTCATAGATTTCATATACACTCCTTTTCTTACTTTCTGTTTTTTTACGAAACCTTACCTCCTGTCGCCTGAAGTGTACGAGTAGAGCAGAAGGGTTTCGGGGAAAACTGAGTATAATATGTTTTCCGTGAACTCAACACGTGTTTCGGGAAAAACTGAGTATAATATGTTTACCGTGAACACAAAACGTGTATCGGGGAAAACTGTGTATAATATGTTTACCGTGAACACAACACGTGTTTCGGGGAAAACTGTGTATAATATGTTTACCGTGAACACAACACGTGTATCGGGGAAAACTGTATATAATATGTTTACCGTGAACACAACACGTGTTTCGGGGAAAACTGTGTATAATATTTTTACCGTGAACACAACACGTTTTTCGGGGAAAACTGAGTATAATATGTTTACCGTGAACACAACACGTGTTCTGGAATACTTTTCATTAGGTGTGCTACATCCAAAAATTTTGAAAAACCAAAAATATAAAATGCTTTAGAGCAAACGAAACTCGAAGCGTCTAAAAAGGAGAGCCAAGATCGTTTAAGGTGAACTTTGTCTAAGAAAATGCAACTTTATCAAAATAACAAGACGTGGTATGATAGTATCACTCTCCCCAGCGACTAAATAATGCAGAAGAAAGCAACTATAGGTTATCGTACGGCCTTCAACAATGAGCAGAACCCATACGACATAGCACGCTATAAAAGGTCACGACGTGACAAGTGTAAAACAATTCAAACGAGAAAACTATCGGCCTGATTTATGTACAATAATTGTTTTTGCCCAGTGACATAATTTATAAAATGGGAATTAAAATACCTTTTAAATCATTAATGCTAAGGTGATACCTGCCTCTAGCAAGGCACTGAATCAGTTTTACTGATTAAAACGTATGATAAATTTCAAATTCAACCCTTCCGAATCTAATGATGTGGTTCACTATATAGTGTATCATGTTTATAGCGTCATGTTATTATTTTATTCCTTTATTTGTATTTAGCACATTTTGATATGAGTTGTTCGTTTTGTACATTTTATTTGTTTAAGAAACCATTTATTGAGGTATTGTTTAGAACGAAGTTGAAAGTAGTCATTAGCAAAAGAAAAAAGATTGTAAAACGGACTTTTACAAAATTAGCAAATCTCTTAAAAATTAATTGTTACAATGTTTTCAATACACATTCGGAAGATGGGTATCGCAACAAAAAATGCCGTGTCAAATACGTTTATGTCATCTTGTATTTTCTGCATCCTGTGGCTCCAGATATCATAGTGTGATCATAGTATAGACAATTCCAGAATTTACAATCCTGGATTAATTGTGTCTAGATAATAGAGAAACTTACCGAATGATAGAATCTCATCTGTTAATTCAGCTGCTGGTCTAATATGTCCTATCTAGAAAATAGCACCAAATTAATGATATATATTACGACCACAAAACAAGGGGTTTTACTAATGAAGTTCTGTGAATATCCCCACAAACTCAAAGTTAGGTTAATGACTAGACTTCAAGGTTGTACCTTGATCTTCTCCGCATAAAAATGAGAAAAAAGCAAAAGACACAACTTTAAGAAAACATCAAATAAAGTTAGAACAGGATTGTGTTTATTTAGAATTAGCGTTAAAATTAATAATTCTAATAGAATTAGCGATAACATTCATTGCATCTTGCAATAATGAGGATTCTTAATCGTAAAAAATGTCAACCAGAAACCCTTTTAAATAAAATACCCTTTCCAAATCTCAAGTTTCTAGCTCTAATCCCAAATTCCTACGAAAAACTGACTCGATTCTAACGTCCCAAAGTAAACCCTTCTTGTATACCTTCATATGCTTATTATATGTAAAAAGCATATATATAGCTAGTGTATTTTAAGTATCATATGAGACTCTTAACTTACTTTGAAGTATGCAGACGCCAGTAAACTATAGACAGCGGCTTTTGCATATTCGCCATCGACGTCATCAATTCGTCGAAGTTTAATTTCGTCTATCACGTGACGCAGCCATGTAATAGTATAGTAATACTGTTCAGTATCGTATGCGGCCTTTGCTATATACACAAGATCTCCAAGCGTGAAAGGCTCATGAGGTAAATGACCATTTATCTCGCCGACCAAAAGTTCGCCAATGGTTATATTGTGAAATTGTTCTAAATTGAGCACGGAATTGGCAATTTCTGTAAGCTGCTGGTCGTCTGGGATGTTATCCTCCATATTTTGTAATTTCACTCTTAAGGCTAAAACAAACCAAAATAAATACTCATTTAGTTCAAATTTAGAGTGTTTTCTCGTTATTATCTAATGTTAAAATGAGAATAAAGAATCATTTGGTGAAAAAACACCATAATATTTAGGTATTGGTTCTCATTGAACATCACATTCAGTAAAGAAAAATTAACAAAAAGTAAAAGAAAAGTTATATGTACAACAAATAGAAGACCTTTAGTTTGTTTTCGTGAGCATTCTTAAATACGCTTTTTTTTCTTATCTTAGCAAATATAATCATTTTCATTACAAATCGATTTTCAATATTGACCTTATACGATGCTGACATGTGTGTGGTCATTTCAATTACGTCATGCTAACCGAATTATTAAGTAAGCTGTAATTTTTCGTCTTTTTCTTTTGGTTGGTAGCAAAAATGTTTTTCAAAAGTCTATGTTGCTTTTAATTAAACTACCATTTAAAGTATTGGAAATTTTGCACATATTACGTTACGTTAATGGTGATATGTGTCATGAAAGGCATCGGACATATCTTAACAAGGGTCTGGATAAGGCTTAAAGAAAAAAAAAGAATAATTGGCAAATAAATAGAGAATAGAGGGCCAAAAATAAAGAAATAGAGGATAATGGGGTGTAAAAATATGAGTTGTGTCGAATAGAAATCAACCTTATGAAAGTGCAAGTATACATGTACATGTATAAGAATTTGATTGATTGTGAAATATTTAAATACGAAATAAAAGATGACTTTTAGTCTGTTTTGTAGGGTTCTAATAACAACTCAATTTTCAAACAGTAACAGACTTTCCATAGAGATTTTTTTAACCTGAAATAGGTTTACAGATGTATTGATATTCATTTGCATAAGGTCGATTTTTATCCGATGCAGCTCAATTATATAAAGCCTGAAGATTAAAGAGACAAAAATATAAAGAATTGAAAAAAATGGACTAAAAAATAAAGAACAAAGAAATGAAGAAATCCCGACCAGACCCTCAAATGACTGATGGATTGGTAACCTTGTCCCACTGACTGCTCCTAGGTGCAACAGTAGTTAACCGATGTTCAAGTCTGATAAATCCTTTAAATAAAAACAACAGTAGTATACCGGTGTTCAATAGTCATAAATCGATTTAACTGAAACAAATCCGGGTCACAAACCAAAACCGGGGGAAACACATCAACTATAATAGGAAAACAACAGAACAACATAAACACTGAACTGCTACAAAAACAAACGCCAACATACATAGAAATGGACTATTTGATAACAACTCCCATATTCCTGACTTGGTACAAGACATTTTAAGACGATTCCATTTTAGGTAAAAAAAAATCAAATCTAAGGTAATCACACGAACAAATAGAGAGAGAGGTCCTTCACTGTCAGTCATCGGTCAGTCAAATGGAAAACGTACATACAATAACCAGTACTTACTATAAGAAAAACGTCTTACTTTATTATATGTAACAAACAGTTAATGATAAAACTATTGCTCGAAATTATCTCCAGGTATTCCGGCTTTTCCCTCCATAAAAAAAACCACGCAGTCATAAAATAGCCAAGAGTGCTGAAAGTTGCACTTAGTCTAAATACAAACAATCAAAATTAATCTATATTTACCTTTTACACATGTGTCTGTCTCCATCATCTGTCCAATAATCTGTTTCCAATTTTGGGCGAGACGTCTGGACAGACGAAATGTATTTATAGGATGGGAGAGATATGTTTCGATGTCATCTACATGCTGCATGTGGATCGATTTCGCTTCGTCGATCGTACTAAAAAGAAGAAATACTTAAAGGAATCCATCTCGAAATCCATTAAAATATAGTATCATCTGAAAACAATATAAGGATTAAACACATTATTTTCTAAACGTCATTGCACTAGTTCAATGTGTCGATTCACTAAAAAAAACAAATATTTGACGTTTGTGAGTCAGCGGCCCATATGTAGTTTATACGGATACGAGAGTTGGGGAAATGGTTACCATTACCGCCTACCTGAAATGAATTGCTCATATTAACCCAACTGCTAAAAAAGTCAATCTTTCAGTAAAACACGTGAAATAACAAAAATATAAAAAAAACTTTGCTTTAGATTCTATCTCTTAATCACGAAGAAGCTTCATCGAATAAATAAAATTTTATGAAGGTTAGACAAAGTTAGTTTTGTCTATAATCTTTAACCCAAGACTTCATCTCATTCCTAACAGAAAAGAAACTCAAGTCTATCTATCTATCTATCAGTAAAATGCAGAAAGTTATGAGAAAACACTTGCAAAGTTTTGCTACAGACGCTGTCTCTTGATCATGAACAAGACTATGTTCAAATTTCGCAAAATTCCATGACGAGTCGACAACGTTGTTGATGTCTAAAATCATTTAACTGAACCAAAACAAGTGTCCTTTCGGGCCTTTTAAGCATGCTATGCAGTAAAGCTATTGCATGTTCATTGTCGGAGGCAGTAGGGTGATCTATAGGTGCTAACTTTTATACGTCATTTGATCTCTGGTGGAGAATTGTCTCATTGGCAATCATACCACATCTTCTTAATTTTAAATAATATGTATAGACGACGACGGAAAAAAAAAGCTTAAATGTAGGACCGCTATGTTTCTCCTAAGCAAAGTTCGTCACAGGTGGTGATACAAAACTTAATAAAAAAAATAATTCATTCTTTAACAAACCTAAAATGTATAGGACGTAAAACTATTTTTGTTTTGTTTTTGAGATTTAAATAAAATCATGTTTATGCAAGTATTCTTCGACGCAATATATTAAGGAAAAACATGTTAACATGTAAAATTTTAAATATTGCATCACAACTGACTTCAACAGCACTGTGTACCTGTGGTTTTGTGAATATATTTGAATTGTAATGTGCATTATAAAAGACTCTTAAATATTCAAATACCAGTATGTTTTACAGCTTTCGGATTTTGACCCTTTGAGCGATCTAGATTCAGGGAAAATTGCTACCTCTTTTTTAAGTTGCAAAAGGCGATCCGTTTATAAATTTTGCAATACTAGTAGTATACAATAAAAAACATGATGCAGTTTGTTATATCTAACATTATCTAGTCTTCACAAATCGATCTTCTTTATAAATTACTATATATATGACATCTGTTACAATCATGTAGACATTATATGAAGATAATGCATTCAGATTATAACCGTCTCTTTACGCAGATCCTATGCTTCACCATTTTGGCATTTAGGCGATTGCTTGTTTTATCATTTAAAATTGTTTAATCATTATACTTTGCAACTCTCAAAAGTTTAAGGATTGCCAAATTAAATTCTTGACATCTCACTCAATGTGAGGCTTGTAAAAATAAATTGTTCATCCCTCTCGAGTGATCAAAATAAATTATTGTCACTCAAAGAGTTTGCTCCTACGATAGTACATGTAGCTACTAGTATATCAAGTTCCGTATTTATTGAAGATATTATGGTTGTTTTGACAAATGTACTTCTTTTCTAATGCAACTGGTATTAATGATGAAACAAATCTCTTTTTATCATTAAAAAGGACGTCAAGCATGCGCAGAATATATTTCAATGAAACCATTTGATTTATAATAAAAATTCAAGAAATATAACATAAACGGTATTTATCCAAATTTTTCATATCTCTCAAATGATGCAAAATTTGTTTGGTTATTAACAAATGCAAGTTTGTCTGTCCTAAAATATTTAGGGAACTATATTATTAAATGCCTAGGTGTTAGACGAAATGTAAATTAATATATGTAATTACAATGATAATTATAATGATCTTATGGTTCTGGTCTTGTCTGGAATTAAATGTATATGACTTATATAAAATGAAGAAATATATGTAGCTCTTTCATGATAACATATATCTGAACTTTTAATATTTCATTTTAATGTAAAAAAAAATGTTTTTCTGTTACAAATCAAAATGTATTGTTTTGTGTGTACATGTCATGCTGCCGATCAATGGCCTTTGATTGGAATAATAAATATTCTTATTCTTATTGACTTTCAAACTTTCATCATGTGTAAAATATATGCTTTGGCTTATTATTGGGGGGGGGGGGGGGGGAACTAGGCAACGTTCTGGGTAGAACATGTAAAAAGTCCGGGAACTAACCTTATATGTAGCTGCATACGCTCCCCACCCCTGATCTGCCTCTTTTGAAAACTAAAATACTTACTGTGTTATATTATTAAAATTATGAACGTCTTCTCCATGAATAATCCTTTCTTGTTGAATAACTAAATCCGTTAGAACTATTAATTCCTCTTCCATTTGAAAATATCTCTCAAAATTTACATAAGTTGTGAAAAGTTCCGAATAAACAGCTTGGTACCCAAAGTATAAAATTAAAATGTAAAACCGCATTATTAAAAAAGAATTTACTACACGGTGGGGACAATATTTAAATTAAGATAATGAAATTTAAAGTAAATGCTTTCAATCTATAGGGTGCAACATATGGTGTCGTTATTGATCAAACAAAATGCGCGGTCAATGGTTTAAAAAAATGATAATCGATTACCTAACAAAGGAGAGATGATAAATTCTGAATCCACGTTTATCTATTCTAACGTGGTATTCGATCGTGGTTATGTGGCATATTTTACATGTTCATAAATACACGTAAATACACCAAATTGTAATACAATTCCTAGACTGAGTATATATCTACAATTAGACATTTACTGGGACCTGGTCAATTCTTGATAATAACAAGTGGTATATGTAAGAGATAAATTTGTCCTGGTATCCGGGCGGACACATATTACTATTATAAAAAGTCCATGGTTACAGAATTTACTAGTATTTTTAGTCCGATGTTAGTAATTTATGTCAATAATTTTTAAAATATAATAAAAATTACTAGAAAACAAGTCTTAGGACAATTTTTCCTAGGAAAATAAGTGCCAGACATATTTTACTAGCTATGGACTTATTTTCCTAGGAAAATTTGTCCTGGGACTTAAATTCCTAGTAAAATAATGGTCATGGACTTGATTAACTAGGAAAAAAAGTCTGGCGGACAAATTTTACTACTGGACCAAATTTACTGTTACATATATTCATAAAAAAAAATTGGAAAATAAATAGCAAAGCTGTTTTTTGTTTGTTTGTTTTGGGGGCGGGGTTGAATTAAACATTATCGTTTTCTTAATGAATTTCTAAATACAAAGCTAACATGAAATCGATTGAAAGGCTTTTTTGTTCTCTTTTGTTCAAAGTTGGTGTCATAACAATTCATAAAAATGATCGAATACAAAACAGAAAGGAAAACACCAACCCACAAGTAACAAAACAATTAGTAAATAGACAAATCAGCGAATAATTGAAACGTAAATTGGTAAATTCACGCAAAAAAATAAAATAAACATTAACATTTAAAAATAAGCAGAATGAGTCATGAACGAAGCTGTTGACAAGAATTTTTGTGGAAGAATGTTTCAACTAAGAATTTGATAAGAAGTGCTGGCACTTTGCCATCTAGTTCTTTACAGTAACATTATGTAATATATAGCTACCAAGCTTATGCGTTATCCTTTAAGTATCTTTCGTTTGGCTTAATATTGTTGAAGGCCGGTAACCTATAGTTGCTAACTTCTACGTTATTTTGTCTCTGTTGGAGAGGTGTTTCATTGCAATCATACATACCACATCTTCTTATTTTTATGTTATTAATAACGGTTAAAACTATACTGCTGTTACTCAATAACGTTCCTGACAATTTAAAAAGCAATACTAATACCTTGCATAGATGTGTCATCCTGTGCTCTTTATGATGGCGTTGTATGAAATCTTCTATCAAGTACAGCAGCCGATATTTGAGTGTAGAATGCAATGATTTTATACGGACAGGTAAAGTAAAATAATACGATTTGGTTTAATTGCCAATGAGACATCTATACATTCAGACAAAAGGACCATAAAATGAGAACAATTGGGATCATTGTATGGTCATCAGCAATGAGTAAAACACTTTGAACTGTTTTGGTATCTGTCAAAAATCTTTTATCCGCCATAATAATGTTTTTGTTTTTATTTGTATTTTTTGTTATCTATCATTCCGTTATTGTAGAGGCAAGTGATTTTCCTGTACTGGTATGCACTATAGTGCCATTTATATCCCCTATGTTAGTCGTGAGCAGAAAAGGACGAGAATTGAGATCATCGTGAATAAAAAAGGGGGAGGTTAAAATCTAATAAAAAAGTAAACAACATCAGGAAACCCTGCATATAAGTATGGCTTCAACAATGAACAAATTCAATACTGTATAGTCAACTATACAGTTAAGTAGATATAAGAAGATGTGGTATGAGTGCCAATGATACAACTCTCCATCCAAGCCACAATTTGTAAAAGTAAACCATTATAGGTCAAAGTACGGCCTTCAACACGGAGCCTTGGCTCACACTGAACAGCAAGCTATAAAGGGCACCAAAAATGACTAGTGTAAAACCATTCAAACAGGAAAACCAACGGTCTAATTTATATAAATCAAAGCATCATCGATGTTGTGATCCAGCCATATTCATAGCTAGTCTGATATTCTTTCTGACCATATTTTTTCAATATTTTTTTCTCTTATCATTTCCAATCTTACTGTTAAATTTCTATGTTTAACTTATTGCCCACAGGTAGGGAATTTCGCAATATTGATTCAAATAATGATATATATATTGATATTTCAATTTTAGACTCTGTCAGATTTTTTTTTATATAAATATTTGCGTTTTTAATGGTATTGACATGAATGGAAAGGGAAATCATCAAACAAGTTATATTTCTTTTTATATGCCATTAAAAATAACTGGCTTAATAATTTCCAGAAAGAGGCCTTGGAAATGCACTTTCTCAACAACAAAAGTGAAAAAAAATAATAACTATTTTTTATCTAAATTGGTGTTCATTCTTCATTAAGAAAAAATACATTTCCTGTATTCAAATTTAAATGTACAAATACCTAATACTGAGATATTTCCAATTACTGTTAAATGCAGAACAAACAAATAAATTTTACTGCAGAAAATGCTCAGGTAAGAGTTATGCAATTTTGTTTATTGTTTCAACCAAATTTCTGATAATTGTAACTAATTTTAAATAAGATCTTGATTATTGACTTATGTCAGAAGATAATGACAATGATTTTAAACTGAAATAAAATTTGCTTGCATTTTTTATACATATTTTTACATTTTTTTCTTTTCTTTGAAAAAAAACCACGCCTGATTAATCATTCAGCTAGCTAGCAAAATTAACAGAATATTTTAATGTAGTGTAGATCAAAATAAATAATACATTTGTAGGTTTACTATTAAAGGTCAAGAATGTGTGTATTCAGTTAGGTGTGTAATAAATTGTGCCTATTTAATTATGTAACAGGTCAGGATATTAAATGTGATGAATTAAGACTGGGGTTGTTTCCAATTAATACTTACACCTTTGAGTGTAATTATTTGAAAATCATGACAGTTTATAATCATACTGACTCTTACTTGCCTATGGAAAGAATTAGAGTAATACTTTTTCAAAAAAGTGTGGGAATCAACTTAGATATATATTAACACACATGCTGACCTAAATTTCATAGAACAAAAACTTACACAAGCATAAGATAATAATATAATACTTTCAAAATTGTTACCAACTGATTCAATTGATGTAAAAATACTTTTTCAAATTAAATCATAAATAGTAAATCATTATAAATTTTGATTTACAAAGGAACTATATGCAAGTGTATATCTAAAATAAAAGGGTTGTTCGACCAATCTTTTCTTAATTTAAGGGCAAATAACAGTTGGCAATTGATGATACAAATGGTGTAGAAAGTTTCTGCAAGTCATAAAAACACATAATTAGCGTCATGACATGTCTTCAACATTAGTATTCTGCACCATCTCCAAAAACAGAGTGATTGCATAGATCCAGCATAGCAGAATCAAAAACGAGAAACACTTATGAACCACATCAACAAACGACAAACCACTGAACATCAGGTTCCTGACTTAGAACAGGTTCAAACAAATGCAGCGGGTTTAAATGTTTTAATAGGTGCCAACCTTCCCCCTTCCTGAAACAATAGTTTAACATCACAACATAGAAAGACACACTATAAAATATCTTAAATTCTAATTCGTAAACTCAAACGAACATAAAATATTTATCAAATAACCACAAACTCTTACATGGGAGACGTCAGAGACAAGCGCACATTTTATTATAAATATGAGTATAATATTGTGGAAAGTTCATATAAATACACAGGTATTAAGCAGCTTGTACATGTACTGGTTTCCCCATACTAGTGGTCTACAAATCTGAAAATAAATAATATAATTAATAATATTATTTATTTGGCAAAATGCTACTGTGCAATTTGACTGCAATGGCTCGAATGACTTTAAACCACCTGAGTTCACTCGTGCATGAACTCAATATCCAAATCAAACCGACCTTACTATAATTAACCAAACACTAGTCAACTATAAACAAACAACATTTTTACATGTTCGATTTTTGTACAACTTTGATAAATACATAATTGAAATGGCTAAACTCAATCATAAGACATATTAACAAAAACATGTGAACATACACAGTTTGTTAATGTGTTGTGCTGTTCATCACTGTCCAAGATTGGGGAGGGATGAGTGCTCACAAACATATTTAACATCGCCACATTCTATATGGGTTTGTCCCATGTTAGGTTAGTATAATTCAGTGGTTGCCGTTGCTTGATCCCTGTCATACTATTAGGTATGTGTAAGTATTTTACCTATTTTGTTTTGTAGCAAGAAAACTAGTCTCCCTACCCCCTTTTTTTATTTTTAGAAAGCACATTATATGAGCTTTTTTCTCATATTTTACCTTAAAATTCTATCGTTAAGTTTTCTTTATTTCATCACACAAAATTGGGTTTTTCATGTATAATCTTTACAAAATCTGACAATTTTGCACAACCTGTAGATTAAAAATGCTCTGTGACCCCACCCCCTCATTCAAAACAAAATCATCTGCCTTAAGAAGAAATAATGCTGAACACTAGATTAGATGCCTTTCATTTTTACATGTTGGTAGATTCCTGTCTAATTGAGACACCACTTTTTACTAATTTTCATAAAATAAAAATAACAGTTCTTTAAAGTAAATTTTATTGTGAAAAATATTATAAAAATAACATTAAGCTTTAAAACATCTATAAAAAATAAATTAGATTGAAAAATGCTTAAATAACAGAAAACTATAATGAGTGTCAATAGAAATGCAACACATCTTTTTGAACCCTTGTTCAATGATATTTACAAAATAAATCAATAATTGTATTCTCTGAACATTTGGCTACACTTAACTTGAACAATTTGTTGTCACATCACTTTTTTTTATATATATTTTTCCACTAGTCTCATAGTGCACAAAATTAAAACTTCCAGATTTGCATACAAATGTGATTATAATTGTTAAATCAACCATTCTTATTTCCTTACAGATTTATGTAGTTAAAATTTTCTGACCAACAATCAAATTTCATTTCTTTGTTGGTTAAAAGTGGATGTCTATGTTTAAATCTTAAAATCATGAATCCCTAAAAATTGCCAGAAAAGTTATGTATGCATATCTTAAGAAAGCATCGAAAGATTGCAATGAATAGTTTTTTTGCTTTAATTTTTATTGGATAGAAAATAAACATTAGAATTAGATTTCTATTGTCACTCAGTATATACTTGTCATTAATCAAAATAATTAGACATGGGATTATTGTTAATAAAATGAATAGGTAAACTCTCCCTTTCTATCTTGATCTACTTAAGGTTATTTTTGTATGGACCAAAGATAGAAACGATCCTGCTCCATCACCAGACCTCAGAGGTAGTGGTAAAAGAAGCCAGAATCAGTGATATCAACATACTTGCCAAGATTTCAAGAGCTCTAATTTTAGCTTGACATTTGGTATAGACATTTGTCTATTGTTACAGACCTTACTTTGACCTCTACATATTTATTGCTTTTTGTGGTTGGTGTATCATTCCCATATAGCCCACACCACTGTTTATTCATTTACTGTAAACTTAGAATTTTTTTACAAGTTCTGATTAATTTGATTGTTCAACAAATGACAAAGAAAGCTTTATGAGTATTGCAATTTTTAGAAAATGCTGCTTTATACAAATAATGCTATCAAAATTCAAAATGTCAGGATTTTTTTGTTGAAAACTATCCCCTCCAAATTTTTGCAAAAATTTTAGATTTTCATTACTCATATAAATATTTATATTGCTTATTTAACATTTCATGAACACTTTCGATAGGTGAACTAGCAAACTACTTTCCCTGAAAAATTACCATATAAATATGGTTTTTCTGAAAGACATAAGTTTACTGTCCCTGATATATTATTGATGTCTATATGAAAAAAAAACAATAATTATGAATTATAATACACATTCATAACAATGATGAGACTTTAATAAAACATTGAATTGAATTGAATTGAATATCAACATTAAGTACACTTCATAAATTCTTATTACAGTTACAGTATTTTACAAAAATATTTCCTTTATGTTTAGAGGATTAAACTTCAAAACTCATCCTATCACCAATGTAAATAGTGTATCAGCATTAGTAGATACAAAAATCCTAAATTATACCAAAAGTAAATTATAATTAAATTTCTAATATTAATGAAGTTATTCTCATAATCAAATAACATAGTTAGTACTTACAAAGAAAATCAGTATTAACAATACAGCTAATATATTTTTTTTTAAACTGTAAAATTATTTGAGGAAACACATAATTTGAAAATGTTGGCATTTTTCCAACAAAATATAGGTTGATATATATATGTATATGGATTTACAAGAAAACAAAATTTGATCCTGTATAAATTGGCCGTTTAATTTTATGATCATCGTTAATATGAGACTTCCACTTTAACTTTAAATCAAAATATCAAGAATAATGTGTAAGTATACTTTCTAGTATTAGAAAGAGAAAAAATATTGTTTTTGCACGATATCAATATCACAAAGTAATTATTTACCAATTAAAAGACCAGATAATACTGCACACTTTCAATATATTTAATGAAATCCTTTTTTAAAAACTTTATCAAGGATGGGTCTTATTTGTGGAAGCTATTGAAGACAAATAAGACTTTACCATCATAAATTCATAGTGAACCACTTAACTATGATAAATTCACAGTTTTCCATTAATTAATTCATAAATACACAATGATGGCACATAACAATAGAAACTTTTCATTTTATAGCATTTTTCTACCATAAATAACTAATGGAGTTATCTCCCTTGTATTGCAGTTGATTGTCAAAATTTAGATGTTTCAATTGATTATTGTTTGTTAAATTTCCAGTGGAAAATGTAATTTGCACAATCAAAAGTTTGATGTATTACAAAAGTAATATTTCAATATTGCAGACAGTTAGCGGTGTAAAATCACTGATACATCTACATAAAATGACATCTATATATGTAGCAATCAGCATGTAAATAACTTTATTTAATAATAAGTTTTAATGAAGAAAAAAATAATAATTTACCACAAATATAGAATATCTAATCAATGGTCATATTTTAATATTGCTTACAGTTAGCAGTGTAAAATCACTGATATATCTACATAAAATGACATCTATATATGTAGCAATGAGCATGTTAATAACTTTATTTCATAACAAGTTTTATTGAAAACATTTTTTTTTTTACCTATAAATATAGCACATCTTATCAACGTTTGTTTTTAACTTAACTATTCTTCTAAAATGCTAAAGATATCACATGACAAAAAGATTTATACACTCTACTATAGTTATTTTATAACTGAAAATAAAAAAACATAATGCAAAATGGCATATAGTTTTACTGGTGTGAAATTTTATTCCATTTTTTACCATTTCGATAAAAATAAATCTTCATTTTAAATCTTGCCAAACAAAGCAAAAAAAAACTTAACAAAGCCATATTCACACTCTACTACAGGTTGTTAGTACGGCATATGAAATAGGATGTGTATTCCTATTTGCTGTACAGATACACATTAATACAGTGTGATATTTTGAACTGTAAATGTTTTTGATATAAAATATATTTGATGGTCATATACTTGGTGGAATAATACTGAAACTATCACAGATAAAAGTGAAATGATATTTATAACTTAAATCACTTTCATGTCAATCATACTTATAAAAACTGCATTTAAAAAAAATTAACATTTCAAAATCAACAATGATGAACAGGTGTAACAAGAAATAAATACAATTTAAAACAAGAGTATAAGTCCATAGGACATGATTCCCCTCTCACACTTTCATATTTTTATGGTGTAAAAACTTTAACCTGAAACCGTTAAACAAAATGGTGACATTTAATGGTGCCCGAATTGAGGATTTACTATATCTAGTCTTATGTTAGTGCTTTCAAACAAAGTAAAAGAAAGTCATCAAAACTTGCACATTTAACATGAAAAAAGGGTTTGTTATACAGGGACCACTATTGTCATTTAAACAACATTGATTGAAATTTGAAAACTAGAAGTCACAAAAACAATAATTCCCATTTTTTTTTTATAGAAACTGCCTTTCCAGCTTTTTGGTATTATATGATATAATTTTTAAAATAAGACATCTAAATTCTTCTTTTACAAAATTATGCCACTTTATGTTTAATATACAAAGGAGTAGGTTCAGTAAGACCCCTTTTTGGCCCCAAAATATAGCAGTTTTACAAAATTGTTAAAATGTAAACGTTTATCTATTTATTGGAAAGTAGAATACTTCTGCTACATAAATATCGGCTGTTTTTGACAATACAATGTACATATGTCGGGTACTAGCATCCTAAAGTCATGCTTAATTACTGAAATCTTCATAATTTTAGCATTTCAGTTAAATTTTAGACGGTTTCCGTCTTAAATGGAAGTGGCCGCATTTGTGTTCATTCTTAATATTTAAATGTAAGTTGTATTTCATGATGATACATAATATATATAAAGGTTGAGAGTGAACACGGATGCGGCAACCTTCATTTTTGACTAAAACCATCTGAAAAGTGACATATTATGGCTTATTTGATAGATTTTTCATATTTCAGCTTGCATTTGAGCGTCTTAAATGACTAAATCAGTTCAAATCTTTAACATAAAATAATTGAATCGACTGAAATTAACACTTAAGTGTTTAAAAAGTGTACAAAATATTTCATCGGATAAACCTGAAATTTAAGGCCAAAATCGGCTCTTACCGGACCTACTCCTTTATTGGTTCATGTGCAAGCCAATAGTATTGAGATTTTATTATATGTCAAAGTTGTAATTGTGATGAGGACAAAACATGTATAATTCATGTATTAAATTTTCATTTGCACTTCAAACTCCAGAAAACAAACATACATACAAATTTCACATAACAATAACAAAAATTGGATTAATAAGTATAAGAATTACAATATGCAAAATTAAACAATTAGTTAAAACATGAAAATATTCATAACTGATTTTCCAGAAGAAAAGTTTATACGATAGGAGTATTGAGGTTGTCTTGACTACATGTATTATCCATTGTAGTAGGAATCATACCATAACTCTCCAGATTTCTTCAGGGACCTGCAAAAAATTAAAAAAACATTTTAATCATCAGATAGTGTGACAAAATATTGCTCTCTCTCAACAAAAAAGGCAAATTCTAATCTCAGATTTCAAGCCCAATCTATGATATTTGGTTATGGTTTTTATCATAATAAAAACCAATATTAAGACAAAAATCAGGTCCAGGGTTGGTAAAATATGAATGTGCATTAGCCAATAAATCAGGTTATGGTGTATAGTTCAAAATATGTGATGTATATTTTATTAAAGATTAATGCTTCAAAAGGAGAAAGTACATATTTAGGTATATTTGGCCGTGTAAAAACACCATTATCAATCTTTATAAAAATAAAATGTGGTATGATTGCCAATGAAACAACTGTCCACCAGAGACCAAATGATGAAGAGGTAAGCAACTTTAGGTCACTGTACGGCCTTCAACAATGAGCAAAACCCATATCGCACAACAAGCTATAAAAGGCCCCAAAATGTTTTTTAAGCTACAGAACAAAGACTTTCAGTAAACGTGAATATAAGGCATACCTTATTAACATATTTAAACTGGCAGGACATGAAAGGAACACATAAATGAGATTTTTTTGAGATTTTTACAATTCCTAAAAATACTACTTTTAGGAATGTTTTATCTAAATTAACAAAGACTATAAGCTTCACACAAAACAAATTTTTGCCAATAAAAAAATAATCTTTTCACAACAAAAGATAACAAAAAACAATACTTGTACACTAATTAAATATGGTATAAATTTATTAATTCTCCTTTACTTGTAAAATAATAAGGCTTTGATTGCAAGAAAAATGGCAGCAAGAGTAACTGTACACTATGAAAAAGGGAAATAACTCTACTTACGTAACCAGTCTCGCAAATGCTCCAAACAGAGGCAGACTTAAATATTCAATATTATGCTTTTTACACAGAGACTTGACTAATGGTGCTACTTTATGTAGATTATGACGAGGCATTGTGGGAAACAAGCTGAAAGAAAACAAATTATCTATTTACAAGAATGTTTAATTTCATAACAGGAATTCATGTAATAGTACAAAATTTTTTTAACCAGTAAAAGTCTGAAATGGCCTATATTTGTACTCGACTGTACTGATTTTTACTCGACCAGTCTGAATTGGTCTGAATTTTACTTGACATTACTCGACCTCAGTCTTAACCATACTCGACTGTACTGATTTGTACTTGACCCTTATCTTTGCCATTGAAAATAGTCTGAACTATTACTCGACCAGTCTGAAACTGTCTTAACCCATTCTCGACCTGTACTCGACCTATTTTTTTCAGTCTGAACCATACTCGCCCAAAGGTCAAAACAATACTCGACCAGTCTCAACCATACTTGACCAAATAACCTCTACTTTTTCTAAATTTTAACTGTTAAAATAAATTTCTTTTTAACTGACATAACAACAGCCACAATAAAATAAAGATATATTATAAAACAGATATTTACATTCTTACATGATTCTCAGATTTATCAAATAGAGACAGTTAAATCAAATTATCTTATGTAATAATTTAATTATATTAATTTTAAAGTTTTAGAGTTTTGTTAAAAAAAAATTCTTTTACCTAAAAACCACACCTATACTGAGGGTAATTAAACCTTATTAAGGTGCTTCTTGTTTGGCATGTGTTTTTTTTTTAAATTAATTTTCCTAAATTCCTAAATAAAAACTACATAGGTTTCATGGTTACATACAAAAAATGTACAATAGTTATATAATTATCTTTTTAATGAGGTAACAACAGCCAACAAAATCACTGAAATTGTTTAACCTTATTTTAGAAATATATCTATTTATCATAATTTGGGATATATTATATACAATATATATCAAAAAGGGATAAAAATTAAAGAAATTAATAAAATTGTTCTTCTGATTAGTGGTGAAGTATAAAGTAATACCTCCTGCTTGGGGCAAACTATTGAAAAAGATCATACCTGGTCAGAGAGTATTAACTTCTAAATAACATTCATTCAAAATTGCAACATCCTGTGAAACTTAAATCACAAGGCCTATTGAATTCACTAGATAAGTAATACACGAGTTTAAGAAAAACAGGGCTTTCTTTTTACCTGTAAAACATACATGTACTGAGGTAATTAAACCTTATTAAAGTGCTTCTTGTATGCCATGTCTTTAATTTTGACAAAACTTATTTAAATTTAATTGAAATAAATTTTTATTGTAACTTTGGAACACATTTCCTTTTTTAAAAGTTTATCACAGGATTACTATGGAAGTTCTATTATCATGATTATATTAAATTCTTGGTTTAACAAAACAAAGGTGCCATTTTTTAAATTTATCAAGTTGCTTTATATGCCATTTTATATATATTTTAATTAAAAAAAATGTTCACTGCATTATTAACTAAACTCAACTGACACCATAAATCTCTACTAGGCTTAAGTAAATGGTGAAAATTGTCCAGTAACCATAAAATATATCTGAAACATTCAAAAAATTTTGAATAACATTGAAAATATTAGTCACAATTCAGTTTTGAGATTATTTGATCAGCTTGTTTTATTTTTATTTTAAAGGTGATATATATGTATGTATATAAGTGTTGATGAATATGGTGTTGAAGTTATATTATGTTTATTGTGAAATTTTGGTTTCAATGCTATATTGAATACATTTTTAATTTCAAATTATTGTTCAAATTTCTAGCCAGGGGAAATAGCTGTTGTTAAAAACAGTTCCTAAATTGATGAAATACAATAGATAGATACAAAAAATAGGTCTAGGTTGGTTAAGACTTGGTCGAGTATGGTTCAGACTAGGTCTAGCATGAATCAGACTAGGTCCAGTATGGTTCAGACTAGGTTGAGCATGGTTCAGACTAGGTCGATTATGGTTCAGACTTGTATAAAATGGTTAAGTACTGGTAGAGTACAAGTTCAGACTGTTAAGTATGGTTCAGACTACAGTTGAGTATTATCAAGTAAATTTCAGACCAATTCAGACTGGCCGAGTAAAAATCAGTACAGTCGAGTACAGACTGGTTTGTAGTGAAATAAGACATGAGTGCAACAAGATAAGAGGAACACACAAAAGTTTTAATCTATCAACAATTTCATTTAACAGTCTTTTATATCTGTATATGTAAGAGTCAAAAGATTTTTGGGGCATAGTTATGCCCCTTCCAATCTTTCCTTTAATTTTGTTTGTAATAAACACATAACTTACTGATGTTCAATCTGAAAGTTTAAATGTCCCGTGAACCAATCGTTGAACAGTCCCTGGTCAACATTACATGTAGATACCAGCTGTGATGTGAACCAATCATTATCACGATCCACGTCAATCTTCATCGATATGTGGCTCATCTGTGTCACCCACACAAACCAATGGCTCTCCAGAAATCTGTTGTAAACAAAAACACATGTCAAATAGTATCATAACCATACTTAGCTAATTCGTGTTAATCAATTTTTCTAAAAATATCTACTATAGTAGCTATCAGTTTCTTGAATCCCATTAACAATGAGTAACAAACAGACTTCAGTGAATCTGTAATTTAGTGGTTGTTGTTTGTTCCTGTAAATCATATTTGTTTTTCTCTTATTGTTTTGTACTTAAATCAGGCAGTTAGTTTGATTTTTGAATTGTTTTACATTAGCCATTTTGACTTTTTTAGCTTGATATGTGGCATGATGCGGTATGGGTTTTGCTCATTGTTGAATGCCTTACAGTGATCTATAGTAGCTAACTTCTACGTCATTTGGTCCCTGTGGAGAGTTGTCTCATTAGCAATCATACCACATCTTCAGTATCCCTCAGTACAGAAGATCACCAATAGCAACAAAAACACAAAATTACTAATGATTCCAATTACAATATATAAATAGAAATACTCACCTTACAAACATATAGAATCCAAAAACTCCCCATGCACCCAAGAACTGTGTGTACAGGTAAAAATACTCACCTTACAAACATATAGAATCCAAAAACTCCTCATGCACCCCAGAACTGTGTGTACAGGTAAAAATACTCACCTTACAAACATATAGAATCCCAAAAGTTCCCCATGCACCCAAGAACTGTGTGTACAGGTAAAAATACTCACCTTACAAACATATAGAATCCAAAAACTCCCCATGCACCCTAGAACTGTGTGTACAGGTAAAAATACTCACCTTACAAACATATAGAATCCAAAAGTTCCCCATGCACCCCAGAACTGTGTGTACAGGTAAAAATAACGGCCAAAGAATGACACTGTCATCAACAAATCCTGAAATAAAAAATAAAATTTAAATATTATTTTTCCTCTTATCAAGTGTAAATAAATGATAGATTTATATGTACACTGACCATGCTGAGGGCTGTTCCAGAAAATACTATGCCCCCCCCCCCTAGGGAAGGCAATTTTTAAAAATTTATTTGAAATACCAAAATGCAAAGGGAGTGTTGTTCTAATTTATTCTTATTTCTGTGGGTGGTGGGGGTTAAAAAAAAGTGCCCTCCCTGGGGGGGGGCATGGTATTTTCTGGAACAGCCCTGACAGGGTAGCTCTACAAATGAGATATGTGATATGCTTCACTGAGGCAGCTACCAAACTTTTCTATTACAATATTATGTACTTATCCACTTTAATTGAGTGCTAATAAGGAATAAAAAAATATATAGTTACAAAATATAAATTGAAAACATGTCCTTTTATCAGCTACTTAATTATGCAAAAACTTCTATCATCAGATCTTTTCTAGATAAACTTTGAGATGAAACACTATTCCATTGCCTTTGTTTATCAAATGTATGTAGGGGCTTTTTGACAATCATGAATAATTTGGAACGTCTCTAATAAGTTAAACAAGAAACAAATGTCATCTAATTAATTTGATCAGAGACCAATCAGAATCTCCAAAACTTACCACCCAATCACGTCTTTTAAAAACAAACAAGATATTCTCAAAGTGAAAGTAGAGTGGTAACAGTAATGGTGGCATTGCTGAAAAATAAAGAAAGTAGTTATTAATATTGTAGGTTTTTTATTCTATACGCTACTAATACTTTGTCTATAATTGTAATCTAATGATGGCTATCATTATCTTTAAATCTAGCCTCATTGTATTTAACTGCAGTTTTTTTTTAAACTCAATCTAGCAAATTCAAAGTTAAGTTTATCAATGATCCATATTTTAAATATCACTTTTTACAAATCGCAAGTTAAAAAAAATTCAAACAAGTAAATATTAAGAAAGAATTGATATCATACAAGTGTAATATATCATTGTTTTATAAATTGGTAGATTTTTACACAAAATATTATCTTTTGTGAAAGCATTGCCAACATGTTACAGTTTCATTTTACCTTTTTTAGTGACAAGAAGTATGTGAAAAATTTCGGACATAAAAATTTATACTGAGATAAATGTTTTGTGTCCTGTAATTGTTTTCACCCTTGTACTTTGGTTTCTGGTGGAAATTTGTTCAATGGCAATCATACCACACCCCCTGATTTTTTTTGGTTCCCATTTACAGTTTCACAAAATATGAAGCTACTTATACTTCTACACATCAATTAGGCTAAATGTCTCAGACTTCACTTGAGATGTTCTAAAAATTTATAAAGATGGTTGAATGGCATATATGGACGTACATTTAAATTTGTGTTGTATTGTTATTAAGCTATGGGTAGTTAACAAATGTAAAATGTCAAAAATATGAACAGACATAATATTTCTAAATATTAGTAAATTTGAATATGCTTTGATTACCTGTAACCCAATATATGTCTGTGAATTTTCACTATTTTCTAGACATTTCTCAACCAGATAAAAGTGTTTATTACATTGGTTGCAATGAATTACATTGATTTCAAAGTGAAATAAAAACCAATAATTTCACATGTGAAATAAATGTGTTATTTCACTCCTCTGACGTCATACAACAATAGGCTTTGTCAAGACGTCGATAACGTCGGATCAAAACAAATTGTGAATGCGTAGAAAAAGATTTGATTTTTGATTTGAATTTTTGTGTTTTTAATGCCTCTTTTAAGCACCGCTTTTGGGCTATTTCGTGGCGGCCAGTTTTTACTGGTGGAGGAAGCTGGAATGCCCGGAGAAAACCACCGATCTTCGATAGGAAAACTGACAATCCTAGTCAATTAAGATTGGAGTCGAGTGCACCCACACGATCGGGGTTCGAACTCACAACCTCAGTGTTGACTGGCTAGTGATTACAGTAGTAACTACTTAGACCACTCGGCCACAGAGGCCCTGCATAGAAAAAGATATAGTTCCTCACATTTTCTACTTTAATTTTCTTAAAAAAAAGCCATTTGCCAATGTAATAAAAAGAATAACTAATCAAAGAATCCAAATATCGAAAAATATTCAACTTGTGACCGAAGAACACTAGTACTGAGAATTAACTCATGCGCTACGTGCATTCGTGAATTAATGTGTTGTTCGGTCACTCACTGAATATTTTTCTCTATCTGAATTCTTCGATTAGTTATTCTATAATTGTTTATCTTTGTAGGTTGAATAAATATATTAAGACAAATATCAAGTCTCTAAATTTTGAAATATACTTTACAGAAATAAATTTTTCACAAACTTACTCAAGAAAAAATAATTCTGCTGCTGATTATATGGCATAAAACCCTTCTTCTGTTTTCCCCAGGTCACAGGGAAATGTTCCCCAAGTAACAAAAGATAAGGAAAATCTACATCTGGGTCTTTCTTTCCCACATTTGGTTTAGCGTGATGCTGGAAATGACGGAAATTCCACCAATGAGATGATGCACCCTAAAAAATAACAAATATAAATAATAATGCACCTATTAGATTCATGTCTTCTGATTGGCTGAGTTTTTTTCGAGTTATCAGCTCATAGACATAATTTTGTCGTGTGACCATGACGTCATCAACGTTTTTTCATTGTTTACTCCTTAAAAATGGAATTTAGAATTAAATTAGAAGGAATGAGTCTTGACTGTAAATTGTTTTCTGTCTATTCGAAATAACCTCAATAATACACGGGTTATTTAGTGTTCACCACGTTTTTGATGTTATGTCTTCATACACAGAAAAAATATTACAGTCATTCCTTAAATAATTAAGTGAGTACTTCTTACTATTTGTGCCTATACTTAATTTGATACTTTTTTTTCAGTTGAAGATAAGTTGAAAATAAGAAAAATAGTTGTTTGAATAAAATTGGTTCATGTATAAGTATTTCATTTTAAGGTTGACTGGAGCTCTTTAACCCTTCAGTTTTCCAGAACCAAACCTTCTCTTCTCCTACATTGATTTCTACTTACCTTTATATGTCCTATTACTATATGATGAAATATTTTGTTCATTTTATGACTTGGAAATACAGAATTATGTCCATAATCATGCTGTGTCCACCCAGCTTGTGCCTGTAAGAGAAGGTAAAGAATTATAGAATTACTTGTATATATCATTCAAAAAGAAATATAGAATAATGACTGTTATAATTCTGCACCCAACCACCCGGGTCCTACTAAAAAGCGCCCGGGAGCGCCCGGGTGAAGAAAAAGCGCCTGGGGAAAAGAAAAAGCGCCCGGGGAAGAAAAAAAAAAAGCGCCCGGGGAAAAGAAAAGGCGCCCGGGGGAAATATATAGATATTGTATTGGCATGAGACAACTTTGTGTCGATGAAATAAGTTATGCACATTGATTTTTTTTTAATTTTAGACAAGTATTTTGCAAATTCAGATAATAGCCAATAGATAAAAGTTTAGAAAGCATGTGACTTCACTATTGTCCAGTTATTTTGCTGTCTTTTATTATATGACAAACGAGACAGTGAATTCAAATGCTTCATATGAACCAGATATCACTTTTTCTTATATTATATATTTTAAAGCTAAAATGTTATTATAAATATAGATTTCCGGTATTTTCTTTATAGGACCAAGAATCTCTCACCATTCTCGCAGCAGATGCTTGCAATTTTACAATTTTTACGGCATATTCCACAAGGCCAAAATATCATATTTGCTTTAGCAGTGGGTTTAACTTTTCTTTTGTTAGTGGCAGCTAGGCATGTTGAAACCCTTCCACGATCTTCCACCGTCAATTCAAGTGTGTTTAATAAAATAAAAAACTTTGAAAAGTTTTCACCATGCAGTTGCGAATATTAGACCTCGGGCACTGATTTTTTTTAAATAACGAAATATACGGTTTGATCGAGGACAATATCGTTCATGATTCTTCTATATACTCTTGTTTATATTTACTTACTTACTTATATATAATTTTGAAATCTAAAAAGTTAAAGTGCAACAACACTATCTACACACTTTAGATTTAAGGACATAACAAGCAATAATTATTTTTTTTTTTTATTCAGGAAAACATTTATTGTTATAAAATATTATTATTTTATTCTCCCGGGCGCTTTTTTTTCTTCCTCGGGCGCTTTTTTTTTCCCGGGCGCTCCCGGGCGCTTTTTAGTAGGACCGAACCACCCTGCAATTGTCAGAAGAATAAAGAAAGTATCAAACTATGTCAATAGTCAAGTCAATGTTTGAATTTCTTTGAAAGGGTTAATAAACTGTTGACACAGAGAATTGTCTAGTGTTTTGTAATTTTGATGGTTTAATGCTACCCAAAATTTGCCTGACAAATCAGTGACATTTCAGACAAATCTCAAAATGTCAACAACATTAATGATTATAACTGTTATGTTCATCCTAGAAATTTTTGATAGCATCAAATTCACTATAATAAAAAATCTTTTGTGTATGTCTCATTGAAGCTATCACTTTTCTGTCATGTATACATTGTATATATGTACTGTAAATTCAGAAATTATTGCATGCATTTATTATTGCGATTTTGTCATTTTAGACTAAAATGCGATTTTAATTTTTGCAATATTGAGAAAAATCCTGTTTAATTCATATAAAAAATTCCAAAATGAGAGTTTAAATTATTGCGATTAAAACCCTGTCCCATTTTTCCCAATGATAAAAACATCGCAATAATTTCTGAATTTACAGTAATATAATATGGAATAATTCGTATATGATTATGTAAACAGGGAGAGACAGATATGAGAATTCAAGAGTTTCCATTAGTCACTGAGCACTAGTATGTAAGTACTCTATACTACAACATGGTGTTTTACCTGAGCTGTTGCCAGAATGATGGCTGCTGCTATAAATGTATACAATCCTCCACCATAGTATGAAACAAGAAAATAGGCAAATACTTCTAACAATATGATGTGAGCTAAATGTAAAACGTAGAACCAGGGTTTGGTTTTCAGCATGCCACTGTCCTCTACATGTTTTCTCAGTTCTCTAAAGTCACTTTTTAATTCTGTCAAACTCTGAAAATACAAATAATTTTAATCTTTAAATTGGTTTTTCATACAGTGTAAGCTTTTATCCTACACTGTAAGTTTTTTGCAGAAACAATATTCATAATTTTAAATAACTACTTCTGAATCAATATTTTAATAAATAAATAAATATAATCACCTATACTACAATGAGACAGCAAGGCCATAAAAAAGAATAAGTTTGTTTGTCCTAACCCTACCTACCCAGAAAATAGCTGCCTACTCAAAATCTTTTACTGTCCTGATGTGAAAAGTTTTCTTTATTAATCAGATAGGCATGAAGACTAAAAAAACTTCTGACACTTCACCTTCTCTTTGTCGAAAAAAAAAAGAAAATGCCTAACTACCTACCCACTGTCTCTACCTATGGGTAGGGTTTGGGCAAACCAAACTATTTTAAAGTGTGGCCCAACCAAAAAAAAAATAAAAAAATAAGCAAGACGAAAAAAAAAGACATATCAATGTCAACCTCTATGATTACATTAGCTCTTCAAGTTTGTATTTGGTTTAGAATTTTCAAATAGCTTAAATTGGCCTTGAACATCACTGAAGAGACATTAAATATCAAAATGCACATATGGTACTGTTAACTTTGATGTTATAATCATGATTTTTCAGGCATATCACTTTGTCTGATTACTATTAATACACTAGGCCCTTAATTTTATTTAAACATACCTCCTCTGGCCTTTCTAGGTCTCCAACATACAGGGCTTTCATAAATTTCTTTACATAGTCTTTATCATTATGAAAAGCTCTCCATGCATCCTACAAAGAAAAAAAAAGAGAACTCTATACTGACATTAACTGTAAGCAGTTTATTGTTTACCTTAATCATGTTAATAGAACTTTCAATTACTAGGAACTTGAAAAACTTCTGAACTAAACATATACCATGTGTTTTTCATTTTCAAAAAGCCTGTAACTACAGTGTACCTTAAACTACCATTCTCATGCTTCTGGAGATTATATATTGGACTTTTCCATAGGCTGATCCAGGGGGACCCGGGCCCCCCCTTTCGTGGGAAAAATTTGGTTGATTATATAGGGAATCACTGAAGCATGACTGAAGCGGGGCCCCCCTTAGGTCAGTCAGCGGGCCCCCCTTTATGAAAAGTTCTGGATCCGCCACTGTTTTCATATGTGTTCCTGGAAAAATGAACTTTGACCTATAAAATTATGAAGGAATAACAGTAATGACAGTACTGTAATGGAACAGTTTCCACAGTCAATTGAGCATTTGACAGTTGCAAATGTAGTGCAATTGGGGACACAGTGTGGAGCCAGTAAAACAGATGATTTGCAACCATCAAATCGACAATTGGTGGCAGCAACTCTTCAACTACACCAAGTTACTGTTATTCCTATTCTAATGCATTAGAGTTTAAAAAGATTTATAAAATTGAAAAGAAATCAAATTCACTATGAGACAAGTTATGTCAAGTTTGACCTTAGGATCAGGATTATCAAATTGTAGTATTGAATGTAACAAAAAATCGTTTGATTTATCAATCGATTTTTTGTTGTATTATTATTCGTGTTATATCGTACATGCTGTAGAATGATCACTAAAATACGAATACGAAAGTTTTATTTTGATTCGGTTCACATATAACAATACAAACATAAGCTCTTAAGAGCTTTTTACCGAATATAAGGTAACACAAACACAACATTAAAACACACAACATGCAGACATGATATATAACAGCACAGTCATATCGAAATACATGCAAAGCACTTTTAAAATACATATCTAAAGCCAAAGCTGAAGCACAACTAAAAATTAAGCACAACTAAAATTAAGCACAAATAAAATATAGCACACATGCAAAAATTGTGTTAATGGAGTTTACCGTTGCATCCTGTCCACTGAAGTGCCCTAAGATTTTTCCTCCACCAGGATGCTTTTTCGCCCAGTTTGTTATATTGTAAACTTTGTTTTCTATTAATAACCATCGATCGTCCGGCTGATTGTGCTTCTTTACTTCTTCAAGAGAAATATATCTCTTCTCAATTGGTGACGAGGGGAGGGAATCTGTTTTCTTTTCCGCACCCATCGCTTGGGGAAGTGAAACAGTAACTACCGGTGTCAAAGCAAACTTTTCAAAGGCTGTTTTTCAGTCAAGTGTGCGTTTTTGTTTGGGATATAACTAGAGATTCAAAAACTGTCGAAAAGATAATAAACGCAATGTACCAATTATCATATAACTTATATCAAAATAAAGGTCCTTGTTATTGATAATAGAATATAACATTTTATGTTATAGTTACAACATACCAGTATTTGTTTCATTGCAATTTAAGAATGGTCTTTAATGAACATTTTTCCGAGAAATGATTAAAATAATTGTATTATATGCCTCTGCTTTTACGTTGAAGAAATTAACATTCAATGTATCTTTTTATTGAGGATATCTAGCTAGATTTGGACAAAATGCCCAAAACAACTCCATCATTCTCGTATTTCTGATGTGGGTTTGATTTTGCAAGGAGGTTGTATGAGAGAGGCTTATACAACCTCCTTGGATTTAGTAATAAATCCCAATGTTCTGTTAGTTCATATATCATATTAGATAAAAAAATTTACAACACAACTATCTTCGTTTATAGTCCGGCTTTATAAAAAAAAAAATCTCCGAAAAAAGCTTGATAAAAATTTTATATTTATAATCAGTCAGTCATTGGTGAATGGCTTTCTACAGTTTATATATATATATGCTCAACTGTTGACGAACTGACATTCAGATCATCTTTCTATCGAATTTTATATTGAGTTGTTGGGTAAGTTTATCATTTAATAGGACCTAACATCATAAACTGAACGTCAATAACTTTTTGTGAAATAAAAATGTCTTAATCCTGCTTGGCACCAAAAACTGCCACAGTTCTAAACAGGCTATTAGAAGTTGTTCGTGATCTTCAGCATCGATTTGAGAAGTTTGAAAAGCAAACTGCATGAGATGATAGCTGTTACACAATGCACGGTTAATTCACTTGTCCATAAAGTAATAATCGATTTTGTGATGAATCGAAGCACTGAAATTGAAGGGAGTGTTGAAACCGTGAGTCATATATGATGCACAAAACCGTGAGTCATATATGATACACAAAACCATGAGTCATATATGATACACAAAACCATGAGTCATATATGATACACAAAACCATGAGTCATATATGATACACAAAGAGGTAGATAGGTGTAAAGAACACATTTGAAACATTTCAAGTTTGAAAGGTAAAAATGTAGATTTTAGATTGCGTATCAATGAAGATGATGTTATCGAGCTAAAGTGGTGCTTAATGAAAACTGACCTTATCATTACTGGCATTCAATTTCACCAGGAGGAAAACAAAGAAGATACACTAAATTCTTTTATCAACCAAAAGTTAAATATTGACAAAAAATGTCAACTTCGTTTCAGTTTACCGATTCGGGAAAAGAGGTCGCAGGGGTAATTGTCCGATTTTAGCAAAATTTATATCAACTAAGGATAAAGAAATTATACTGAAAAACGGATTCAAATTGAAAGGAACAAATTTCGGAGTACAAGAACAAAAACGAAAACTTTATACCCGGTAGCCAAACAAGCCAGAAGGGACAAATGAATTATCGCAGCTTAAATGTTGAAATAAGTGAAACAAGATTTGACTGCCAAACGGCACTTAAAACACAGACATTTCTATAAGACATAAAGACATAAGACACAAAGCTTTATTTGGAGTCGGTATAAGCAATACAATTACAAACATAAGCTCTGAAGAGCTTTTAAACCGACAGAACAAAAGCACAACAAACAAAACATACATATCAAGTCATGCACACATACAATTAAACATAGAAAGCAAGAGTTCAAATTAATATGTAAACATGCAACACAAAAGTTCTATAAAGCAGCTTAAACACACACACTGAAGCATGCACTTATGAGGTAAAAACACAAAAGCAAAAGTAAAATGGTTTGCAACATAAAAAGCACATACAGATTAGTTAAGTAACTAAAATAAGCACAAAATAGCAGAAGCGCTATGGTAAACAAAACAAAATAATTTTTCCATGTTGAAAACAAAGCATTAAACTAAAACAATGAACAGAATTAACTGGTTTTGCAGGCGAAACATTGGAATGAGCTGCCAGACCAAGAATTTATTAGGTCTTGAATTTATTTAAATATGATTGCTTGCGTAGCTCATCTGGCACCTCATTCCAAAGCTTAGCACTCGCATACCTTAAATATTGTGGACCATATGCAGTTGTTCTTACATGTGGTAGGTCTGCTGTATTCTGGTATCTAAAAGAGTATCTGGAAGAAACTTCTCGATTAACAGTTTTTAAACATGAAAGCAAGTTATTCTACTTAAATGTGAAAAGGGAACATTATTTCGTTAAATTATTTCTTTGTTATTAACTATAGGACTAAGTATATTTAGTCCCAGCGGGTTATTAAAATTAATTATGATTTTTTAAAGACAATCCGGTACATGTTAAAATTTTTCTATGCAAACCTCATATTTCACCATCGTTGTGGCAGAGGATTACTTTGTTATTATTTATTTCCGTTCATTTAGGTATTGGATCATTTCAAGTTGTGGTTTAGAAATGCAATTTGCGATCCGTTCTCAGTGAATCTCAACTTTTCCCAACGGTTTCCCACTGCAGGATAATTTGAAATGGTATGTAAATTCAGAATATATTCAGACAATATTTTACTAACTAAAAAAAACCCATCATAGATGATTGATTTATATAAAACGTAAAGAAACGTTGACTGTTAATTTGTTTTTTTTAATTAGACGACCATTATGGCATTGTGTAATAAAAAATGAATTTGGGGTTTTTGGGTGAAACCAAATTCTAAGCGTTTCTTTAACTTTGATCAGTTTGTTTACAGTTTCCATGGCGGAATCGTCCGTTTTTATATAATTGTACAAATTCTTGCTTACATAATCAAGGATTTGTATAATCCTTGACATAATTTAGAATTTCGACAACTGTTTTCATGACGTTTGTAATGTTAATAAAGTTTGTTTCATGTTTCTCTTGTCAGTAAACTCATACGATTTTATCATGTCAAAAGATTTAATAAACAAAAATAAATTTGGGGATTAGGCTCGACCTACTTAACGAACTCTCTAGTGGTGAGGGAGAAAGACCCTGGTAGTAACTGAGGTCACAAGGTCAAATTTAGCGTGCTAGGCAACGGATTCACACTGTGCAATCGATCGATTTACTTTCTTTCACTGACACACCTGTCACTCAGCCAAATATCCTTCAATCCATTGTGAATCGTTGGCGAAGAAGCAACGTATATTCTTGGTAAAATAGTCTGAGAGGTCAACTTTTGCAGATAAACTTTGGAATTTATTTTCCCGCCATATAATTATTTGACTAAAAGTTTAAAAATGGCAGCATCAGGTATTGCTGAACACAACGAAGCAAGAAGACGACAACAGAGGGCAGATAGAATGGCATATATACAGACAGATTATATAAAGGTCAGTAGACAGTTATGTTGTGAGGAGGATTTAAAAGGACCCCCACTCTCATAAAAATTTGGCCCCAGTTTTTGCAAAACTTAAAGTTACTGTCTTTGTATCTCCAACTCTGAGAGATCAAATACATCTTCATCTGATAATGACAAATTGATACACAACTATACATCTCCCTCTAATCATAAGATAGATCTAATTGTCTAAAATTAAATCTTGTGGTCATCTCAGCGCAGGACCTTATAATATAATCCTTACTGGGTTCTGTTCAATTCTGTCTGTTCAGGACATGCCAGATGTGCTTTTCTGAATTAGCTCTGAAATCAACTGTGTAAATTAACTTAGGGATTTCAGAACCTATAATAATCATCAAACAGTTATATTTTCCGGGAATAAATGGTACTACATGTAGTTCTTTTAAAAGTTTTTATACGCCCGTCAAATTTTTGACGGGACGTATTATGTTATACAAATGTCCAGCGTCAACATGTCGCACCATAACTTGAGAATGACTTATCCAAATTTCATGAAATTTAACATAGTTGTTTCTTGTGATGGTCAAAAGATCTGTATACTTTTTGGTGAAAATAAGATTAAAACTTTTTGAGTTACGGGACTTAGTAACTAAAACAGGTGTGTGTTTTTTTTCACATGTCGCACCGTATCTCAAAAACAATTTATGATTATTGCTTAAAACTTTACACACTTCTTAGTTATATTAATCTTGAGATCTGTATACTTTTTGGTGATGATTCAAAATTTTATTTTAGAGATATTGAGTATTTTGTTAAAAAAGGGGAGGGGTTTTTCACATGTCGCGCCGTATCTCAAAAACAGTTTATGATTATTGCTTTAAACTTTACACACTTCTTAGTTATATTAACCTTAAGATCTGTATACTTTTTGGTGATGATACAAAATTTTATTTTTGAGTTATTGAGTATTTTGTAAAAAAAGGGGGAGGGGTTTTTCACATGTCGCGCCGTATCTCTAAAACGATTTATGATTATTGCTTAAAATTTTACACACTTCTTAGTTATATTAATCTAAAGATCTGTATACTTTTTGGTTTTGATTCAAAATTTTATTTTTGAGATATTGATTTTTTTTTTTTTAAAGGGGGGGGTTTTCACATGTCGCGCCGTATCTCAAAAACGATTTAAGATTATTGCTTAAAATTTTACACACTTCTTAGTTATGTTAATCTAAAGATCTGTATACTTTTTGGTTTTGATTCAAAATTTTATTTTAGAGATATTGAGGTTTTTGTAAAAAAAAAAGGGGGTTTTCGCATGTCACGCCATATGTCAGAAACTATTTATGCTTATTGCATAAAAATTCACACACAAGACGAAGGGCATATCATGCGCTCATGGCGCAGCTGTTTATTTTTGTTGGAATTGATTAGAGCTGTTCTTGGTCGTGTTTGTAAACTGATCTTTTATGTTTGTTCAGGTTTTGGCCAAATGATCTCATTAAAGGGTATTTATGCTTCATAAGGTAGCATAAAATGGTTTAAGGGTAGATTTGGGTCTAGCCCCTGATAGACCCTTGACAACATCACAGGCTATAAAAATCTTTCACTTTTTGTTTCTTTATAGGATTTTTTTGGTAAACATCACAGAGGAGCATACATGTATTTGGCAAATTTTTGTATCAGATTACCAAAAAGTATAAACGAACCTGTACATATAATAAATTTTCACGAACTCATCTCATATTATTTCCATTAATAGGTTACAATAATACAGCAAACGTGCATATATGCAATATTGTTTAATATTGTTCATGTAGGGGCCTTTTTTAGCCGACTATATTGTATGGGTTTTTCTCATTGTTGAAGGCTGTTACAGTAACAGTTGTCTATACCGGTAATTGCTTACAATGAGTTACATCCTCTTCATTTGAGCTTTGGTGGATAGTTGTCTCATTGGCAATCAAATCACATCTCCTTATTTTTATATATGGGGTTTAAGGAACAAATCTGCAGTATTAATGTAAAAGGGACTGACTGCAGTTTGTCCCAGATATCTGGACCATTTACAAAATGATTTATCTCCAAAACCAAGAAGTTAAGTAATTGGCTTAGTTTGTTACTTTGTATGTCCAATATTGAATAAGTATTTTTTGTAAGGTTTTTTACTGATAAGATGAAAAGGGACTTGTAATGGCTACAACATTTACAGTTTATGTGCAAATTTATTGAAAGAACATTTTATGAAAAAAATGTTTTATTACATGTTGTTTAATATCTGTTGTATTTTCATGATCTAGCTGTCCTGTCCAGCATTTTAATAATTCATATAAATATTTATTGATGTTCAAACACTCTCCTGCCAAAGAAATGTAAATATTATATTAGGTGTATATAACTGGCAGAGAAGATTAAGGGTAAATAATTTATAAGCAAAATCATTAAATCAATAATTTGACACGGATAAGTTTTTTAATTTATACTCTTTTCATCATGATTATAAGTAAGTGTATTTAATTTTAAAGGAAGTTTTTATTGTTATTTTAAATTTTCTTGATTGATTCATAGAAAGAAATTATTTGGGGCTTAAAACTTTGGATAGCTAGAAATATTATTTTATAAATGTTTTTGTCACTGCTGCTATACACCAATTTCAGGTTCTGTAACTTTATTTACAACCATCCTCTGTTTTTCCCTAGTTGATCTAAAGACATTCATGACATTAGCCAAACAATCAATATTTGTCTGTGAAATCAACATCATCAAAATTGCTCTGACAATTATATGTGTAATTACCAGATACACTTCTTTCAATAATGTGCAAACTAGAACGTGGTGTATATTCATTATAAGGGCCATAATAAAAAAGTTCTAAATACAATGTACTTCACATTTTTTGAAAAATTGAGGTGGGCAGGCAATTTTTATTTATAATCATTTTTCATCCATATTTTGTGAAAACTTCTAGCAAAATAAACATGATTGAAAAATTAACCAGAAATCATTTTTGTCGAGCCTGCGACTTTTGTCGCAGAAAGCTCGACATAGGGATAGCGATCCGGCGGCGGCGGCGGCTACGGCGGCGGCGGCGGCGGCAGCGTTAGCTAACTTCTTAAAAGCTTTATATTTTAGAAGATGGAAGACCTGGATGCTTCATACTTTGTATATGGATGCCTCATGTTACGAAGTTTCCGTCAGTCACATGTCCAATGTCCTTGACCTCATTTTCATGGTTCAGTGACTACTTGAAAAAAAAGTTCAGATTTTTTGTAATGTTAAATTCTCTCTTATTATAAGTAATAGGATAACTATATTTGGTATGTGCGTACCTTGCAAGGTCCTCATGCCCGTCAGACAGTTTTCACTTGACCTCGACCTCATTTCATGGATCAGTGAACAAGGTTAAGTTTTCGTGGTCAAGTCCATATCTCAGATACTATAAGCAATAGGTCTAGTATATTCGGTGTATGGAAGGACTGTAAGGTGTACATGTCCAACTGGCAGGTGTCATCTGACCTTGACCTCATTTTCATGGTTCAGTGGTTATAGTTAAGTTTTTGTGTTTTGGTCTGTTTTTCTTATACTGTATGCAATAGGTCTACTATATTTGGTGTATGGAATGATTGTAAGGTGTACATGTCTAGCTGGCAGATGTCATCTGACCTTGACCTCATTTTCATGGTTCAGTGGTCAAAGTTAAGTTTTTGAGTTTTGGTCTTTCTTTCTAATACTGCATGCAATAGGTCAGCTATATTTAGTGTATGGAATGATTGTAAGGTGTACATGTCTAGCTGGCAGGTGTCATCTTACCTTGACCTCATTTTCATGGTTCAGTGGTCAAAGTTAAGTTTGTGAGTTTTGGTCTTTTTTTCTAATACTATATGCAATAGTTCAACTATATTTGGTGTATGGAAATATTTTATGATCTATATGTCAGTTACGCAGGTTTTATTTGACCTTGACCTCATTTTCAAGGTTCATTGCTCAGTGTTAATTTTTTGTGTTTTCGTCTGTTTTTCTTAAACTATAAGCAATAGGTCAACTATATTTGTTGTATGGAAGAATTGTTAGCTGTACATGCCTGCCTAGCATGGTTCATCTGACCTTGACCTCATTTTCATGGTTCATTGGTCAATGTTTAGTTTACTTGGTTAATGTTAAGTTTATGTGACAGTTGTAATAAAGCTTTATATTTAGGACTATCAACATAATATCAATGATTAGTAAAGAAGGCGAGACATTTCAGCGTGTGCACTCTTGTTTGTTTTTGGCTCTTAAAAATCTAGACAGATAGGGATGAGACTTTAAAGATTTAAAAATGGCCTTATTTGATAAAGATGAACAATTTAAAGAACAGGATAGTCATGATAGTAGCCACTTTCTTTTGATACCAAGTCATGGAATTTCCTGTTTTGCAATGTTTAATGAAATTGATTAAAATGTAAATCCACATACTTGAATAAGCAATTTGTTAATGAAATGAACAGATTGATATACATATATATATAAATGTGTTTTATTTCATGTTTTTCACAGAATGACATGTGAACATTCATGATTTTTCATTGAATGACATGAATATTCATGTATTTTTCACTGAGTGACATGAATATTCATGTCTGTGTAAACATCATTCCTTTAATCACACTCACAGTTACACAAAAAAATCCAGTTTTTGTTCATTGAGATTAAAAATCTGACAGGTGTGAAATTAATTATGTCCAGTTGTTACAAATTCAATAAAATGACAGTGATAAATTCTTCACATCAAAATGAAGCATAGTTAAATTATCTTTTATGAATATTTCCTGATTAAATTATATAAATGATTATGTCAGAGTGACTGTCTATGTATAATGTTTGTGTTTCTAAGGCTTATAACTGAATGTCCTTTCTTGGGGCATTTTTGAAAATTTCCATTGTAATTTTAATAATACTGGAAAATCCCAGATTTTTACATGTAAATACATGTACAGATTTATTTTTTTAAAATAATTTAGAATTGGTGATACCCCTCAATTGTTTGTAAAAAAAATATTTCTGTATTTTTTTAATCAGCTAGTGTTAGAAATATCTGGGGTCACTTTTTTGCAGTCAGCAGAAATCAAATACTGAGTCAGTTTTGTCAATCAGTCCTCTTGGAATGTTTTTTTTTCTAAATTTGTGTTTAAAATTCATGTTATTAAAGAGAATAAAAATGACTATCAGTACTAAATTATACATAAGTTACAATATGTTTGATCCATATAATACTCTTTTACTATACGCTGATTTCTCACGTCATTTAAACGTTTTATGGGCTAACTAGCTCCCTGCATCTTTGAACTGATAAAGTAATTGTGACTGCTTGACATTTTTCAAACACCCCTCTTTATTCTTATGTACATAATCCAACCCTGCCTAAAGAAATATATTAATTTTATCATTTAAAAACAGTTATCAAAGCAGTCATAAGGAAGTTATCCCCATTAGAATATTCATCCCTTAGCTCAACATACTAACGTAGATTTTATGCCCAACAAACGCTCAAATGAGTCAAATAAGGTCACCTATTGCTAAGACCAAACACTTTGATAGAAAGATAACGATTGGAATTAATCATATTGAGTCTTTGATATCAATATAAAATAATCAATATGAAAGCATTAACCTGCTGTTATTGCAGTAGAACTCATTAAAAGCTGAACAAACAATGCTTTTTCAAACATTAAATTTTTAATTTGACCCTTCATTTACCATTTAATTTTGTTATAAAGAACTTTTATGTCTTTATCATGTTTATGGAACATTAAATTTTGATCTTAAATTTGAAATCAAAATTAAAGTTTCTTTATTGTCTTGTATTGAATAACGCTTGGAGTGATAGATCAATCATGTCAACTGTGAAATCGTTTAATATATTATTTTCTTATTTGTTCAAATCTGTTAAAGTGTTTGTATTGAAAAGTTTCAAATTTTCATTTGTGAACCTACAAAATGTATCTTTTACCAGGTATTTTGGGACAAATACACAATCTATGCTCCTTTAACATCGAATGACTTAAAGATCAATCAACTTTTTATATAATAATACAGGTACAGCTTTTAGGGGATTTGTGAAGGAAATTAATTACTGTCCTTTTGCAAAAACATGTATTGAAAAAATAAAATAACATGCATTAAATAGATGGTGGGCACTTTGCAAATTAATAGAATGATCAAAACAAACAACTGATGAGGAGCCTGTTCTGATAGACCAATGTTCTCTTTATTTCACCAAATGGTGAACATACAGAAGACCTGTTTGATTTTTCTGAGTTGAATATTTCTATAGTCTACAGACATATAAAAAAATCACAATTACATATTTGTTGTATTTTTATTTTTAGGAACAACTGGCCAATAATGAAAATAGATATAACACACAGCATGATAATACTTATGATTTACAAGTAGAACATTACAGAAAATGTGGAAGTCCCCCTGATGAACCTGCAGGTCATGACCCACAATCTATAGACAAGTAAGTAGAGTTACTTCCCTTGCATTAATTAGATTTTGCATTTTTGTCTATGGTCAAGGAATGCATGCATTTATTTTTGATTTTACTGTTCATGTATATACAATTTGTTGGAAGAACACTGCAAGTCGCAATACACAACTTATAAACAATGAATTCTTGTTAATCTCTCTCTTTCGTCCCTCTTTTGCTACCATTTACCAGATTATTTTGCAGCCATATTAAACAATCTGAATAACACACTTGAAAAATCTTTAGAGCTAGTATTGTGTGGACACTTGTCAGATATGGTGTAGCACACTTTTTGAAGACTGTAAGTTGCTCTTGAAGATGAATATTTGATTAGTTTTGGTTGCTCTCATTCAGATATTATTTACCTTTGCCGACCGTGTGAGGGCTGTATAGCCAGTCAAGGTCGTTAAAGGGAAACTTCGCAAAAAAATGAAAAATTGATATTATGTTCATTTTGTATAAAAAAGCACAAATTCATAAATATCAAAGTTTTATTCTGCTATATAAAAGATCACCATCGATTTTAAATTTAGAGATCAATTCTCTGCATGCGGCCATTTTGACATCTTCTCGGTTTAGAAACCACGATATATCTATAAACCACAAAGGACCAAAACCAGCAGTAACCTAATGTAGTCGTAATTGCATGTCGATTTCTTGTAAAGCGTACAGTTGTTTTATCTGACAAGAAAAGCATAAACAGTTTCCCGGGTCACAAAAATGATTATAATAGACATGGTTGTGCAACTTTTCCTAACTAACATGATACGGAAAATGCAATTATTTTTTTTAAATAACTATGGTCTGTCGTTTTTAAACTGTTTTTTTTTTTACCAAGGATTTGTATTTGTTACTTTACAAATCCTTGTTTTTACTAAGTTTTGAAACATGAAATTTATATGGGAATTAGTTAAAAAGTCAAGTTCAAAGTCATATATAATTGTCCCGTGTATGATTGTTTTCGAAAATCTAATTTGTTCATAATTCTTTTATGTAATAAACTTTTATGTAACCAAGGCTCCGTGTTGAAGACCGTACTTTGACCTATAATGGTTTACTTGTATAAATTGACAATTTGTGACTTGGATGGAGAGTTGTCTCATTAGCACTCATACCACATTTTCTTATATCTAATTATTTAAATAAATTCAGACCTTCCCTTATCTGATCACCAGCATGGCTAAAGGAATTATTCCCAGAGGTATTGTGAGGTGACACGTCCAGGTATTCTTGCGATTTCCTGTCGGGCTTAAAAACTCTTATTACACAATTACATAAAGCAAGTTCATGCATCCCTTCATTTTTGAGGGTATTGATCAGTGTACACGGCCGATAACTTGTAACTTTCCATTTTGAAACTATCAGGTGTAATATACATCTTTGTCTTGCGTGTCCGATAGTGATATACTAGTCATTACTTAACACTTACGCTTGTTTATAAATAACATTTCTGGTGTAAAAAATGATATTTATGAAAATCTAAATAATTCCAAAAAAAGATTTGATAAAATTTTTCCAAGGGTAAATTGCATTGACAACGAGTACATACTTACATTTTCCACAATTGTGGAAAATGTAAGTATGTACTCGTTGTCAATAATGATGGACATTTTGAAACATACAAATATTGATTTAACAAAAATGTACGCACTTGTCGATCATTGGTTAATACGCCTAGATAGAAAGTTACGGAACTATAGATAGTCTAGTCGCAATTAAAAATATATACATGTTTTTGAATATAACAGAGAAACATCCAGAACCAATTTGATTTAAATACAGGTTGATATCTTACTTGCTTTGGTTCATCGAAGTTATGGACATAGTAAAATCACAGATTTATATTTCATTTAGGTTGTTCTCGAACAGTTAAAGAAATTCGTCATCACCACAATTGTTGGGTATAATGTATAATGATGAGAACATGGTTCTAAAAGTACATTTACTAACTTTCCTGTTCCGACATGCATGTAATATATATGCTACTGGACGTACACTAATGATTCCCCAGAAATCTATTTGAAGAAAAAAAGAAACTTCACTCCGGATAGACTGATAGTATTTGTATTAACGTCTGATTAGCTAGATGATTGATTAATTTATTTAGCTGGCTTGTGGGGGAATAAACTATTCCCAATATTGCACTTATGCATAAAATATTAAATGAGAGTAATATGAGAGAAAATATAAATACGAAAAGTCGCATATCTGGTAAAAAAAAAGTCTCACTGGCAACTATAGAATTTCAAGTACAATTCTCATTCTTAATCGAAATAACGGACAGTCATTAAAATACATGCATGTACACTTTGATTAAAAGGGGTGCCGCAGTTGCATATTATTCATCATAAATCTATTTCAAGTATATACTTTCCTGTCATTCTTATAAGTTAACGCAGAGACATGTAACTATACATCTCTAGTTAACGACAATCAACCATATAAATATTTGAATCTGATGTGACCTACCGTTCATCTTTTTCTTTTTTCTTCTTTTTTTTTTTGATTTGGGCAGGTACACAAATATTGTAATGTTAGATATACTGTTCCCGGGTTGGGAGGGGGAGTTGGTTGGAGGTAAAGTATATTGAAAGTTACAAAATAAGAACGTTGTATTTATGAATTTACACTGAGACATGTGTTATAGTAGTCTCAGATTTACATGAAGAATTCTGATCTTGGACGTAGGTTTTTTTTTTTTTGTAGTTCAGTGATTTAAATTGAGAGAAAAAAATATAGTCAGAATTTAAATCGTACCGGCAATTTCCACCTAAGACTCCTCTAAAATCATGAATGGTCACGCTTCACAATCATCAGAATTTTCTTTGCATTGGTACATTCTGTATTGGTAGTGATTTACCTAGACATTTCCGGGTATATCAGAGCTACTTGTATATTACCTGTATGTGGTTAGGTGACGTCCAATGAGGTCTTACGTATACTAGTTCAATTTATAATGATTTCTGATATAACAATATGACACTCACACTTCTGCGTGTTCTGTATACCAAATTCTTATCTTATTTTCAGACCAAACGAGGATGTGAATATTTTCCAGGAAAAATATTGAGTATCAAAGTATCAAATTAATTTCGGGATTTTTTTCTTTTTTGGTATTAAATCACAGAAATTTAAAGAATATACTGCTTGTCCGCTTGAGGTGTATTCTTGTCAGTTAAGACTGGCATATATGTCTCTGGTATAGAGTGGGTTTATGAATGAATGATAAGTCTTGCAAAGGTACAAGATATAAAGCACATTGAAAATTGATTCCGCCGGTCTGTCTCCATTCAAAAAAGGAAAGTTGACGTTAGATTGATTCTGTTATTTTTTTTAAACATCGATGGTCAAATAGCTAAAGTATGTATACGTTGTGAGATTTTAAATATTTTAATAAGGGCATTTCCGATTAGGTAAATGTAGATCGCTGTGGACGGACCAAGCTATGTTAATCATGTAACCGCGATAAGTTTCTCTAAACATTGAAATATTCAAGGTTAATACCAATGATAATTTGAAAAAGTAAGTACAGTGCTTGGTTTATACGCTCGTTTACGTGGGCCATTTTTATTTATAAAATTATTTAATTGAAAGTAATTCAGAATTTCGATGTTACAACAAAATACTCACCTATCTATTTTAAAATTAAGCTTACGCAAAATATAAAAGATATATAATGGCGATTCAGGTATTTTGCCACCATATTCCTCCCCAAATAATTAATGTTTTTATCATTCATACGAAATGTTGTTCACACCTGTAACGGTGAACCGTGTTGGCTAAAATTCACTGAGTGAAGATCAAAAGAATAGAATTACAGAATGCTAATCTTTTAATTACCTTGAATCTAACCACGCATTCAACAGGTAGTCACTAAGTGTCACAGTACAATACACATTGTATTTACAAAGTACTAGTGGGAAATGTTTGCTAGACTGAAGTAAAAGCCTTCAGGTGAGAATACAAACATGCATTTGTAAAACAATATCAGTTATATATTTTTGTTCAAAATATCCATCGGAAAAAAAATTCATAAAAATATATTCTATTGTATGATTTACTTTTATTACTATAATCATATCAGAAATCCTTTAAATATAAATCGTACATTTTAATTTTGAAAGTTGCACGGCTGATCACTTTACTTTCTTAATTATTAGTTGGTTAATAGCTACGCCAAAAGTCGTCGATACGCTTTAAATCGCGTTATTAGATGATTAACGAACAAGACTTACAATGAGATTTATTCACTCCCGGCATGCAAAAAGACTTAAACTACGTCACATAAGTCAGGAAGTTCGAATAAATTAAATTATTAATTCCCAATTTTCTTCTTTATTAGTGTTCATATCCAGATAAAACTTGGTGAATATGTTTTTTATGGTATTATGAACATAATAAGATGAAAAGTAAAAAATCGCGAATTTTCCCTTTAATAACCCCCATCATCATTTACCTATCAAGTTCTTGAATAAACACAATTTTCATAACGTCAAACATTCTCTAATACATGTAGATCTCTGTTTTTAACTATTGGTGTACTAATTTCTTTTCTAGGAAAAGAAGAGAAGAAGCACGTAGACAACAATTATATGAATATTCTGCCAAACTCAATAATAGATATAGCGTAAGTATACAAACTAGATGTGTTATGGTTTATATTATGTTGTTTGGTTTTGTTTGAATTGTTAATGGGGGGAGGGGGCACTGTGGTTGATTGATTTAAGTAGTCCATCCATAGTTGTCACTAGCCTTGTCAACATAGAGATTGTGAGTTCTAACCTCACTAATGTCAAGATCACTCACTCAGTCACAGTGTTTGACTCCGTCTTAATTGTCAAAGATCGGCAGTTTTCCTGATGAAGGTTCTTTTTTTTGTGGGAACTTCAGCTTCCTCAACAAAAACTTGCCACGAAATAGCCATGAATGCTGAATGTGGGGTTAAACACAAACAATCAATCAATCAATCAATCATTATTATAAGTGTTATGTTTGGCAGAAAATCTCTTGCTTATATTAATATAGAAATGAGTCATACATTTGTCACAGTTCAATTAACCATTAGTTTTACATTTAAAATTTCCAAACCTTCAGACATTTATGGATAGAAACAAAAAAAATCTTTTGGAGTATCAGTCAATGAGACAGCAAACTAACACAAAACTAAAAAATAATAACAATCTTTTGGAATTTTCACAATAAATCCTTATATACCCAGCTGAAAAAAAGCCTTAAACCATGTCCTGATGCAATTGTTTAACTCTGATAATGTTTAAGAAGTTTTTTGTATTTGAATTTAACAACATTGTCTAATTATATTGTCTTCTTTATTTTCAGTCTAAGGACTATATAAGCCAGTGGTGAAGATAGCTATGGAATGTGGAGTCAGCTCTTAAGTTAGTCTATTGTCTGACAGGATTAAAAATCAAAACCAAAGTTTACAAGACAGTTTAAAAATTTTGTATAAATATGTATTATCTCAAATTATCAACATTCATAACTTAATGAGAGGTTTAAAAAGATTTTCTTCCATTCAATTAATAAAAACACTGGTAAAAAGTAACATGTTAACTTTGTACTATATTTAAAGGTCTTATATATAAAGAAACAATGTGTTTCTTCCTGTTTAAAGTTGTGTGATTGCACCAGTATACAAATTATTTTTTTTGTATTGTGTCTCATTTTCATTTCTTATTTATATTCAGATTTCTATTTATACACTTCTGATTGTTAATTTGTATTTTTACACTCAGTATTAAATTTGCACCAGTATTTCAGTAATTTTATAGTACATTACATGCTTAAAAATAATCTTTAAAAATCACCCTAACATTTTAAATTCTTCTTGAAATAAAGAAAAGGTGATCAAATAGTGGATAACTCAACCAATTTGATTGATACAAGTCATTGTAATTTAACCAAAATGAAGAAATAGCATGAGAAATAATAAATTCATGTTTCCTTCATTAAAGGGAGATAATTCATGTATTGTACTTAAAATTACATTATATTGTGTATATAAATGTGATTGTGTTTTTTAATTGTGAATATATATTTTGTTTTTGTTAATGTATATGCACATTACTTTTTAACTTTAATAGCAAATTTTCATGGCTTTTTAATCATTGTTTGCATAAGAATTCTCAAGACGCTTATTTTTTCTTACAAATAAAAAGTGTTCTAAAATATAAAAAAAATAAAATCTGCTCTAACTTACTGAAAGGAAAAATCAAATGCATTGTAATTTGTGATGAAAGAGAGGTTGCGAGTTAATTAATTTATCAAGTTTGAGAGTTTTATCATTACATCTGTGTCAATCTAAATAAACAAATATTGTTACATATAAATTAAAAGATAGATTTGTAAACCGGTCAAAGACAAAGCTTGGAATTTTTATCTTAGATGTTTGTGGTATAGATGGCTAAATTTGTAGTAGGTTCATATTTTATAAATTCAAAATTTAAAAATTACTTTCTCCTCAATAAATCTACAAGATTTTTTAACTAGGTATATTTTCCTATCGGTAACAAAAAAGTAATTTATTAGTCGTACATGTATTAATGTCATAAATTATTGAGATGTATTTGATATTTATATAGTTTGATGTTGTGATAAAGGTACTCTATGCAATACATTTTGCTTGTTTTGTTTGCTCAAGTTTTGCTTGAATAAAACCTTTTACAATCTAGTTAGTCTATCTAAATTTAAATTACTATTCCATTCTAACAGAGGGAGATCTCTTTGGCGGAGTGGTCAAAGTGATTGCTTGCAACTCTGAGGTTGTGAGTTCAAATCCTGATTTTGGTACAAAATGTAGGTGTTCGACATCGATCTCAAATGACAAGGATTGACAGTTCTCTAGTACAAGATTGCTCTGATGTCTTGACATCCTTTTTAGGCAAAAATCTCAGAAACCTGTAGGCCCATTTTTGGTTCTGCTATTTCCATGTTTTCTATATGGACTGCGCTCTGACGTCCCACTGTCCCAGTCCCCATTTCCCCTGCCAGTCCTAAATAAAGAGCTGCGCCATGAGCGCATGATACGCCAGTTGCGTCATATCAGAAAATTTATAAAAAAAAACTAAAGGGAGGTTAATCAAATAGATATAAACCAGTCACCAAAGTTTCATGAAAACTGCTCTAGTTGAGTTGAGTTTTTGTCCGAAAACTTGAAAATCACCGCTTTTTTATGCATAAAATCCCATTACTCAGAAACGTTAAATCTAAAATTTATAAAAATAGAAAGGGAGCTTATGTCAATAGATATAAACAATTCACCAAAGTTTCCTGAAAACTGCTCAAAGCATTTTTGAGTTATTGTCTGATAACTGGAAAATACACCTTTTTTAATAAATTAAATTCATAACTCGGAAATGTAAAATCTAAAATTTATAAAAATCGAAAGGGAGTTCATGTCAACAGATATAAACAATTCACCAAAGTTTTATGCAAATTGGTTAAAGAGTTTTTGTCGCGCCTGCGACTTCTGTCGCAGAAAGCTCCACATAGGGATAATGAACCAGCGGCAGCAGTGACGTTAACTAACTACTTAAAAGTTTTATATTTTAGAAGGTGGAAGACCTGGATGCTTCATACTTTATATATAGATGCCTTATTTTATGAAGTTTCTGTCTGTCTTATGTCAATTGTCCTTGACGTCATTTTCATGGTTCAGTGACTTCTTGAAAATAAAGTTCAGATTTTTTGTAATATTAATTTCTCTCTTATGAGTAATAGGATAACTACATTTATTATGTGCTTACCTTGCAAGGTCCTCATGCCTGTCAGACAGTTTTCATCTGACCTCGATCTCATTTCATGGATCAGTGAACAAGGTTAAGTTTTCGTGGTTAAGTCCATATATCAGGTACTATAAAGCAATAGGTCTACTATATTTGGTGTATGGAATGATTGTAGGGTGTACATGTCCAACTGGCAGGTGTCATCTGAACTTGACCTCATTTTCATGGATCAGTGGTTAAAGTTAAGTTTTTGTATTTAGGTCCTTTTTTCTAATACTATATGCAATAGGTCAACTATATTTGGTGTATGGAAATATTTTAAGATGTACATGTCATTCTGGCAGGTTTTATTTGACCTTGACCTCAATTTCACTGTTCATTGGTCAATGTTAATTTTTCATGGTTAAGTTTGATTCTTAGATACTATAAACAATAGGTCAACTATTTTTAATGCATAGATTGATTGTAAGGTGTACATGTCTGTCTGGCATGGTTCATTTGACCTTAACCTCATTTTCATGGTTTGTTGGTCAATGTAAATAGATATAAGAAGATGTGGTATGAGTGCCAATGAGACAACTCTCCATCCAAGTCAAACTTTATAAAAGTAAACCATTATAGGTCAAAGTACGGTCTTCAACACAGAGCCTCGGCTCACACCAAGTTTGTTTCTTAGAAACTATAAGCAATAGGTCAACTATATTTGGTGTATGGAATGATTGTAAGGCGTACATGTATTTCCAGTTTGGTTTATCTGACCTTGACCTCATTTTCTTGGATCATGTTAAGTTTTATGTGATACTTGTAGTAAAGCTTTATATTTGGGACTATCAACATAAACTCAGTAAAGCAGGCGAGACATTTCAGCGTATGCACTCTTGTTGAGTTATTGTCCAACATGAGGACAACGGTATACCATAATACGTCCCGTAAACGGGCGTATAAAAAGGCTGTTCGACATTAGAGCAATCTCTGACTACCAGTTTTCCTGATTCTATCTGTGGATACAATTTTTATGGATTGAGGAATTATTGCATATTGTGGTATTTTGATTTCGTGGTTTTGACAAAGTCTGTATACATGGCTATAGACAATTTGCTATTTGTTGAACATTTGAATTCATGGGTTTTCTATATCTAGGAAATTCACAAAATTAGTATCTCACGAATAATAATGAATCCTCAGAAGTAACAAACAAGGCATTATAAACATTATTGAAGAAAAAGCCTTTTCCTGGTGTTAATGTTTTAGACATTTCTATATATTAAGTCAAGTGAACCAACACCTTCTGGCTGTACAGACAGAGTAATCAGGATGGATATCAGAGTGTGCAGTGGTTGTCACAAAACCTTATCAATACAAACTATAAAGAGACAAGAACATCCTGGTTATGACAAGGACACTATTTTATTGTGTTTGACATGTTTCATCACTTAAGAGTGGCATCTTCAGGACAATGTTAAGATAGGAAACAAACAATGAAGTAGAATTATATCACTATATATTGTTGAAGACAGTAGATATGTTGCTCTACTTTTCCTGGTCTCATTGCTTGTCTCATTAAAGTAGACTCCCTCATCTCTTTTTGTCTTACCTTGCAAAGTCATGGAGGCGAGACTTGGGTGTGTTGTTTTTGTTGACGGCAGCATCAACAATATCTACAGTTTGTAAACAAGTCCATTAAGGGGATCTACTTATGATATTTGCTTGGCACTGTATCATGTTTGGAACAATGGTCATTATTTGTCCCTACCCCCTCAGTTATGGTTCATTGACTGAAACGTTTGCAGTTTACAGTACTATAAAATAGTTTCCTGTCTCTTTTCAAAACCTCTTCTGATGCGTCTTTGGAAGACAAAACGACATCTGGTGTACACAATTTTAATCTAGTATCTATGATAAGTTTATTCCCATGTTGAATAAATTGCAAACACAAATATTTCATTTCATGTCACTGTTACTTGATGGGTAACTGTCTTATTATATAACATATCTGGGCTACAAAATTTGAAATGGTAGTAAAATTATAGATTATACAAATATTAACTATGGTTAGAAAGATGTAGATTTTGTCTTCAGACCACTGCAAGCTAGGAAATTTCTACAACAGTTTCCATTTGAAATTATTGTAAGGAAAAAACTCATCAACTATACCAGGCTTATAAATATGGTACACCAAACACACGTTTGGTCTACACAAGACTCATTAGTCACACTCAAAACAGTTGGAAGACCAAATCAAATTCCAAGTTAAAGAACATTAAAACCAAAAATTCAGAAAGTCATGCCAAATAGGGCTAAGTAAATTCCTGTTTTATAAGTTAAACTGTTCCTCAATCCATTTTACATTTAATAGAAATAAATTATATCCCCAAAATCTTGATGTTGATGATTTGGCACAAAACTTTAAGGAAAATAACATAATAAATCATTAAATTGACGATTTTTATTGATTAATGTCTGTCTACTGTAACCAACACTATTGACTGTTCATTCAGTTTAGTAAGTCATATGGTCATTGAAATTCTCTGGTTTTCAGCGACCCACTTCAATGAGATTTGAAAATCACTTATTTTCCATTATAAACCATCTGCCATTTACTGTCATGACTTCTCTTCAGTGGCATCTTTGGGTTTGGCTGATCGGGCATATTGCTGGATTATTGTTAAGGAAAAACTTTATGTAAACTTGAAAAAAATATTTAACCAGATATCAGTGTTCTAAACATAAGTTTGTTAGGTGTTAAAACCAAATTTTCAAAATCTATTAATTTTTACATGTGTTTATTTGCACAGGTGATTTTACATAAATTTTTACCTCAGTTAAATGACTTTTTCAACAATTATCAGATTCTTAAAGAGGTACTAAAACGCACATTACAAGTTATTCTTATCTAAAAGTTCGAAATAATTGATAAAAAATGCAAAAAACCCAATGCAATCTGGTCCACTAATTACAGAGATAATAGCGTGTAAAGTTCAACTATTTTTACCTTCGGAAAATCCAATCAACGCTACTTCCGGAAACAGCACTAAAACCAAATCTTCCGGAAGTGACGCACAGTGGGTCACTTCTTCGGCTTATCTAAACGTTGTTTAATAAATGAACATTCTTCTGATCGTTGATTGAAAGCACTGCCAATGAATTTCGCTACCCATTCAAGGCTCATTCTTCATTATGAACAATTTGTCGAAAGGAACAAAATATGTTTCAGAAGGGAAGTGTATTTATAATGTGTTTCAACAGAAAAAGGGGGGGATAGGGTTGGGATAATTCAACATTGAGTTTTCAACTGAAAACATTGTTCCTGATCGTAGAACTGAGACAAATTGATGGTCAATATATTATCAATCTAGCTATTAATTAAAAAAAATTGAGTCGAGAAAAAATATAGTTTATATTTACATGTACGTAAAGTTGCATAACATCTTGGCAAGATATGACGGTAGAGGCTTCTGTTCCATGTAATAAAAATAATTAATTGCCAGTTAAAAACCGGGTATGTGTAATACCTTTTTATAATTATCAAACTATAAAGATTATCACTTTATAAACAACAGGTGGCATTTCTGCATGGCCAAGTTGTTAATTACCTGAGTGGAGGGATAATAGCTACCGTTTGATCTTTATTACCTTACTGTATACAGGATGTTTACTTATCAGTAGTATCAAAGTGCGGACTGTTTTAATTATCAGGATCAAAAGGTGATCGAAAGGATTAATATTTTTCTTGTTTGGTTATTTATTTGTCATTGCTTAAATTTCAAATGAAAGATAAGTTCAATATTTTAAAAGCAGTATGGTATAATTTTTTTTTATTTAAAAAAAAAATTGGTGTGTCAGATCATTACATTCAGGATTTAGGACACAAGTTATTTTGGAATGCGCACCCCTTTTTCTAAAGATTTTATATCAATGGTTTTTGTTGTAGTTTTAAATGCTCAAATACATTTTAACTTATTTAATAATTCTATTGCTCTTATATTTCTACGATATAGGTTTTTTCTAATAACAGAAAAATATAATATATATTTACATATAAAATAGGCCTGTGATGGCAAACGTACTGAAAGTTAGAGGACAGAAAGTAACAAATTTGATAGTACAGAAGTCACACATACTATTTGTTTAGTTTTGTTTGAAAACATAGGAAAAATTTCTACAATTTTTTTTTTTTGGTTACTTAGATATAAGAAGATGTGGTATGAGTGCCAATGAGACAACTCTCCATCCAAGTCAAAATTTTAAAAAAGTAAACCATTATAGGTCAAAGTACGGTCTTCAACACGGAGCCTTGGTTTACACCGAACAGTAAGCTATAAAGGGCCCCAAAAATTACTAGTGTAAAACCATTCAAAGGGGAATATATTAATTTTGCAATTTATGAAATAGTTCATTTAAACCTAGAGTAATGAATAGATGTCAAATTTTATACATGAAAAGGATATATTTATTGGCACTATGTCATAATGAAAACATTTAAGTACCAAACCACTTTGACAAAATGTTATCTTTACAATTATTTTTCATTATTGATTTTTTCAGAATAAATTTTGTTTACAAAGTTGCCATATATATAAAAGTTCTAGAAAAAATAACAAAAATTATTTTGACAAATGTTTTCTTATTAAAAAAAAAAATAATAAACTAAAAACTGAATTGTGAATTTTTGTACTGTAACTTTCTATCCTACATTCGTCCGTAGGTAGGACTATGCTCATGATGCTGGGTCCAGCTGGGATCTGATATAACGTTTGTACATATGACACATATAGTAATATTTTTACATATTAAGGTCCAAGGACTATGACAATCATATATACTTATACTGATTTCCATTTTAAAATTTTGTTTGATTTTCAAATCTCTGTATAGGTTAATTACAAGTCTATCCAGTATTTCATTTTTAATGAAATAGCTTGATCAATACATATTCAGGTTTTTGCTAAACCAGTCAAGCAGATTAATGTGACTGACAGTTCTCAATTCTTCACATTATCTAGAGAATAAACTTATATAATTTTGAAATGCTGCTGTAGCTAACTAAAATCGTAAGAAAGAGAATTTTTATTTTTTTGTTGCTCAGAAAAATTCACATAGTTTAATTTAACAAATCGAACTCCGTCGTCTTTTGGAAGCACGTGTTGGGAGTGTCCTATTTTGAATGCCGTTTTTCCGCCATGGAAAATAACATGCACGGTTCTACTTCTGCTTCTACGGCCACTTTAGGATGCACATGTTAATATTTTATTGAAAAAAAGGTTGATTTGTGCTTTTGTTTTTTCAATACTTTTCTAATTATAAACATTTGATTAAAATATTTATGCGATTATCAAGCCTAGATAAATGGTTATCAATATTCTCAATGTAATAATTGTCACTGTTATATTTCAAAACTGTTATTTTACTTAGCAAGCCGTGATCTGTTTGCATACAATATAACACTCGTATTTGATCAGGGTTACCCACTGTGCGTCACTTCCGTTGGGTATAAGTAGTGCGTTGTAGTGGCGTGTTTTACTAAATCGTTCAGGTGTTCAAATGACAAACTGACAGTAATTTGCAAATATCTCGATAATTACAAGATGAAATTTTATCGGGTTTTTTGCATTCTTAAACATTAATTACGAACTTTAGAATAAGACAAACATGATTTTAGCGTTTTAGTACCTCTTTAAAAGCTCCTGGAAAGTTATAAATTGAATTATCCTCCCGTAAGAAATTTAAAATGGGTTGAAAATTGTTTATATTTTGTACATCTACATTCATAATTATCAGTTTTATAGGTGAAAATTTGAGCTCACATGGTCCACTATAAACTCAACTCCAGTTGACTGCACCTTTAATATGGTTGTAGCCAGACACAAAACTTTACAACAGAAGTAATAGGCTAAAGAGACCTTAAAAGTAGGAAGTCTTAGACCTGAAAAAAGCAGCTTGAACCATGTCCTAAAAATGAAATCTACACATTATAAATTTCATGCTTCTGAAGTGCTTTTCTGGATTTACCATCATCAGGAACCCTCAAAGCCAAATATTTGAAAGCCAAGGATGTATAAGAACCGAAACAGTTGAAGAGCTTTATGACCAAAAAGGACATAAAAAAAGCTGGGAAGGGCCTTTGTGGTTATCTTTTGTTAGGCCAATTAAAATTAATTGATAGATTTTCATCCCCGCCCGCCCCTTTGAAATCGTCCTGCCCCAAGTTTTTTTTATTTTTGAAAATTTACAATTTCCGGATTTTGTTCATTTACGTTATCGATAACCGTCAATAGTTTAGTTTCATTCAAACTTCCTTTTGCAAATTTCGGTTTTCGTATTTCTTTGAGTAATTTAACCAAAATAATTAAGTCAACATATTCTGCTGCTCTATAATGACAACAGTATATTCTGTGAATAGAGATTGAGTACGGGAACAACATGAAATATTCGGTTTACGGAGTCTAAGAACGCAAATCGCGATATCACACGGATGTGTCACAAATTTCAGTGATTTGAAAACCGTGGATTTTTTTATTTAAACAATGACTTTGAGCCAGGAAATTTGGACTGTGAATGATATCCAAACGCAAGAATAGTGAAAAACATTGGTACAATAAACATGACTGGAATAAAGAAATTGACATAAGCACGAACTTGTGAGATTTATAGTCGTGTATATTTTTTAGTACAAAAAGTCGGCCAACATACAAAATGTATTAAAGCAAAGCTTAGCCCTTCGATTTACCCCAAGGTTGTCGTTCTTTTGTTGACAAACATCAAACACGTTCTGTCCCCAGCCCCTCAATAGAGTCATTAAAAATACTCTTCCTTTTGGTTAAGTTCATGTTTTACATTGTAATTTAATAAAATAGAAACAATTTGCACCTTGCTTAAGAATATTAAAAGCATCAACCCTAGTATTTCAACACAGTTTGAGTTTTCATTTCACTATGTAGTCATAATACTTGTGTTGCCTACACTTCATTTCATGGACACTACTAACCATAGCTAAGAAAGCAAAACATATTTGATGTAGGTAGTCGAAAAGTGAGCATTTCTCCTTGTTTTTGCTATTTATTTAAAATAGGTTTCTAAAGCGGCAATTACATGCAGAACAGTCGTTGCCAATAAGAAATATTTATTTAAGACTTTGAAAAATTATGTAGAATTTCTTATATAAACATGACATAAGCTTATTATTACCCTTGCTTATGAATAACTCATTACAAAAAGAGTTTCGGAGGAAATAAAAATTAAAAAATTAAATCCACCTACCCACCCCATTTTTTTCAAAAATCTGGATGAAAATCTACTAATTAACTTTAGTTGGCCTTATTTGGGGATTTTGTTGTTGATTGCAGAATTTTAATTGTATCTTTTTATTCTCATCTTTTTCTTTAGATTTGGGTCAATTAAGAGAATAACATATCGTATAGAGTGACACATGTCTATCATTTAATACAGCTTGTTTAATTTGTTACTTCTTTTCATGTTGTTGGTATACTGTCTCATTAATGTATACCCCACATCTTTTTTTTTTAATTCATTTGTGATTTGTCAACACCCAAGAAAGGCAGCCCCATTAGGAAAAGGATACAACCGCCATAGGTTTATTGTTGAGGACAAATCCATTTGTATCATTCATTGCTTTCTCAGCGGATTCTTCTGATGGTAAGGTGATAAACCCTTGTCCCTTCATTCTTCCTTCCTTCATTACTCTTAAATCAAACCTATAACGAAAATACAAGTAATAGATAAATATTTGTCTCTTCATTCTTCCTTCCTTCGTAACTCTTATATCAAACCTATAATAAAAATACAAGTAATAGATAAATATTTCTCTTCATTCTTCCTTCCTAACAATCATATTAAATCTTTGATAAATATACAAGTAATACACAGCCAAATTTTGCTCACGTGAATTTCACATTAATTTCACGTGAAATTCACGTTAAATTTTCACGTGAAATTATTTCACGTAAAACATTTCATGTGAATTTCACGTGAAAAAATATAAATGGTGTCTAAGTTAAAAAAAAATAACCGAAAATCAAACATTTTGTCAACCTCTAATATCTTGTATTATATGTATCATATATTCCATGGAAATCTTAATTTAATTTGAAAAATTCTATTTTCAAGTGAAATTCACGTTAATTTCACATTAAATTCACGTGAACAAAATTTGCCTGTGTAGTGAACCAACTCCTTTATAAAATGTTATTTTCATCTTCAATATACTTACATGGATTTCTCAGTCTCAGAATTCCAGTCTACATAATTTCCAAATATATCAACCAAGTCCTGAAAAAAAGGCATTTTTTACCACATTTTAAATGTTTCACAGATAAACACGTTTCTGTAATGCTTAGCCGATTAATACTTTTCCTGACCTGTTGATTATTTTCATTTTATCAACGTGTCGTAAGTTTGATCTCAGTTCTTAATTGGTCAAGTTCCATTATGATGTCAAATTTTTTTCTTTTCTTTTGAATTTCCCATTATGATGCCACGAAAAGAAGGCGAACCATGTCTGATGATGTCACACAAAAAGAACACATGTTTTAGCAGATCATTGCAATAGAAGGAATAAGTTCGTCGGCATATCGTCTAAAAATCATTAGAGAAACAGATTCCACCAACAAATCTCGTGCTATGAGCCTCGCATTGTAGATATAAAAAAATTTAATTGTCAAGAGTGGAGAAATATCATATTACACTTGAAGCAGTGGTAGAATCTATATATATGCCAATATAATTATTTCTTTTTCAAAACTATTTTCAATTCAAAAGAATGCAGTCGAACCAAGTTGTGTCAAACTTGGTTGTGTCGAAAACTAATTAATGCATTTTAACCTCTAATGAATCGACTTCAGTAGATTCAAATTCTCGGTTAAGTCAAATAGCATTTATATTCCTGTTGATGGAAAATTAACATAAATTGATGTCTCAAAGTTTGAAAGTAAGAAATTTCGATAAATGCAGACTTAAATATAAAAATTCAAATTGGATGTTTGGTCTTGATAGCAACGTTCAAACCATATGAAAGTAAATTCAGATATCAAAAACGGTAGTGTAGACACAAAAACATAAACTAATATTCATACTAACAATGATTTTTCTTCTTACAATATACAAAATTGTAAAGGATTGGTGAAATATAAATGTTTGTGTTTGTATAAAAATAAGAAGATGTGGTAAGTGTGCTTGTTTCATATTTATTTATTTGCTTAACAAAAACACCAACATCTTATTTATGTAAGTGTGATTGCTGATTGTTGACTGAAGGCCTCCCGTCTGTATAGTTGTTTACATGGTTGATATTTTGTCTCATTGGCAAAACATCTCCTTAATCTGTGCACAACTTTTTATTTATGAACATGACAAAAAAGTGCTGCTTTTTATTTGTGTTTTCATTCAAATTTTTTACAATTTCATAGGTGTAAAAAGTAAAATCACAAAAATACTGAACTCCGAGGAAAATTTTAAAAGGAAAGTCCCAAATCAAATGGCAAAATCAAAAGTTCAAACACATCAAACGAATGGATAACAACTGTCATATTCCTGACTTGGTACAGGCATTTTCTTATGTAGAAAATGGTGGATTTTTACCTGTTCACTTGTGTATTTCTTTAGAGAATTCCATATTTTGAACAAGACATCTGTCTCCTATTGCTGAAACTGTTAGATGACCTCCAGATGTTTTTTGGTCTTTATCTTGAATTGCTGTCTCATTTAAATATACCCCACACATCCTTTTACTAATAATTATAACGGATTTTTATTGGTTCACTTGTGTGTTTATATGTTTTTTCATATTTTTACCTGTTCACTTGTTTACTTATTCAGATTTTTAACTGATCACTATTGTGTTTATCAAGACTTTTACCTTTTCACTAGTGTTTTTCATATTTTTACCTGTTCACTTGTGTGTTAATTCATATTTTTACCTGTTCACTTGTGTGTTAATTCAGATTTTTACCTGTTCACTTGTGTGTTAATTCAGATTTTTACCTGTTCACTTGTGTGTTTATTCAAATTTTTCAGATATAATCTTTTGGTTCTATCACCTGCTTCATATTTTCTGAACACAGAATAATTCTTCCATTCTGGAATATAAAATTATATCAAAATATAAGCTATTCTATAAACAATAAAACTATTTATCATATACTTGTAGAAAATAATGGTATAATTGTACCCCTTGATTAAACTAATTTATACATATATCTAATCGATAAATTTGAAGAATTGTCTTAGCCGTGTGATATGACTTTTGTTATCAACTGCTTCCGGTACATATCAACTGTTTCCAGTTTATATCAACTGCTTCCGGTTATTATCGCATGCCTTTCTTTAACGTAATCGCAAAGCATTTCAACGTCATTCTGCAAATTCCAGAAAATAAACCTCAGTGGTACATTTAAGTGAAAAAGATAGCCAAGTAGAATAACAGAAGGAATATTAGGAAACAGGAAAATATATTATTAAAACACACAAAACAAATAATACAATAAAAGAATTTTATAAAGTTTTAAAAAAGTTTTCATGTCTTTATGGCTTTTGCTGAAGTATATGATAAAAAGAACATAACATGTCATTTTTCATATCAGACCCCTTATCAGCCAATGGTCAAAATCATCCCTCGAGCCTGTCGGCTCTCGGGCTGATATCAAGACCTAGGGCTGATAAGGGGTCTGATATGAAAAATGCCATGTTATAATCTATATATACCAATTATCAATCAATATCGTATAAGCATGATGAAAAAAACATTAGATATGATTAATAGTTCTCTAAAATTAGATATGATGTAATACAGTGTATATCTATTTTCAAATTATAATCAAATATAATTAATAATTCCAAATATTTTTTCTTTCATTTGTCACAAACTAATATAGAATTGTAACTTATCTATAAAATGTCAACAACTTTTATCTACACAATGTAATGTACTGAAATATATACATAATAAAAATAGATTATTATCTAATTAAAGGATTTCTCTTCATAATTTTTTTTTTTATATATATAGCATTCAGAAAATTAGTTTATACTAAATAACTAACAAACCTGCCAAAAAATTCTTCAAATAATTGAACAAAGAATGTCTTTTAAAAAATTAGTTATCTGCCTTTGTACAGAACATTAGATATGGTCCAGAGTGATGGTCCATAACTCTGGATTAAATCATCAGACCGGAACAAAATTTGAACTTGATCTATAACTTGTCATGATAAAACTATATACCAAATATCAAATCAATATCTTCAAGAACGAAGAACTAGAGGCTCTAAAGAGCCTGTGTCGCTCACCTTGGTCTATGTGCATATTAAACAAAGGACACAGATGGATTCATGACAAAATTGTGTTTTAGTGATGGTGATGTGTTTGTAGATCTTACTTTACTGAACATTCTTGCTGCTTACAATTATCTCTACTATAATGAACTTGGCCCAGTAGTTACAGTGGAAAATATTTTGTAAAAATTTACAAAAATTTACAAAATTTATGAAAATTGTAAAAAATTGACTATAAAGGGCAATAACTCCTTAAGGGGTCAATTGACAATTTTGATCATGTTGACTTATTTGTTGATCTTATTTTGCTGTACATTATTGCTGTTTACAGTTTATCTCTATCTATAATAATATTCAAGATACTAACCAAAAGCTGCAAAATTTTCTTAAAATTACCAATTCAGGGGCAGCAACCCAACAACATGTTGCCTGCTTGGTCTGAAAATTTCAGGGCAGATAGATCTAGACCTAATGAACAATTTTATCCTCGTCAGATTTGCTCTAAATGCTTTGGTTTCAGAGATATGAGCCAAAAACTGCATTTTACCCTATGTACTATTTTTTAGCCATGTCCGCCATCTTGGTTCGCGGGCGGGGTCATCGACACATTTTTTAAACTAGATATCCTAATGATGATTGTGGACAAGTTTGGTTAAATTTGTCTTAGTAGTTTCAGAGGAGAAGATTTTTGTAAAAGATTACAAAAATTTACTAAAAATGGTTAAAAATTGACTATAAAGGGCAATAACTCCTTAAGGGGTCAACTGACCATTTTGGTCAAGTTGACTTATTTGTAGATCTTACTTTGCTGCACATTATTGCTGTTTACAGTTTATCTCTATCTATAATAATATTCAAGATAATAACCAAAAACGGCAAAATTTCCTTTAAATTACTAATTGAGGGGCAGCAACCAAACAACGGGTTGTCTGATTTATCTGAAAATTTCAGGGCAGATAGATCTTGACCTGATAAACAATTTTAACCCTGTCAGATTTGCTCTAAATGCTTTGGTTTCAGAGATATAAGCCAACATCTACATTTTACCCCTATGTTCTATTTTTAGCTATGGCGGCCATCTTGGTTGGTTGGCCGGGTCACCGGACACATTTTTTAAACTAGATACCCAATGATGATTGTGGCCAAGTTTGGTTAAATTTGGCCAAGTAGTTTCAGAGGAGAAGATTTTTGTAAAAGTTAACGACGACGGACGCCAAGTGATGAGAAAAGCTCACTTGGCCCTTTGGGCCAGGTGAGCTAAAAAAAGTGTGGAAAGCTGACTTGCCGGACTGACAGAAGGACAGACAGACAGACGGACAGACGGACAGAGGGACAGACAGACAGACAGACGGACGGACGGATGGAGTGCAAACCTAAAGTCCCCTTCGACTTTGTCAGTAGGGGACTAAAAACCATAATTTGGCATATCTTTTAAGAAGTTGTTAATCAGGGTTTGCGCTGGCGTTCACTATAATCGCAATTTAAAAAAAATATATAATTGTGGTGATAAAAAATCATGAATGGCATGAAATATAACGGTTCGTCTTTTGTCCATCTTGTTAATTTTGTTTCGGGTTTCTCTGACTTTTTCCCTAATCAGACAATACTCAGATTTCACTTTGAACTCGTCATGGGTATCAATTTTGTAAAAAATTCAATAGTCAGTTGAGTAAATTTGATAGAAATCGACAACAATGGACTATTTAAAAAAGGTGTTAATTATATTGTTTGATGAAAATGTGTGGTAAAACGGTGTCACATGTCACCTAAAAGATTGTTTTTATAACTTTGATAAAAATAATTGTTTTAAAGTAGGTACTTCCCAATTGTTTTAGCAGTGCAACTGTTTTAAGCATAATTGACGTCTCAACTTTTACTTTTAACAATGGTTCAGAAAAGAAATCAGATATTGTTTGGTTATTTTTGTTGCTTGTTTACTGTCTCCTTGATGTTCACCCAAGAACTCTTTTACTCATGCATGAAACCTATCCGCCATATAAATGTACTAACCACTTTTTGATATTCTTCCTTTCTTTATTTCTTGTATTAATAAGAACTTGCTTGGATCTACTGTGTAAGGTAAATCAACATCCTTTGTTTCAACACTCTCTGATACCTATAATAAAATTTATTGCAGATTTTTTTTTATTGTCTGTTGAAATTCAATAACATAGATTTGAGATCTTGTTGTTTAGTAGAAGGGCTTGTTCAGCATTGAAGGCTATTCATTGCGATATCCAAATGTCCAAATTGTTTGCAAATGTTTATTGTAGGCTATGTCACACCAACTTTAAAATATTGGACTTTTATTAAACACTAATAATTTTTGGCCTGTAACTTGGAATATTTTTTTGTGATGATGCTAAAAAACATATCTTTTTCCATTTAACGGCAAATAATTTCAAATTTTGTGCATTCGTATCTCATTAGTATTTACTAGATTGTATTTTCTGTTTGATTTATTATTTATTCCAATGTCTAGATCTCTCATTAAACATAGTGGTTATTTGTCTTTTTTTGTATTACAGTCGAACCTCGTTGTGTCGAACTCTGTTGTGTCAAAAACTCGGATAAGTCGAAGTAATTTCTCGGTGCTGTTAAAATTCCTGTTTGATCAATGCATAATTACCTCTGAATAGCTGAATTCAGTTGATTCGAATACTTTGTTAAGTCGAGTAAATTTTATAGTCCCTTATATGTAAAATTAATGTAAACTGACCTCGATGTCTCGAAGTTCGAAAGTAAGAACTTTCAGAAGATGCAGACCTAATGACATAAAATCGAAACGAATTTAAATGACACAAGCCGAGATTAAATTATTCGTTAGAACTAAAATGCATTAATTTCAATAAGTAAAAGAATTAAGACAATTATGATAAATTCATAATAATTTAATGTAAAGCAGACAACCTCATTAGAGACAGTTCAAAACTTGTTTCGTTCCGCTAGTGATTTCATAATTTATAGTGACTGACCTTAGTAAATATTTGTGTATACTATTGATTTCATTTGTGCATGATTTGCATCTGTACTTGTGTGTTTAATTATTATGAAGGACCAAAAAATATGGAGATTGAATATACAATCATAAAGTGTCATATAAAAAAAAGGCACACTGTTCAAAGTATCTAGTTTACACAAATCTCATACCGTATTTCATGCATTCCAAATTTATGACGACACACTCGACCCGGAATGAGTTGAACCTCGGATAAGTTGAATATTTTGGTCAGGCCCCTCCAACTTTGACATAATAAGGTTTGACTGTACATATTCATGATACTCATATATCAACAGGGCTTGAGTGATGGTACAAATTGATATATTTCAACATTGTCTATTGATAATAGTCAAATATTTATTATTCATGTGAAATTTGATTACCCATCTATCTGATATTTAGTCTGATGTCTTCTATAAAATCAAGGAGATGTGGTATGATTGCCAATCGTCTATCCACAAAAGACCAAATACAAGGATGAAAACAACTTGCAGTCACAGGCAATGTCTTCAACAATAAGTTAAACCCAAACCCATATATAGTTAGTAGACTTTAAAAGGTCCCAATATGACAGAATGTTAAACAATTCAAAAGAGAAAACCAAAGGCCTGATTTAAGGTAGCACAATACAAAGATTTTTTTACTTCCAATCTCCAACCTTTAAAATGATGTTACTTTCTTATGACTGCATACAAATTAATAAAAGAGGTATATATAGATAGATAAAAGATTAATCTTTTTAATGAATGCAATATTTTTGTTATGCAATCATTATGTAATCAATTATTATGCAATTAATGGCAAAATCTTGGTCAGTTCACTTGAATGAATTTAGCTCTGACATCTCTATAACTACACAAGAAATTTTGACGTTATCTTAATCAACACAGCAGGAGCTACAAAAGGGTGTCTCAAATTATCGCTATCGTATTCCATTCTCTCACAAATCTGTAATTAGTGTAAACATCCTTACCACATAAAAGTAGAGATTATTTGATTAGGTGTAAAATTTGATCTATACATTCTATCCAAAATCTGAGACACCCTTTTGTAGATAATGGCTCTAGGAACAACATATTATAAAATCAACCCTCTCGGGGTATCCAGGAAGAAGCTAATTTCAATTGAAAGTGGAAATTTCTTGTAAAATTTTGTAGACACAGTTAAAATTATAATTAATTACATAATTGTTGTATAATACTAACATTGCATTAATTTGAAACAGTAATCTGTTAGCTATCCATAAATACCACTTTTATAAATTTTCAAGCATTATAAAGAAAGTTACAGCATTTTAAAACTGGGGAGTTGGAGGTATAAAATCTTTGTATTGTGCTACCTTAAGTAAAGATAGTAATAAACTGTTGACACAGAGATATGTCTCTCCTGTCGGCATAACATTCAGAAAAAGACAATCTGATAGACAGCAAAATTGCTAATTAATTCAAAGTCGCTGAACCATGAACTAGTGGGCAGGGCCTCGAATGGTCAACAAACTGAGATATACAGACAGTAATGCATCTTCAAACAAAATATCACTGTTTTATCGCAAGTAGTTCTTATCAAACTAAATTAAGAAGAAAACTTAAAATTGAAAATTGCTAAATAATTCAAAGTCATTAGACCATGACCAAGGGGACAGGGCCTCAAACGAAATTGAGCAGGAAATTTAACAATTGTTGACGGCAACTACGACAACTTCGTAAAAGTTGATGTCACCGGAAAAGCAATCCCTATGTCTCACTTTACGCGATTTTTCGTCACTGGCGAGACAAAAACTAGTCTACCAAACTTAGACATGGGGCTGCTCATAACTTTCCTTTTACTTATTCTACCTTATTGTACCAGTTATTACATTTCTTTAGTCTTGGTTTTGAATCTATAGATGGGTTTTGATGACATTAGTTTGAGTTGTGAGTTATTTCCCTTGAATACCATTTTAGAGGGGTAAATGGTTGATTTTCTTTTTGACTAATCTAATTGAAACATGTGGGACAAACAGATCTAATAAGAGAGTCTTTCTACATTATATGGATGAATTAAACAAGGCTTAAAGTTCAGAAAACAACTTTGTCTAAAGTCTAGGTGTCAGTATAACAAGTTGAATTTTGCTGATTTATGAAGGAATATTGCATGGTGATCTCCATTATGGTGACAAAAGGGGAAAAAGTCTTGCTTGATTTGCATCAATTGAAAATTTCTATTTCATTATATTTAACAATGTTCGCTCCTCTTGTTTTTAAATGTTTTCCAGATATTCGGAAGAAAAAAGGTGCCAATGTTAAATGTATGAAAAGTCAAGAGAGAATTATTTCCCGCCAAATTTTCAATGGCTTATATCTCGAAAACAAGCACACAGACCCTTCATTTTTTTCTGCTTTTTCAGTTCCTTAATTTATATACTATCGATTTATAACAGTCTTTTAAAAAGCTTGTTATTTTGAAACAGAGAAGGGAACACCCTTAAGTAGGAATATTTGATCACGCTCTGTCAAATATTAAACCTATGCTTACCTTTTTAACAGGTTCTATTTTACCAAATCCTCCATCAGTTTTGGATTCCTCCTCTCTGTTTAATGATGATAGTACATCTGATAGAAAACCATGTACTGTAAAAGATGTCAACATGAAAATCATCCTCTAAAATCAATTAGTAGATGTGTATGGTCACAAATGTTACAAATATTCAAGTTCAAAGAACATAAAGAGGGGCGTAAAGGTGAGGGTATCTGCACGGAAGAACGTGAAATAAAATTGCCATTTCACAATGAACGAACAATTAAAAAATTTCTTCCACATTGATCTTTTTACCAATTTCACAAAACACGGTGAATAACGAACCTTTTTCACGGCTGCACGTGAAATAAAAATGGCAAAACACGTTGCAAGAAAATAACCCTTTACCACCCTCCATAAAGTGTACACCTAGTGCTTACAAAACAACTTTACACACTTTCTCTTTTACTTCCACAGATTCACTCACACGATTATATGCCTCTTCTGAATCAGAAACCTAATCGTTGTTAACATTGTAAATATTAATGTTTTTATTCATTAAGGAATTGTTGATTGATTGTTGGTGTTTAACACCACTTTCAATACTCTTGGCTATATAATGGCGTCCAGTTTTTATTGAAGGAGGAAGCCAGAGAACTCTAGACTCATGATCTCTGCATCCTATTCACAACTTTCGAAGACTTGGGGTGATTTAGTGCTTTTGACTGTCTATTGTAAAAGACTGTAATTACCATGTTGAACACATGAGTTCTTTTTTGTTGTTGTGTTGTTTGGTTGCTGTCTTATTGACACAAAAGGCATAAATGACGAGAGAACTTACTGCCTACTTTAATTTAAATTGATATACAGAAACACTAGAATATATACTGTATAAATACTTAACAATCTTATTTTTAACCACGTTTTCGTAAACACAATCTAACGATCAAACACACGTGAATAAATAGTTTTGTCACAGCATATTTTGTTTACATCAAAAGCTTTGTATATTAACAAATTGGTTAAAAGTTAAATTCAGAGAACTGCATATTGTTTGCATGAAATGAGAGACCTAGTTTTAAAGGATAATTTTGATGCCAATATTACAATGTATTTTTTGTTGTTTCTTGTGTTTTTTCTTGACCTTTTGAACCCACTAGTTTAGTATCCCATTGTTGATAGTTTCTGGTATCCACCTTACCTGGCTTTGTTGTTTCTTGTGGTTGCTCATGAACAATGGCTTCAGGTATTTTCATTTGTATTTTCTTGGCCTGAAGTTGTTCTTGTACATTTTCAAAGACTTTACTTGGCATCATGACAGGAACATTTGATTGAGCAGGAATTTCCAAATTTTCCAGAAATCTTGGACGCTTGGTAGATAGTTTTGGTTTTTTCCTTATATGTCTTTTTAATGAGGGTTGATCTGAACTTTTTCTAAAACAGAATTGAATGAAAAATTTTAAAGTCTATTGTTTGTTAAAAAAAAAAAAACACCTTTTGGTGAATTATGAAGACTTTTATACAAAGTAAAACAAGAGTGCACACGCTGAAATGTCTCGCCTTCTTTACTAATCATTGATATTATGTTGATAGTCCTAAATATAAAGCTTTATTACAACTGTCACCTAAACTTAACATTAACCAAGAAAACTAAACATTGACCAATGAACCATGAAAATGAGGTCAAGGTCAGATGAACCGTGCCAGGCAGACATGTACAGTTAACAATTCTTCCATATAACAAATATAGTTGACCTATTGCTTATAGTTTAAGAAAAACAGACCAAAACACAAAAACTTAACACTGAGCAATGAACCGTGAAAATGAGGTCAAGGTCATATAAAACCCGCGTGAATGACATATAGATCATAAAATATTTCCATACACCAAATATAGTTGACCTATGGCATATAGTATTAAAAAAAAAGACCAAAACTCAAAAACTTAACTTTGACCACTGAACCATGAAAACGAGGTCAAGGTCAGATGACACCTGCCAGCTAGACATGTACACCTTACAATCATTCCATACACCAAATATAGTAGACCTATTGCATACAGTATAAGAAAAACAGACCAAAACACAAAAACTTAACTATAACCACTGAACCATGAAAATGAGGTCAAGGTCAGATGACACCTGCCAGTTGGACATGTACACCTTACAGTCCTTCCATACACCAAATATACTAGACCTATTGCTTATAGTATCTGAGATATGGACTTGACCACCAAAACTTAACCTTGTTCACTGATCCATGAAATGAGGTCGAGGTCAAGTGAAAACTGTCTGACGGACATGAGGACCTTGCAAGGTACGCACATACCAAATATAGTTATCCTACTACTTACAATAAGAGAGAATTCAACATTACAAAAAATGTTAACTTTTTTTTCAAGTAGTCACTGAACCATGAAAATGAGGTCAAGGACATTGGACATGTGACTGACGGAAACTTCGTAACATGAGGCATCAATATACAAAGTATGAAGCATCCAGGTCTTCCACCTTCTAAAATATAAAGCTTTTAAGAAGTTAGCTAACGCCGCCGCTCCCCTAGCCGCCGCCGCCGGATCACTATCCCTATGTCGAGCTTTCTGGGACAAAAGTCGCAGGCTCGACAAAAATTACACAAAAACCATAATTTCAACTATATTGAAATTTGCATCGGTTTCTAGTATATTGAGATTCTCAAGACCTTTCTTTTGAGATTCTCCCTCAGACTTTGATAAATTTATCTTTTAAGATGCTCCCTCATACTTCTAAAAACTTACTTTTGAGATTCTCCCTCACTTTCTATTTCTGATTCCTCTGTACTAGAGACATCCATTGCCTCTGTCTTTATATTGTCAGGTTCAAGGATCACAGCTGATTCTTTTAATGGCTGTAAAATAAAATACAATGCATGTAAACACAATGTTCGGTAAAATACTTTATATTTATTTTTCTCTCATTTAAAAACTAGAGGCTCTAAAGAGCCGGTGTCACACACCTAGGTCTATAAGCATCTTCAACAATGGGCTCTCTCCAACATTGTGGACTAGAATAGAATTCATGACAAAAACCTTTTTTTTGTTGATCTTGTATTGCTGATAATTTTTTCTGTTTACAGTTTTTATTTCCTTTAGTTTTTGCTCATAACACATGAAAACAGTTTTTTAGATATTAGGCAAAAATGGAAAAAAAAGGTAAAAATCATTATCAAAGGGCAATAACTCCAATAAGGGGTCGTCAGACGATTTCAAGATTGGAAACTCATTTGTAGATCCTGCCTTGCTGATCACTTTTGCTAATTTGTATTGCTGATCATTTTTTCTGTTTACAGTTTCTATTTTCTTTAGTTTTTGCCCATAACACATGAAAACAATTTTTCAGATATAAGCAAAAACGAAAAAATTTATAACAATCGTCATTAAAGGGCAATAACTCCAATAAGGATTCGTCTGACTATTTCGACAGTGTCGACTTATTTGTAGATCTTGGTTTTTTTATCATTTTTGGTCTATTAAGTTTCTCTCTATCTATTATAGCTTTTCAGATATTAGGCAAACATGAACAAAATTGGTAAAATTTGTCATTTAAGGCCAATAACTCCTATAAAAAGTTGTCTGACAGTTTTGAAGTAAAACACTGGTACATACTTACTATAGGAGGGGGTAGGAGTAACTGCACCAAATGGAGCGGGTAAAACACAGCTGGTACATACTAACTATAGGAGCAGGTGTTACTGCAACAAATGGAGCTGGTAAATTCATCTTATTGATAAAACACTGGTACATACTTACTATAGGAGGGGGTAGGAGTAACTGCACTAAATGGAGCGGGTAAAACACTGGTACATACTAACTATAGGAGTAGGTGTTACTGCAACAAATGGAGCTGGTAAATTCATCTCATTGATAAAACACTGGTACATACTTACTATAGGAGGGGTAGGAGTTACTCCACCAAATGGAGCTGGTAAATTCATCTTATTGATAAAACACTGGTACATACTTTCTATAGGAGGGGTAGGAGTTACTCCACCAAATGGAGCTGGTAAATTCATCTTATTGATAAAACACTGGTACATACTTTCTATAGGAGGGGTAGGAGTTACTCCACCAAATGGAGCTGGTAAATTCATCTTATTGATAAAACACTGGTACATACTTTCTATAGGAGGGGTAGGAGTTACTCCATCAAATGGAGCTGGTAAATTCATCTTATTGATAAAACACTGGTACATACTTACTATAGGAGGGGTAGGAGTTACTGCACCAAATGGAGCTGGTAAATTCATCTTATTCATTAAATGCAATACCTGTAATCAAAATAGAAATTTATGGTTTACATTATACAATGAATGTTATACAGCTTACTGTAATAGGGGTAATTTTCACTTATTTCGCTATCATAAAAATTGCTCAAAAAATATAACTTGCTTGAATGGTTTGTAGATAGCATCAATGCTGATGTAAAGGGTGAACTTACTGATGAGGTGCGAATGTTACTTCACTACAAAAGGTTCATGCATTGAAATCATATAAATAACAATCTATGAAAATATCTACATTCCATGTACCTATAAAATTGTTTTACTGAATGTTTATTTTATTGGTAATAGAAAGAAATTTGTGTGATCTAAATACTTTGAAGTGGGAAATTTCCCAATGAGTTTTAATATTTTCAATAAATTTTGCAAAAATTGTAAAATCACAAAAATATTCCCTTACCTTTTCATTTTTTTATAAACATCAAACTCAGGACCAAGAAAAACATGAGAATAAAATCTCATAAACCTATGGCACTTGAAATCATGAAATTTAATCTCAGCGAAAAAAAAAACTCACATTTTACAGTACATGTATATGAGAATTAACTTGATTTGAATATCTGAGAAGTATAAGGATAAAAATAAGAATGTTTTTACACTTTTAGAGCAAAGTCAAGTAAGTTTAATAAAGTAGATTCTAAAACTAATATTGTCCTATGTCAACATACCTTACAGGAGTCAAATATTACTTAAGAATCCTTAGAATCTATTGGCGAACAAATCCAAAAATATGATCTTCTAAGATAGAAATTTGGGCAATTTTTGATACTCTAGTTTTAAGATACTATGTGTAATGATAACAAAATAAAATGCTCCGCAGGGCGCAGCTTGATACGACCGCAGAGGTTGAACCCTGAACAGTTGGGGCAAGTATGGACACAACATTCAAGCTTGATACAGCTCTGAATTTGGATTGTGATTAAATATTTGACACAGCATAGGTTTCTGACACAGAATGAATGTGGTCTAAGAACTTAAAAATTTTAAATTGGACATTCACCTATTATGGTCCAATATCCAAAATCTAAATACATTGTTAGATTCAGCATATTAATGAACCCCCAAGAATTCAATTTTTGATGAAATCAAACAAAGTTTAATTTTGGACCCTTTTGACCTCAATGTGGACAAAGTTGATAACAGGGCCCAAAAATCAAAAATCTAAATACATGGTTAGATTCAGCATATCAAAGAACCCCATATATTCAATTTTTGTTGAAATCAAACAAAGTTTAATTTTGGACCCCGATTTGGACCAACTTGAAAACTGGGCCCATAATCAAAAATCTAAATACATGTTTAGATTCAGCATTCAAAGAACCCTAAGAATTCAATTTTTGTTAAAATCAAACAAAGTTTAATTTTGGACCCTTTGGACCTTAATGTAGACCAATTTGAAAACGGAACCAAAAATTAAGAATCTAAATACACGGTTAGATTCGGCATATCAAAGAACCCCAATAATTCAATTTCTGTTGAAATCAAACAAAGTTTAATTTTGGACCCCGATTTGGACCAACTTGAAAACTGGGCCCATAATCAACAAGAGTGCACACGCTGAAATGTCTCGCCTTCTTTACTAATCATTGATATTATGTTGATAGTCCTAAATATAAAGCTTTATTACAACTGTCACATAAACTTAACATTAACCAAGTAAACTAAACATTGACCAATGAACCATGAAAATGAGGTCAAGGTCAGATGAACCATGCTAGGCAGGCATGTACAGCTAACAATTCTTCCATACAACAAATATAGTTGACCTATTGCTTATAGTTTAAGAAAAACAGACGAAAACACAAAAACTTAACACTGAGCAATGAACCTTGAAAATGAGGTCAAGGTCAAATAAAACCTGCGTAACTGACATATAGATCATAAAATATTTCCATACACCAAATATAGTTGAACTATTGCATATAGTATTAGAAAAAAAGACCAAAACTCAAAAACTTAACTTTGACCACTGAACCATGAAAATGAGGTCAAGGTAAGATGACACCTGCCAGCTAGACATGTACACCTTACAATCATTCCATACACCAAATATAGCTGACCTATTGCATGCAGTATTAGAAAGAAAGACCAAAACTCAAAAACTTAACTTTGACCACTGAACCATGAAAATGAGGTCAAGGTCAGATGACACCTGCCAGCTAGACATGTACACCTTACAATCATTCCATACACCAAATATAGTAGACCTATTGCATACAGTATAAGAAAAACAGACCAAAACACAAAAACTTAACTATAACCACTGAACCATGAAAATGAGGTCAAGGTCAGATGACACCTGCCAGTTGGACATGTACACCTTACAGTCCTTCCATACACCGAATATACTAGACCTATTGCTTATAGTATCTGAGATATGGACTTGACCACGAAAACTTAACCTTGTTCACTGATCCATGAAATGAGGTCGAGGTCAAGTGAAAACTGTCTGACGGGCATGAGGACCTTGCAAGGTACGCACATACCAAATATAGTTATCCTATTACTTATAATAAGAGAGAATTTAACATTACAAAAAATCTGAACTTTTTTTTCAAGTAGTCACTGAACCATGAAAATGAGGTCAAGGACATTGGACATGTGACTGACGGAAACTTCGTAACATGAGGCATCCATATACAAAGTATGAAGCATCCAGGTCTTCCATCTTCTAAAATATAAAGCTTTTAAGAAGTTAGCTAACGCCGCCGCCGCCGCCGCCGCCGTAGCCGCCGCCGGATCGCTATCCCTATGTCGAGCTTTCTGCGACAAAAGTCGCAGGCTCGACAAAAATCTAAATACATGGTTAGATTCAGCATATCAAAGAACCCCATATATTCATTTTTTGTTGAAATCAAACAAAGTTTAATTTTGGACCCCGATTTGGACCAACTTGAAAACTGGGCCCATAATCAAAAATCTAAATACATGGTTAGATTCAGCATATCAAAGAACCCCATATATTCAATTTTTGTTGAAATCAAACAAAGTTTAATTTTGGACCCTTTTGACCTCAATGTGGACAAAGTTGATAACAGGGCCCAAAAATCAAAAATCTAAATACATGGTTAGATTCAGCATATCAAAGAACCCCACATATTCAATTTTTATTGAAATCAAACAAAGTTTAATTTTGGACCCCGATTTGGACCAACTTGAAAACTGGGCCCATAATCAAAAATCTAAATACATGGTTAGATTCAGCATATCAAAGAACCCCATATATTCAATTTTTGTTGAAATCAAACAAAGTTTAATTTTGGACCCCGATTTGGACCAACTTGAAAACTGGGCCCATAATCAAAAATCTAAATACATGTTTAGATTCAGCATATCAGAGAACCCTAAGAATTCAATTTTTGTTAAAATCAAACAAAGTTTAATTTTGGACCCTTTGGACCTTAATGTAGACCAATTTGAAAACGGAACCAAAAATTAAGAATCTAAATACACGGTTAGATTCGGCATATCAAAGAACCCCAATAATTCAATTTCTGATGAAATCAAACAAAGTTAAATTTTGGACCCTTTGGACCTCAATGTGGACCAATTTAAAAACGGGGCCCAAAATCCAAAAACTTAATACACGGTTAGATTCAGCATATTAAAGAACCCCAAGAATTCAAGAATAAAACCCTATTGAAATTGATCAAGAAATAAGCAATTTATACGAAGTATCTTCTTTTGCACAATACTGTGCAATTGAATATTTCTTGCTATTGCGCAATACTGTACAATTGACAATTTCTTGCTATTGCGCAATATTGTGCTATTGGATATTTCTTGCTATTGCGCAATACTGTGCAATTGGAGATTTCTTGCTATTGTGCAATACTGTGCAATTGAACATTTCTTGCTATTGTGCAATACTGTGCAATTGAAAATTTCTTGCTATTGCACAATACTTATTATATAATAATTTACACATTCTGTTTGGTGTGTATCTCCTACCATATCATTATTATTTGCTTTTAAATATAAATCAGAAATAACCAACTTAAAATGGAAAATTTTAAAAGAAAAAAAAAGGAAAAAAAGAAAAAAAAAGAAAAAAAAAAAAAATCCCCCCCCCCCAAAATTTTTTTGAACCCCCTTATGATTCATCACCCCCAAACTCAATCCCAGCCTTCCCTTTGTAGTATGGTACCTTGCAGTACAATTTCAGAGAGATCCATACACTTGAACACAAGTTATTGTCTGGAAACTAGAAAAATGCTTATTTTTGGCCCCTTTTTGGCCCCCAATTCCTAAACGTTTCGGGCAATTATCCCCAAACTCAATTCCAGCTTTCCCTTTGTGATATGGAACCTTGTAGTACAATTTCAGAAATATCCAAACACTTACACACAAGTTATTGTCATGAAACTAGAAAAATGCTTGTTTTTTGCCCCTTTTGTGGCCCCTAATTCCTAAAATTTTGAGGCAATTACCCCCAAAATCAATAACAGCCTTCCCTTTGTGATATGGAACCTTGTGGTACAATGTCAGAGAGATCCATACACTTACACACAAGTTATTGTCTGGAAGTTACAAAAATGCTTATTTTTGGCCCCTTTTTGGCCCCTAATTCCTTAACTGTTGGTACCATAACCCCCAAAATCAATCCCAACCTTCCTTTCGTGGTATAGAACCTTATGGTAAAATTTCATGGAGATCCATTCACTTAAACTAAAGTTAGAGTGCGAAAACCAATGTGTCTTCGGACGACGCCGGACGACGCCAGACGACGACGACGCCAACGTCATACCAATATACGACCAAAAAATTTTTAATTTTTGCGGTCGTATAAAAATTACCTGTACATAGAACCTTGGACATGAAGCTAGAGCATTGGCTATATTTGTTATAATGCTGACTGTGGGTGGTGGATACAGGTAACAAAGTTTGGGGTTCTTTGGATAATTTACCCTGCAAAAAAATAAGAAATATTGTAATTTCATGAATTTCTAGATGAAAATAAAAATATATCCCCCTTGTCCAATATTACAATTATAAATTCACCAAATTCAGGCATGTACAACCAACAGATTTTTACTTTAAAACGTAAATTGCCAGGCAGGAGTGTGACACATAGTTTTTCAATTTCTGTTTAAAGAAAATAACTAAATATTTGCATTTGTATTTTTGGTGATTTTGCTTATTTCAACAATCTTGCTGTTATCTAGAATCATGATCATTTATATCAATATCTTCAACTTCGTACTTTATAATCTGACATTTTAAACTTTTTTGATTCGAGCGTCACTGATGAGTCTTTTGTAGATGAAACACGCCTCTGGCTTATACAATTTTAATCCTGGTATCTATGATGAGTTTATCATTAACATTCTTCAATTTATTTTTGAAAGGTAAGCAAATTTCTCCATGGAAATACTGCTAACTACCATTATGAGTTGAAATTTACTGGAGCTTCACGAAGTGAAGAAAAACAAATTTTCCTGTATTTCCATGGCCAAAATTGGTTGTGGTGATTATTCATAAATGCCTATTATACATGAACTTTTACGGTACTTGAAAAGATGAGGTTTATTTGGTAAGGACTTACCCCCATTTTTTATACACTGTATCAGCTGATGGCAGATTTTGAGTTTTATCTTCCATTCTCTTGTCCTGTTTCTCATCTGTGACCTTTCTTCCCCTATTAAAACAATAACATTATTACAGTGCACCAGTTTCAAATTTAAGGACTTACATTGACCTATGCCTGACCAAAAATTTGCACTGGTTGACCAAACAACATTCACCTTTGATGTCCTTTTGGTATCTTTCGCCTCTCCTTTACAAAACATTCACTACGATAATTGGTAAAAGATGTCAAAGGATTCCTGTTGTGAAGCTTAAAATATATATACAGGATCATGTTACATTTCGTTTAATGGGAGACTAACTTAAAACAATATATATTATGTAAACAATATGAAAAAAATCAATCAATTAGTCTTTAAATTGACTGTTACATAAAATTGAACAAAATATACCACTTCAATATAAATAAGAAGATGTGGTATGAGTGCCAATGAGACAACTATCCATCTAAGTCACAATGTGTAAAAAGTAAACAATTACAGGTCAAAGTACGGCCTTCAACACGGAGCCTAGGCTCACACCAAACAGCAAGCTATAAAGGGCCCCAAAATGACTAGTGTAAAAAAATTCACACAGGAAAACCAACAGTCTAATCTACATAAAAAATGAGAAACGAGAAACACTTATGATCCACACCAACAAACGACAACTACTGAACAACAGGCTCTTGACTTAGGACTGTATGTTTCATAATAATTTGTTGAATACATACATTTAGTTTAAATTTTTTCAAAGAAAAACATTTTCTGTGTAGAACAATATACTATTTTCACTGTTTCTGTCGTTAAAGATGGAGAGAATCTAAAAAGCAAACTTTGGCCTCATACACAAAACTATTTTAAACAGAGTATAATTTAGATTAAGAGTTTATTAAGAATTCTAGAAAATGGAAAGGTTTAGATCATGCAATGTTACTCCAGTGTTGTCATTACTTTTATTCTGAAAAAAAGGCTTTTTACAGTTTTTATTCAAACTATACTGCTTTTTTAATGCATATAATTTTTATTTAGAAAACACAATTTTTTAATGGGTACAGTTTTCTTTTTGCTGACCACACTGCCAATTTTTTTTAAACAGATATAGTCTTTATTCAGATTACATAATACATTTTAAATAGTACAGTTTTCATTTAGACTACGTCTATACCCTACACATTTTTTGTAATAGTTTTAATCCTCCTGAGTAATCATAATCATGACCCATATCAGTTTTTCATCGACTTAAGGTGTAATACCACCAAATCATAGTACGTCACATCCGGTTGCATACGAAAATAGGTCGAAAAAAAATATTCCCTTGAATTTGACAGTTGTAGGTAATTGATCCTACATTTCATTGCAGTAAAACATTTCTGAGTCATAAACATATATCTTGGGTATTTCAAAGCACCATTATTTCTTTATTTGGGGTTTCTATAGAATATTTTGGAAACTTGAGGTTACATGGTTACTAAAGCGTGTACACAGGTTAAAAAAGGGGGAAAATTTGATTGGTTAACTTCCAGTGATGGTTATTTTCTTATATGCAATGAAATGTTATGTGAAATTTTTTCTATAGTACTGGACAGGATAAAACTTTACTCATGCCAAGTATTTCTTTATTTGAAACAAAGATAAATTCTGCACAATTTTTTGAAAAGTGCAAATTTAACAAAGACTAATAGGGGAAAATCAATGGTGGTATTACACCTAATATGGGAAGCTGTACATGCACCTTTGACCTTGTGAGTACTCTCATGTGTTAAAATTTCTTGCTATTTAAGTGAAATATTACAAATAATGAAATATTCTGAGTGGATTGAGTCTCCAAAATACATTTTATGAGAAAATTTCCTTGAAATAGGACTTTACCATGAATATTAGTTGACAGAACAAGCCATACTTAAAGTCTTGGGGAGCTTTTTCTCCTTATTTCTTATATTCTGCTATACTAGAAAATTTTTCCTAAGAAATACTTTAATAAATATATAGTTTTAAGTAAATGAAATTATTTTTAAAGCAGTAACAACAAATTATTCACCAAAAGAGAAGTTTTTTATGTCCCTCTCTGGAACGCGGCGTAAATTTAAGTTTTACGCAAGGACTTATTGAAACCTCCTTGGAGACAGTAAACTTTTATACGGATAGTTCAAGCAGCTTGAATACTTCAATTAATCATTTATAATAACATTTCTATCATAAATGAGTGAAAGTTACCCCAAAATTTTTATTTATTGGCCTAAAAAGTAGAAATTTTGAGGAAATGAGAGGTATAAATGGACCAAAAGAGACTTTATAAGGAAGAATAAGAGGTCCATTAGTAGTATTTATCATCCTAAAGTCATCTTTTGTATCATATTCAACTGTTTGTAGGCAGATGAGATAAATATTTGATCATTTATTGGTCCACACTATATTCTATCATGATGCGGCTTGGTTTGAATTTTTCGAAGAAATTTTGCTCGAATCGCTGTAGATGTCGTCTTACATTATACTAGATTTTTCTCAAACTATTGAACTGATTATGACAAAACTTGACAGGAATGCTTGAAATAACCAGTATTACAAAGGAAAAAAGTCACATTCAGTTTATTCAACAAAAAAGTCTTCTTTAGGTGTAATACCACCAAATCATAGTACGTCACATCCGGTTGCATACGAAAATAGGTCGAAAAAAAATATTCCCTTGAATTTGACAGTTGTAGGTAATTGATCCTACATTTCATTGTAGTAAAACATTTCTGAGTCATAAACATATATCTTGGGTATTTCAAAGCACCATTATTTCTTTATTTGGGGTTTCTATAGAATATTTTGGAAACTTGAGGTTACATGGTTACTAAAGCGTGTACACAGGTTAAAAAAGGGGGAAAATTTGATTGGTTAACTTCCAGTGATGGTTATTTTCTTATATGCAATGAAATGTTATGTGAAATTTTTTCTATAGTACTGGACAGGATAAAACTTTACTCATGTCAAGTATTTCTTTATTTGAAACAAAGATAAATTCTGCACAATTTTTTGAAAAGTGCAAATTTAACAAAGACTAATAGGGGAAAATCAATGGTGGTATTACACCTTAAGAGTTTGAATATCGCTTTGATATAATCAGCCTCTCTTCCACACTTTTAAATTTGAGCAAAATTTAGTTAAAAAATTCCAGGTCTTTGTGGACTGCCTTTTTAATGTTCCAAGGATATCTAAGAAATAGGATCAGGTTTTAATCATTTTGATTATGCAAAAGAAAAAAAAGTCAAAAGGTATAAATCCATATCAACACAAGACACCAATATAATCCCAAGAGCTCTGCTTGAGGGATTATATTGGTTGAGGGTTGAAACAGTGTGTGATATTGAAAAAGCCATATCATATACACTTTATTATAAACCTCTAGAAGATTTTCACAAGATATGACAAAATACAGATTAGGGGTTTGATAAAGCCTTTGCAACCATGATTGATATCGATATCATCACAGATAGCTGATACAGGATGATTGCTATTGATCGTATTACACATACAATTTATCTGTACTACTAAGTATATAATTAATAAAACAATCTATATCAATTAAAAAACATCACTGCATATCTTTCCTCATACCTTTGGTTGTCTGATATGGATGGGAAATGTTTCTGCTGAGATTTTTTAGCAAATTCTGCCACTAGTTTACATCCTAACACTTCAAGTTGATGCAACCTGTTTAATGCCTGCAAAAACACATGATTGAATCATTTATTATATACTTCATGGATGTTTCTGTACTTTTCAACAGCTATTTTTGCACATAATTGTTCTAAGAAATTGGTCAAAATGGCATATTATCTAGGTACTTTAAATTCAGAAAGGACAAGTTCATTTTTGGCAAAATATGGCCTTGAATTTTAACTGCATCATAAAATATCTAAAAGGCTGCAATCTGCTTCGAAAATGAATCTACTTTTAAAATTCTAGGTAAAATAAATCTCTTCAAAATAGTACATTATACTTTATAGATATAAGAAGATGTGGTATGAGTGCCAATGAGACAACTCTCCATCCATGTCACAATTTGTAAAAGTAAACCATTATAGGTAAAAGTACGGCCTTCAACACTGAGCCTTGGCTCACACCGAAAACAGCAAGCTATAAACATGATAAGGCCCCAAAAAATGACAAGTGTAAAACAATTCCAATAGGAAAATCAGGCTCTAAAGTCAGTGCATTTTTGAGAAATTGTCAAAGTTCAATGGTTTTGTGATTTTTTGGGACTGTAAAACTTTAGCATGTTACATGGAAAATCTTGACCACAACCTACACTATAAAATGTTCTGTAGCCAAATGTGCTATGGTTAATATTGAATCCCTAGACAAAAAAATGTTCTGTAACCAAATGTGCTATGGTTAATATTGAATCACTAGACAAAAAAATGTTCTGTAGCCAAATGTGCTATGGATAATATTGAATCACTAGACAAAAAAATGTTCTGTAACCAAATGTGCTATGGTTAATATTGAATCCCTAGACAAAAAAATGTTCTGTAACCAAATGTGCTATGGTTAATATTGAATCCCTAGACAAAAAAATGTTCTGTAACCAAATGTGCTATGGTTAATATTGAATCACTAGACAAAAAAATGTTCTGTAGCCAAATGTGCTATGGATAATATTGAATCACTAGACAAAAAAATGTTCTGTAACCAAATGTGCTATGGATAATATTGAATCACTAGACAAAAAAATGTTCTGTAACCAAATGTGCTATGGTTAATATTGAATCCCTAGACAAAAAAAAGTTCTGTAACCAAATGTGCTATGGTTAATATTGAATAACTAGACAAAAAAATGTTCTGTAGCCAAATGTGCTATGGTTAATATTGAATCACTAGACAAAAAAATGTTCTGTAGCCAAATGTGCTATGGTTAATATTGAATCACTAGACAAAAAAATGTTCTGTAACCAAATGTGCTATGGTTAATATTGAATCCCTAGACAAAAAAAGGTTCTGTAACCAAATGTGCTATTGCTAATATTCAATCCCTAGACAAAAAAATGTTCTGTAACCAAATGTGCTATGGTTAATATTGAATCACTAGACAAAAAAATGTTCTGTAGCCAAATGTGCTATGGTTAATATTGAATCACTAGACAAAAAAATGTTCTGTAGCCAAATGTGCTATGGTTAATATTGAATCCCTAGACACAAAAATGTTCTGAATCAGCGATAGTAGCCTAAGTAAATTGTGCTAAAAACTGTTATGAATATGTAAAAATTGGACAAAAACTGAAGATACATCACCAATAATGCATAATTAAGGGGACATAACTTTATAATTTATAAAGAAGTCATTTGGTCTGAATCAATACTAAAATCAAAACTATTTCCATGTGAAATTTGAAACATGTTGGCATGAACATTAAAATCTTAGGGCCAATTTTAGCCCTTTGTAAACCAACTCCTTTCTGTAATGTTTTATTGTTGCAAAAGGACAAGTTTTGCAAAAATAAAAACTCATATTCCAAATTTTTATAGCATCATTTGTATTCAGAATTTCATGAAATTGCAAAATTCTACTAGCATTTTTGTCTGTTGTTGAATAATGGCAAAAATAAATGTATATAAATAGATGTATACAAATAGATGTATATAAATAGATGTATATAAAATAGATGTATACAAATAGATGTATATAAATAGATGTATACAAATTTATTTCTAAATTTAGAGTAACATGCTGTGATGTATTAATGATAACTGCAATAACCTAAAGCTATTATAATTGAATAATAATGGTATTATAGTATCAATCATTCAATTTCAAATTCATGCTCCTTCCAGAAGTATTGATTTCACTGTTTATATTTAGAAATATTTTTGATAATTGACAAAGCAAATTTAAGACCTCCAAAGTCTTCACTGTGTCATTGGGTTGTGTCTTATTTATATTTTTGTACATTAACTGAAGTTCTCCTTTAATTTATATCATCTATGTACTCAGACAGAAATAGTTAATCCATGTGTTTATAACATTGTATTCCTATATTTTCATTTGGCTTTTAACCGTCATATTTTCCAAATTTTTAATCCATATTTGACAGGAATCGAAATCAAAATTTGTGATAATTAAACTTGTTATGTGTTGTCAGCATGGTCAGCTTGTTATTTCTTTAAATCATTAAACATTTTCTGCAAATACTCAATCATATAAATTTATAATTTATATCATGTATATATGGTAGCTCTTTTGGGCAAAGTTGACCTTATATGAATTTTGTTGTGGTTATTGGAACCTTTTTTTGTTTGAATGTTTGTAAAAGAGGGACGAAAGATACCAGAGGGAAGGTAACCAAATGTGCTATGGTTAATATTGAATCCCTAGACACAAAAATGTTCTGTAACCAAATGTGCTATGGTTAATATTGAATCCCTAGACACAAAAATGTTCTGTAACCAAATGTGCTATGGTTAATATTGAATCCCTAGACACAAAAATGTTCTGTAACCAAATGTGCTATGGTTAATATTGAATCCCTAGACACAAAAATGTTCTGTAACCAAATGTGCTATGGTTAATATTGAATCACTAGACACAAAAATGTTCTGTAACCAAATGTGCTATGGTTAATATTGAATCACTAGACACAAAAATGTTCTGTAACCAAATGTGCTATGGTTAATATTGAATCCCTAGACACAAAAATGTTCTGTAACCAAATGTGCTATGTTTAATATTGAATCACTAGACAAAAAAATGTTCTGTAACCAAATGTGCTATGGTTAATATTGAATCCCTAGACACAAAATGTTCTGTAACCAAATGTGCTATGGTTAATATTGAATCACTAGACACAAAAATGTTCTGTAACCAAATGTGCTATGGTTAATATTGAATCACTAGACACAAAAATGTTCTGTTACCAAATGTGCTATGGGTAATATTGAATCCCTAGACACAAAAATGTTCTGTAACCAAATGTGCTATGGTTAATATTGAATCACTAGACAAAAAAATGTTCTGTAACCAAATGTGCTATGGTTAATATTGAATCCCTAGACACAAAAATGTTCTGTAACCAAATGTGCTATGGTTAATATTGGAATCACTAGACACAAAAATGTTCTGGATCAGAGATAGTGGCCTGAGTAAATTATGCTAAAAACTGTTATAAATATATAAAATTGGACAAAAACTGAAGATACATCATAAATAATGCTTGTATCATTTTTAATTTAAGTTTCTTGTGTATAATTTGGAGTTTAGTATGGAGTTTCTTGCTGCATTGAAGACCCATTGGTGATAATTAAACTTGTTATGTGTTGTCAGCATGGTCAGCTTGTTATTTCTTTAAATCATTAAACATATTCTGCAAATACTCAATCATATAAATTTATAATTTATATTATGTATATATGATAGCTCTTTTGGACAAAGTTGACCTTATACATGAATCTGATGTTCAGTGGTTGTCGTTTTTTGATGTGGTTCATAAGTGTTTCTCGTTTCTTGTTTTTTATATAGATTAGACCGTTGGTTTTCCCATTTGAATGGTTTTACACTAGTAATTCTTGGGGCCCTTTATAGCTTGCTGTTCGGTGTGAGCCAAGGCTCCGTGTTGAAGACTGTACTTTGACCTATAATGGTTTACTTTTATAAATTTTGACTTGGATGGAGAGTTGTCTTCAGGGGTTAAAAAATCCACTAGCCTGACGCCCGGGACTAGACTTTTACATTTTGGGCAATTAAAACTTGTAACAGAATATGCCCGACGGACTAGTAACAAACAATTCTTGGCATTTCCAAAATAGTAAGTGGAAAATCCCCTCATCACTATTCTATCTTAGCCAATGAGATTCAATTACGTACGTCATCCGGGATTCCAAGAATTTGAACCGATTTTTTACATGTTTTACAAATAGAACAACTAACTCTGGGTGGACCGGTATCATGTACTGATTGCAATTCACGTACTTCATGTACTTTCAATATCAATTTCTCAGTACAGGGGGTATTGTACATTGCTTATGCCGAGATTTTCAATTAATGGTACTTGGGTGTATGATGTAATGATCGATATTGACCTGTCTTGTCGGACAGCTGTTAATTTGAGCTTGAAACCATGCACAAATTATTTCTAAACATTTTAGTACGGCCACCACAGGAACTTTGTCAGTTTCAAAACGAAAAACGGTAGATGAAGGGGGTAATGGGGCTGAAAATTTATCCCAAAAAATGCCAAATACGACCAGGAAAAGCGGAAAAAAACATTTATAGTGTCATGGACAGAAAGATTCCCCATGGGCAAGGTCGACTGTTACTGATGATAAACAAGAGATGATGTTTTGTGAATATTGCCGTTATTTTCCTGATCACGCTGATAAAAAGTCTGCTTTCTATGTGGGAACAACAAATATACGAATTGAACCACTGGTTTAACATGACAATATCAATGAACATGTTTTCTGTGCCTGAAAATATTTATACCGTGTATAATGCCGCATTCAAAACAAGGGACACCCACTCTAAATTTGTAAGGTATACTCGGGCTAGCAGGTCAGTTTTGATGGGCTAGCAGGTCAGTTTTGATGGGCTAGCAGCTCTTTCAACAGGGCTAGTAAAATCCTGCTACCAATAAGTCCTGGGCTAGTGAGCTGTAACAAATTTTTTTAACCCCTGGTCTCATTGGCACTCATACCACATCTTCTTATATCTATATATGAATTTTGCTGTGGTTATTGGAACCATTTTTTGTTTGAATGTTTGTAAACGTGTTCTCAAGTATATCTGATTAACGTTATTTAAGAATCAAGTGTTTTAATTAAATTTGAAACAACACATTCACATCATGTACATTAGATGTAGATTTTGTATACAGCATGAAATGTTCTGTAGTTAACATTTTATCAAGTAAACACAAAATTACCTTAGTAGCTGCCATACTGTCTGAGAATGTAACAAAGGCTGTATGTTTCTGTTATAAAGAGAAAGTACATAAACTATTTAACATTATTTGTGTGTGAAATCATGGGCCCAAAGTCTTAATGAAACTTTCAAAATCATTATGGTCATTGTTGACATCTATATGAAGGTCAGGATATTAGAATAAAAAAAATTCTAAGAAAATCCTTCAACTTATAAATATTCTAAATATTTTTTTTTACTACTCTACAACAGTCAGTGGTACTACTTATACAAGTGATTACAGAATCACATTTTTAAGTGATTTCGGCTTTGAAAAATTGAAAAAATTCACAAAAATAGAAACAGACTTTTTTTTAAATCACCGAAAGAAGTAATTTGAGAAGTAAAAATGTAAACACTTTTCTTGTTATTTTTCCCACAAGGTTGATTATTTATTGGTTAAAAGACAAGAATTCCATTAAAATAACAACTATATACATGCAGAAATTATCTTTTGCCTGATGAGCCTGTCAGTTTTTACAGTTTAATTGAAATAGGCATAAACTGGAATAATTTGTAGATCAGGACATAACCTTGAAGTGGATCACTCTAAATGTAAAGCAGACCAATCAGGTTACTTGAAATGGTTGACCTTTGTCTGATTGTAAGAGTAGTTAATGAATTTTTGATAATACAGAAAAATTCCCACAGGTACCTCTTAAAGCTTTAGCACGTGTACTAGCTTACTGCCAAAGTGCACTGATGAAATTAATATACAAGAGAAAGGGATAATTGATCTATGTAGGAAAATTACAGAAAAATTTGTCAAAATACGGAAAATTAATGAAATTAGCATTTGAAGATAAAGGAAACACCGAAATCACTTAAATAGGTGATAATGAAATCACTTGCTAAGTCTTATCCCCGACTGTAGTGTACAATATCAAAGTAATTCTATCAATAAACTTGAATAAAGGTATATTCACAATAACTGTTTACATTTGTATTATATAGTACTAAATATATACAAGTCTAAATTGAAAACAACGCTCAAACCTATGATTGCTTTGGATAAAAACCGCAATTTTTATATGTTGTGCATGCAACTAAATATATATATATATATATATGTGTAAAATAGTCACCATTGCACCTCTAGTGCCCATCACTTTGACCCTAACTGCTCCAAAATGTCTAAGGAGTTCTTGCTTGTCTCCATTTGAGAGCTGTGATGGGAGATGTCTCACCAGAAGAGTATCATCAACACTTGCCATGATCTGTAAACAAAAAATACACAAAATTAGATTAGTGTGGACACACATGTATGTCTTTTCATTTTTATGTGTTGCTTGGCTGCTTTCTAATGACATTAATACTGCATCATACCACACGTCTTCTTTAATTCATGTCTTCAATAAAGTAGACTTGGTACATGTATAAGAGGTAGTAATACAATAATCCATGTACAGGTGTATCATCTACTCTCTGTACAACTGATATTATCTCACCTATTCATTTCTAGGAATATCATTGGTTAAATGTGACCTCGTGGAGACCCTATATATTTAATATGGGGTTAGTAGGCATGGTTTACTTAATACACCATGTACACAGTTAGTAGAGGTGTTACGTCCCTTTATAAAAACAACACAGCGTTAAGGAAAAATCTGAAACGTTTTGCCCAGACAACAGACATGACAGATAAAGAAATTGATGATGAACGATTGAAATAAATGCAAAAAAAACACATTAAAAGCTAAAAAGTTATTGTTGGCATTTGTTTTTGTATAGACCAATGGCAGTAGTTTCTTTATATTGAAGACTTGATCACTTTGATAGGCCACTATCATTAATGCCACAAGTTAAGATAGTCGGTAAGATAAATTTGTTACACTGTGAGTGAGCTAGTAATCATCTAGCAATATAACATTATGGCCATCAACACGCCTCATAATTTATTTATTTGAAAAACAAAATAAAAAAATAAATCTGATCCTGATTAATAAGGAGAGAAAGAAACGTCTTCCATTTTGGAAGCACCTGTCTCACCGTGCTCATATCACAAATGTATTAATTTCGGTTATCTATTTGTATTTGTGTTTCTTCTGCAACGCAAAGAGGGAGCACATGGTCAGATCATATGTTTTCGTACGTCATATGAATTCGTACTATGCATGCTTTTTCAATGGGAATTGTGACATCACAATGCATTCTTAATAACACAAAAACCCATGAGACGAGGATATATCATGTATATGATAGAATTGAGATTTGGGACCCACAAATTTGTATGTGATTATACCAAAAAGAAGCATATGATTTCCCACAAATTTGTAAACAGTCAAGGATATAACTCTATAGGGTTATTAGAGAAAAATAACATACATTTGTTATTGTGGACTAAAAAATCAAAGAACTGTGATAACATATGTATGTTACATGTTTCAAAGGGACAATATACATCATTTGTTTTGTTAAAATGTATATTACAGCTAAGTTCTATTGATATTACTATTGTCTTTATGTATACTTAACTATAGAAAGATATAACAGTTCATAGTTTGCCAATCATGCATAGTACACCTATGTTATTACAGAAAAAGTATGCCTATAATAACTAAAGGGTGTTATTACAGCTTCTCTACATCACTCCTAAGCATTTGCTCAGACATTCACCATGCTTAATTACAATGAATTTTAATGTATTGTAAGAAATAATGATCAGAGCATGTAATGAGGTTCTGCGCAAGCTTCCCAGTAATTCCCAAGTGTCTCATATAACAAGTTACATGCCTTTAATAACTAAGCCTTGTTATTACAGCTAAGTTTATCCCTTAAAAGCCTTGTCTCATTGATTTACCATGGTTAATGAAAAATGTATTCATTTAATTCAAAAATTAGTTATCAAGGCTATGCATTTAGTTTCTGCGCAAAGTTTCCAGAGTTCCCTAGAGCCCACTAAAAATCAATTTATGTATGATTTATTTTACAAATAACAAACATATGTTATTACAGATTTAGAAAATTTAAGGATTAAAGAGTAAACAACTCATGAAAGTATCTGTAATAACACATGCAAGTTATTTTCTGTAATAACCCTATAGAGTTATACCCCTGACTGGTAAATCTGATTACTGAAAAGTTTGATGGCACGTAACCAGAGCTTGAGCCTTGATACTAATAAGAAAATCACTTAGTCTCCTCCAGGACTCGAACCGAGACCTCTTATCATGGCACTCTTTACATAGATACAAAGGCACTGTTATGGATAGGGATTTAATCAAATATACTATTGTTTCATATTTATTGGTAAGAAATAAAGATATGTATATTAGGTTGTGAATTTTATTTAATTTTTGTAATAAAATTATCACTTCTAGAATCAGCTTAGAAGAAAAGTGATTGTTGTATGATGTCGATACATGTTGTTCAAGTGTTGCAGATTCTCAGGTTCCCAAATAGCGATAAGATCACCTCCATTCCTCCACAATTTTGACGTCACAAGGGAAAATATCTAATGCCAACGAAAAGTGAATGCTGTAAGATACCAATAGTTCTCCAGTCACGTGTTGTATATTCCAAAATAGAGAGAAGGATTATTAAAATTGAATTTGAATTTACAAACTTCGTCTGTTCGATTACAAACAAGACCTCATGTAACACCTTCTACCACTGAACTACTTTTAATCAAGTCGTCACAATCTTAACGATAATGAACTATAGTAAAAACATCGCATACCTTTTGTTATTTGTGCAACTAACAAGTATTTTGAAAAATGCAGCAACAAACACAATTTCTTCTTTCACTTTGACCGGAAACAGCTAATACAAGCTCCAAATAGATTCGGATCTATATTTTTCTTTGGTTTGTAGCCTGTTAAAACACTTTACTGACACTATGATTTTCCCTCGAAAGTGAAAGGATCATCACTCTCACTTGACTAGAAGAATATGAAGCTGGCAAGTTGATTTACAGAACAAAAAAAAATATGAATCTCAATTCAAATCTAAATATCCAATTACTTTGCCCAGCTTTGATAAAAAAATAAGAAAGAACCCCCATAAATATTTTATAAACCCCAGAAAGTGAGAAAGGCATGCTCAGTTTTGGAATGTATCAGGTTTTTTTTAGAGGTTTAATATTGCTCTTTTGGAATCTGCAACACTTTACCAAGAAATTGAAACGCTTTATGTATATTGACATAACAAAAAATAGCTTTTCTTTTTATGTTGTACAACAAATTTTTGTGATACCAAAATTTAAATGGGGCCTCCTTGCCACATAGTGGTATTAGTAGTTCGTTAACAGTGATCACTAGCCTGTCAGTATTGAGGTTGTGATGCTTCAAACCAGATGTATTTAGTTCTAATCTCGACTTTCGTAACTTGCAACTCGACTTTTGTAACTCGCAACTCGATATTTACAACAAGTGAATCTCAATCCCTGAACTCGCATACCTGTCAACTGACCCGGATCCTGCGAGTATGACCCAAGATTTTCACAATTCTGAGGGGTCACCCAGAACACCCGCCAGGTGACCAAATAACCCGGGAATTCAGAAAATAACCTGTTTTCACCCGGATTCCTTAGCCTTCAGGCTGACTAGATATAAAGTGATTTCAATGAAATACCGGCAAATTCGTAATTCTTCCTGGACAAGAAGTTCAACTAGCTGTGTAAACTCAACTCAATTGACCCATTTCAGTGCATGGCTTCACTTGACAGCTTTGGTGTCAAACACACTGTTACTTAACACCAATTACCTTAGCTTTAGGTCGTAAATAATTTGTTTATTTCAAAGTTGTTTTAAAAACAATTGGGTTACTTCCCCTTTTTTGTCAATTCACAATATACTCCTTAAACTTATGTTTTTTTTTTTGTAAAAAGATTAAATCTTAAATGAATTGAATGCACAAACATATCAGAATAATACTTTTACTTATTGTTCTACCTTAGAACAATTAAAAAATAATTTTTTTTTGAAATTTACTTTTTTCATCTATACCTCCTTTAATCATTGTTAATTGTTTAACTTTATTTTATTATACTGTAGAATCAACAAAAGATATGTTCTACTATTTAAAAGCTGCACAAATGTATGAAAACACAAATTGGCACATTGTATGTCATGAAATGAATATGAAAAGGAATTAAGGCAATGTAACACAAATCTATCAATGGCCTTCAGGTGCAATGAAATAATAATATGCACAATTATAAATTACTTAACCATGTGGACATGTTTTGGAAACTTTGATATAAATTATAAGAAAAATGTCCTCTAAATACTGAAATTCAGCTCGAAAAAGTTCGTACGCGTTATGACCTGAGATTTTATTCTTCTATGCAGGTCATTACCTGCATTTTCATTATCATAGGTTGACAGGTATGACTCCTCTGACCATCAATAAAAACTGGCCGCCATGATATCGCAAAAACTACTGAAAGTGGCCTTAAACACCAACAATCAATTCATAAAATACATGAATGTCGGTGATGTCCAGTAGACATGGTAGATAGTGGTGGAAAAACGAAGATAAGGCTTATATGTATGAACTCATGCTCGTTGGTTGTAATAGAATTTAGAATGGAAACGGGGAATGTGTCAAAGAGACAACAACCTGACCAAAGAGTAATTACATCTCACAACCATGTTTGGGAACATTAATCTGTGCCAACACAGTTTGTTGAATGATCATTCTTTACATCATATATATCTCATGGTGATCCTTCTACATGTTCTAGAAAAGAGGAATATGCAAAACACAAGACCATGTCAAATTAACTTTCTGGTTCTAAGACACCGCCACATCAGCCAAACACAAGTTGATGGCTTGTATTTATCGTCAATCCTAAATAAATACAATGTGTAAAAAATCTGTGTTGTTCAAAATTTATTGCTTTCCATCTAGTTAAAGAGAGAAAATTTAAGTTTTACCACTGCTTTTAAGCATTATGAATGTCAGGATTGCTTGAGGGAACTTCAAGATTCACTTTGAGATAAAACAAGTGGAACAAAGGACGTAAGCTTCATTAGTATGACCGAACATCAGACTTTTACACGACCTTAGATTAAATAAATCAAATATATGAATGTCTCTTAACTTTTTGGTGGAAATTACTGTATCAAAATTTACCTGTTTTGACAGCTGTCGAGGGACAGGTTGTCCAAATAATCTTCTGAATAAAGCATGAAGATAGATGATCATAGATGCAGTTGTTTTATCTGTTCATTTAAGAGTATTCAACAGATGAAAAGATGGATGCATTTCCAAGAAGAAGACAATAAAACAAAGAATAATTATGCATAACTGTTTGATTTTGAATTGATGAGAATAATTAAAATTTGTTATTGTGCCAAAAGCTAAGGTTTCAATTTCCTCCTGCAATGTTGATCATAGACTTGGTTTTATTTAGATCTTTGCTAGTCTATGTTTAACAAGTTAAATTTTCACAACTTTTTCTACACAGCAGGCAATTCAATTTTTATCTAACATATTGTCTATCATGTCTATGCTCTCTGGATGTCTTATTTGTTTTTGTTGTAAATGTGTGTTGTTACATGTAGAAAGAAGCCTCATTGATGTCTTCTTAATGTCTCTTTTTACATGTTTTATTCAAACTTATTTACAGTTTTGGGGTTTCAAAACTTTTGATCTTAAGCATACCATAGAAGGTTATGATGTCACTCATTGTCATTAAGATGCTGCTAACTGGATTTCATTTTAAACAAGGAATTATTTAAATTTATGGAAAATTGATAAGTTTCATGTCACATACTCATTGGTGAAATACTAACAAACATACGTATCAGATTGTTGCAAGAAAGGCAACACAAACATTCTCAGTTATGCATTGAAATTATGTTGTTCCTGAGAAGTTAATTTTCTGCGAAATGTTTGGCAGACTAGTTATTTGTCTTTTACATGTTGCAACGGTTCTGTATTTACTTTGATTTTGGGATGTTTTTTATCACCACTTGGTATTTTATTCATTAACAATGTTTAACATGAATGAGTACAGTGTTTAAAAAATATTTGTCAATATAAAATTATAATGAATACAAAAATTCAATACCCTGCCTCTCTCATCTATTTTTTAGAAGTCATTGTCTGAGAACCAGAATATTTATTGGACATTGGCCTAATGCATACATCAGAAAATAGCTCTGAACTATAAATCCCAGTTAGGATTGTCTCCGTTAAATTATAACTCAATGACAGTCCAAATCAATACACTGGACATTCTTTTTGTGTCCTTGAAGCCTTTTCCCCCCAAAAAAATGTCTTATTTTTGTCAGATTACAAAGTGGGGAGACAGGGACCTCTGATAACATGCACAGGCATTAATGGTTAGGATAAGAAATTTTGATTGCCACAGGATGCGTTAAGACCCCTTAATGTGTGGAAATTTTTTATTGGAGGACATGACTTAAGACTTCCAAAACACAAGACATTTGATTTAATCATGTTAATGCATGTACTGTTACCATAAAAATAAGAGAGCATACCAAGGAGTAATAAAAAATTATAAGTCAAAAAAGATAAACAGACAACACCTTAACAAAAATAAAACAACAAAAAGATTAACAACAGTCATGACAGTCCACAAAACACTTCACACAAAAATTAAGATTGCCTTTAAATTGTGTATAGCAGCATGAAATTTGTATCTATAAATAGAAACCAATTGATGTACAGTAGCATAAGTAACGTACATTTTTGCTAGGGTAATCGTGGTATTGCGGATAAAAACAAACTTTTCTTTTGTTTATAAGGTAAGAACATTACAGTCTTTTGAGAATAAGAATGGCATTTTGGATGTGATGCACATTTATCAATCAATGTTTCATATTATTTGTTACATACATGTACATGTATGTTCTGGTGATTCACAATTCCTGAAAAGGATATAGTCAAGTTTTGTTGTGAAAGATATATATTTGATAATTCATCAACATATAACATATTAATATTTTCTTTTGATAACAGTCCTGTTTGTCCAGCAATCCAAGCAAGCCATGTTTTATACTCCACTTCAAAGGTGTAACACTAATGTTAGACTGTGGACTTGATGTCAAAGAAATTTTAAAATTCTTGCCACTTCCTGTTATACAGAGGTGAGTTTTCTCCCACTTCCTGTTATACAGAGGTGAGTTTTCTCCCACTTCCTGTTATACAGAGCTCAAGGTGAGTTTTCTCCCACTCCTGTTATACAGAGGTGAGTTTTCTCCCACTTCCTGTTATACAGAGGTGAGTTTTCTCTCACTTCCTGTTATACAGAGGTGAGTTTTCTCCCACTTCCTGTTGTACAATGTTGTACAGAGGTGAGTTTTCTCTCACTGTCACTTTTTAAATTGAAAACATATTTGAATAAATTTCCATTGAGAGAGCTACATTTTTTAGAACACAAGAAATAAAAGAAAAAAATCCAGTGTTCTGGAGCCGGTTTCACAAAAAAAACTTACAAGTTTTTTTGTGAAACTGACTCCTGAACCTTCATTTGTTACAAAAGAGAGGCAGAAGATACATGTACTAAAGGGGTATTCAAACTCATAATTCGAAAACAAACAGATGGCACCATGGCAAAATATGAAAAACAATGAAAATACAAACAACAGACTTCATGGTCTATATTTTAAGACACAACATAGAAAATCAAAGACTGAGAAAAACAAACCTTGCATTTAACATGTTTATAGGAAAGTCAAGCAATATCAAGTCGGATACAAACGCTTACACACAAGAAACAAAATATGACAAAAAATTTATTGGATTTAGGCATGTTAGGGTAAAGTTTAAGTGTCACCATGGTCACAGGGTTAA